TACAATTTCGTCAAAATTTCATCCTAAACTATGTGAGATATTGAATTCTTGATGAGAACATTGTTAGGATATTTTAAGTAAATTTAAATTGATCGAAATGAAAAGTATCAAAGCGTTTAAGATATTATAGCTTGAAATATAAGCTATAATAGAAGAAAGAAGTAAAAACTAACTAATAAAATATAATTAAAATGGATATAATATTTAAAAAATAGTAAGGAAACTTGAGAAAATTTTCATTTCTATATTATCAGTTTTGAATTAACATCAAGAATTGAACATACAATGTGGTTATTCAAAGTGATTAAAGAATTGTTTTCATGAATGACATTATCTTATCTTATTAAGAATTCCAACTTGCTATATTAATATGTATATGCAATAATCCAAACTTGATGATATCGATTTAATTGTAAATAGCTTCCTCTAGAGATAATTACACAAGTTTTACTATCTGAAATTTTACCAACAGAATTATTTCTATGGAAAATAATGCATAAACAATCGAAAAGTTCCATTGTAATCTTTAATTACGTTCCATTCTCTTCTATTAAATCCTAATTATTCGTATTTAAAATTGAATAAAAAGTAGATAAAATCCTTATCCCAAATTCTATTTTCATGAATATATTTTTATTCCCCTTTGGCCATGAAAACAAACCACACTTGAAATTCTTCCAACTTTTCATCGCCATCATCGACACAGTGTTTCCGCGTTTCAGAATGATTCCTGGTTCACGAGGCGTGTTTTCGCACGCTCAGTACATGAAAAAGGGATGAAAGTGGGTAATCGTCAACCTAAACTTATTCGTCACCATGGTAACGTAACCTTCGTAGATTGACCTTGGAAATGCTGAGGGAAAACAAGAGAAAAGGAAAAAGTGTTACAGAGGGGAAGGAAAAAGGAAAGACGAGAAAGACAAGGATGAGGGAGAGAGGAGAGATCGAGCGTAATGTTAAAAAAGTTCTTTATAGCCTCAACAGGAAATTTTCAACTACCCCATATACTCTCGAGAGTTTATTATTAAGCATCGTTGATAGTATAGAAAATTATTGCTTCGAGATTCCACTATGAATTATTTGATAACCTGAAGATTCTTAGAGAGAAGTTCGAATTTCATGATGGAAAAGAAATTTTGAATAGGAAATGAAAAAAATCATGAGGAATACGCAGGTTTTTGGTAATATAGAAAATATAAGGGATAAAAAAAATATCAAGCATATAGAAAAATCTTTTTTGTGAGGATTTACGAAGACATAACTAAGAAACAAAAACATAAGAAGTAAGTTTAAAGATAAGACTAAAGAAGATTCACGAGATAAAAGGAAGATTTAAAGGATTAAAAGTGCTTAAAAGTACATAAAATTTTTATGCGACTTTTGCCGTCTTTTCATGCACACTTTGATCTTCCATCTTGATTTAGGATTGTCTGATTGATAGTAACACGTTTGATTTAAAGAAGAATTTCAATAATTATAATAATTAATAATTTCTATATATTTTAATTTCATATAATTTTTCTATAAATTTATTATTAGTTCATTTTTCGTAGATAATTAAAAAATTATTTATTAAGCATATTATTATATATAAATGTTTTATTAATCCTATTTGAAAGAGGTGTTATATAAAGAAATTTTGTTCTTTTATAAAAAAAAATTTAAATTGTTTGTGAAAGAATCATAGAATGAATAAAAGATTTTCTAATTCTATCAAATAGTTTTACTCACAATAAAAATTAAATATTTGAAATAACAATTGTTAATATCTGATGAATTTTATTTCATATAAAAGATTAACATTAATCTAGAATCGTATCATGCTTCTTTTTTATATATTTACTTCGATTTTCAAATATAATATAATTTCAACAATTCTGGTAGAAACAATATCATATTAGGGAAATACTAAGAGATCAATAAATGTTCTTTGATGATGATTTTCATATTTGAGGGGAAGAAAACTATGTGATCGTAAATCAACAACCTGTTGAAATCTATTTCATAAATCTTAACGACTATTTAGGTAAATGTTATTCGAGCAAATAGAAAAAACCATTAGTTTCTCCTTTCTTCTCTATCTCTTTAATCTTGTTCTCTAATCTCTAAGTTTGTCGAAAGTTTGTTCTATGTCTGCGAAGATTACGAAAAATGATTAATTTCTTTAAAAAGATAATAAAACTAATTTTTTTAAATTTTTATTTAAATCTTCTAATTAAAATAAGAAATTGATTATTCTCGACTGAAATAACAAAAAAGATAAGGTTGTTGGATTTTATACAATCGACAAGGAATAATTTATTAGTATAACATTAATCGAAAAATCGTGTTTCCGGCCCAACAAAATATTAAGTGCAATTATTTATAAGCGGAAAATTTTATTTTTATTTATAAATAGAAATTTTGAAATAATGCCAACATTGGACGGACAGCCTTTCGATTAACAAGATAAGGATTTACAATTAAGCTTAACATTTAATTCTGGACATCTTGATTAATTTATTTCGATACGATTTCATCAATAATTTAAAATACTTTATATTTTATGAAGAAAAAATTCAAAAAGCAATCTTAATTTTTAATTAATTTTTTTTAAATCAACAGTTTTTAAATTTTTAAGTTTATTTTCCTATGCATCATTATTTTAATATAATTTTTGTCAGTGATAAAAATTCAAAATAAAATATTTAAAAATTCAAATTAAAAAAATTAAAAAATTAAAAAATGAAATATCCAATATTATTTTGACTAATTTTAATACACCTATATGAATAATTGCATTAAAAGGAACATATTTCTTCAAATGCATAAAGCAAACAAAAATTTTTAATTGTGTGACGATTCTAATGTTTAAATTTAAATTTTAAAACTGCGTGCAAAATCGATTTACTTTGGAAGAGACTACTATTATATATAGAAAACTGCTAGTTTCGTTGCCAAAGGTCAATGTCTATGCTACTGTCAACAAAACTTTACGATGCAATATGATAGTTCGTTTACACATATATGATCTAGATATCGAATATACATATATTTGTAATTATTCAAGGAAAATCTTTTCTATGAAAGAACAAAATGTTTACATAACTGAATATTCGTAACTTCTTATAATTATTTACAAATTTCTTGTTATTTTACTATCTTTATGTATTGTCTCATTTATTGCGTATATTATTTTTTTTAGTATTTTGAGTAGATATTTTATTATTTCTTTAAAATGTATATATTTTTTCTGATAAAATAATTGGTAAAAAATATATAAAAATTAAATATGTAACAACATAAAACAACGATTGCTATTAAATAGACGAAAATTAAAATCTTTTTTTTAATTGAAAAATCATAGAGAAAAAAGGCATAATTTTAAATAAAGTTAATTCGAAATGAAAGTAAAAAAAATGTATAAACAAAAATAAAAAAATAATAAAAAAAAGAAGGGACGTTATTTTCCCGACGATAGTACCATAAAATTCGAAACCATAAAATTCTGTATTTTGCGAAGAAAGAATATCCTATTACAAATTGTTATGCATATACGTCTCTTTAAACGTATATACAGATAGCTAATATGCATATTGACTCGAAGGTCGAAGGTCAAAAGGATCGTGGACTAAGGATCAGGAATAGACATAGAATATGCGACCTCGATGTGTCTTATGACACGTTCACACAAAAGAATAAATTCTAGGTAGAATCTATCACATATTTTTTTCGTTTAATTTCAAATGGAAACATATCAAATTTAAACATTCGTTAATATCAAAAAATTTTGTGAAATTCTTTATCAATCCATTCTAATAGACCTTATTTATTATATTCTAAAATTGCATTTTTCTATTCACGATTATTGTGTTTCAAAAAACAATCGATATCTATACGTTTATATTGGTAATTAATATTTACTTGAAAATCTGTCGCATATACTTTGAATAACTATATATAGATATTGTAAAAACAATCAACATCTACACGTTTATATGGGTAACTAACATTTACTTGAGAATCTGTCGCATATACTTCAAATAACTATATATAGATATTGTAAAAACAATCGACATCTATACGTTTATATGGATAACTAACATTTACTTGAGAATCTGTCACCTATACTTCGAATAATTATATATAGATATTGTAAAAACAATCAATATCTACTCGTTTATATCGGTAACTAACATTTATTTGAGAATCTATCGCATATATTTCGAATAACTATATATAGATATTGTAAAAACAATCGACATTTATACATTTATACGGATAACTAATATTTACTTGAGAATCTGTCGCCTATACTGCAAATAATTATATATAGATATTGTAAAAACAATCAATATCTACACGTTTATATGGGTAACTAACATTTATTTAAAAATCTATCGCATATACTTCGAATAACTATATATAGATATTGTAAAAACAATCGCGTTTATACGAGTAACTAACATTTACTTGAGAATCTGTCGCCTATATTGCAAATAATTATATATAGATATTGTAAAAACAATTAACATCTACACGTTTATATGGGTAACTAACATTTATTTAAAAATCTATCGCATATACTTCGAATAACTATATATAGATATTATAAAAACAATCGACATTTATACATTTATACGGGTAACTAACATTTACTTGAGAATCTGTCGCCTATATTGCAAATAATTATATATAGATATTGTAAAAACAATCAACATCTACACGTTTATATCGGTAACTAACATTTATTTGAGAATCTGTCGCATATACTTCGAATAACTACATAAATATTATAAAAATAATCAAGATCTACGTTTATATAGATACCTAACATTTACTTGAGAATCTGTCGCATATACTTTGAATAACTACGTAAATATTGTAAAGAAAATGCTTAAAATGATAAATATTAACTGTCTTCGAATATTAAAATATGAAGAATTATTACATTACATGTCACTTTTACAAAATTAAGGCACAATTAATAAGAAATAATAAGAAAAATTATTTACACTCACCATTTCTGCAACATCCTATCATAGACGCTTTGAAGCGTCCTTTACGTTTCCGGCATCATCCTGAACCGGCGTTGCTCCACTGAGATGCAAGTTGCAATCGTAGAATACTAGAATTGAACAGAAAAGATGTTCTTGTCACAATAAATGCTGACAATCGTTTTGACAACGAATGTGATAGTAAAACACAATGTCCCGACACTTCTTACAAACACTTAACCTGATAAGCACACGCGTAAGGCGCGAGACCAACTGACTGACTTTCTCGATTTCGGTTCTGGCTCCTGCACTAGCGCCACCTGTTTTATGTGAACGTTTCACCGATTGTCTGTTCGCTTTAATGCATGCGCATTATGTAAACATTTCAATAATTTTTTTTTTTAGTTTCTCTTCTTTTTGAATTTTCTCCTAAATTATCAAGATAATAGTAAACTTTTGTTCACGAATTATTCATACGAGATCAAAATATTAGTAAATATCATTTACCTATGAAATTTATATGTTATTTTTTACGAAACTGAAAATAATATTGAACAATTCAAAATTTTAAACAGAATAAAACTGAATGACAATATTTAATACAAAGCATTAAAGTTTAACTCTTTTTTCCGATAACGATAAATTTTGATAGATAAATTTGGAGATAACAGTCTTATCTTTGCATTTAATAGATACAGAAATTAAAACAGTAACAATATAGAATAAAGGATTTGATAAGAATGTTAAGCTATAAATACAGAGAGCTTATTGTTGTTTTATGTTTGCAAATATTGTCTTAAACACAGAAATAAATAATAAATAATAAATGATAATTCAATTATGTAATTTTTTTGAAACATAATATCCTGGATTACAGATTATGATGTAATATTACGAATACGTGCTATAAATTAACATAAATACACATATTCTTTACAATTTTGTACTATAAATGAAAATTTCAATTAAGATTATTAATTTTGAAATATTTAAAAAATCGATTAAGAAAAGAAAATTATTTAATTTTATTACTTATATACAATTAATATTAATTTATATAAGCAATGTTTTTCATTATTATAGCCCAATTTTATAAAATTAAACATATTAAACTTCGATTTAATTATTGTTTGCTCCAAAAAATAATTCATATTCGCACATTTGAAGAAATAACATCAAATAATTTTCATTCAAATTATAAGAAAAAAATATAATTAGCAAAACATGCACCAATATGTACATGAATATAATGATATATGAATAAAAATAATTATTTTTACATATAACAATCACATTTATAATTTTTTCAATTTTATTACAGTAAGTTATTTTTTATCTAGCATAAATTTTATTAAGAATAGAAAAATGACCTTAATGTTAAATGCTATTGGAATTGCATTAAAATGAGTAGAAATGAACATAATATAATTTTTTAAAGTTGAACATACAAATATATGTTAAAATGTACAAATTGCTATATTAATATATACATTTTCTATATTGTAAGCGTATTCTTTGTATTTTTTTATACATATCATATCATATCATATCTAATATCTATAAAATAAATTTATTAAACAAAGAATATTATTACGCAATTATCGAGAAATGCACATTTTTAATTAAGAAATTATTTATATATTTTTTAAAACTTATAGTAATATTTCTTAATAGTATATTTATAATAAATTCAATTATATTTTTAATTTCAAATTATTTATATACTAATATATTATATAATAATATTCAATAATTTATTCAATAATATTCAATAATTTATTGATATTTTTTTTCGCATATGCAACATTTTAAAATAACCAATCACATTCATATGCATATCATTTAAATATATATAGTAATTATAATAAACTTTCATGATATAAATAAATATTACCTCATATAGGTAAATAATTTATGTGAACTAAATACTTATATTTATACATTTAGATTACAATTCAATGAAAATTTTCAAAATTTAAAATAGTTAATGAAATTAATATTTATGTAATAAAAGAAATATTATCCAAGATCATTTTATATTTACAATTTAACATTTTTACATTGAAAATATACTATAAATGAATTAAAATTAAGTATGTAGAATAAAATTGTAGAAAATTAAATGTAAAATATAAGTATACTAATATTTTAAGTATTACTAATATTTTAAACTATAAATGAAAAAAAAAAAAACGATAGAATAATTAAGTTACGTCATATTGCAAAATATAAAACATATTGTTCACTTAAATTTTACTTCACCTATATGAATGTATAAGTTTTTTTACTAATTTAAAATATAATTATATTGAAAAAGTAAAATATCAATTTTTTTTATATATTTCATATGTAGAAAGTATTCCTTAATTTTAATTTCTGCTTACGAAATACAAAGCATGTAAAAAAAGTCTTTTGTCGTCCTTCTGTCAGTCTATCAACTCTCCAACAAAAGACATTCATAGACTCTTTCTACATTTGTCATTTGATTTAGATTAATAGTATATAACACATGGAAAACACAATAAGAAAATTATATTTGACTTGACCAAAAATTGCGTTGTTCTCAGAACATTAAAAATACTATAAAAAATTGAAATTCTTTCAATTACACAAATCCACAGACTGATTATGAAAGACCATGGCGATTAATCGATCTGATTATCTCTGATTATCAGAACGAATATGTTTTATTATGTTGTATTAAGCAGTTGATCTTTGTGTGTCATCCATATATTTTCTTATATAAGACATAAAATCTATTAATGCAGTAGACATTGATTTATCTACAACTTTTTGTGGAAGCCAACCCTTTAAATTCGTATTAATAATCCATGTGAATTTACATTTATTTTCTTCGTTAGGTAATCGTTCTGCTGCCCAACAGCTTAAATTGTTTTCAGCTCTAAAAATTTTTTAATATATGTAATTATTTTTTACCGATACAATTTTTTTGTAATCTTACCTGACAACGTTATTACGATTTGGTAATGATGTTAGAGGTACTGATGTACCACTATTTATATAATAGTTACCATAATGAATACGATGTCTTAAAATAACAAAATCACGAGCGCCAATAATACCTCCTCCTTGAGCACTCGTGGCTTGATAAACAATATCCGTATTTTCATCAATGTACTGATTAAAAAAATACATAAGAATATATTAATTTAACTATGCAAAATTATGCAAAATATATATTTTATGTTACCTGTAATTTTTTTGATTCTGTAACAAGCCTATTCCATGTTGGTAATAATTCAACTTCATCAAATAATCTATTCACAATTATACTAGCTGGAGCTTCAATCATTCCCTTAAAAAATGTATTATGTAATTTTAAAACAGAAAACGAAGAAAACAATATATCCTATTTAAACTTACTACTATTTTTAAAATCCTTCCTTCTGGCTTAGGACGATTTATATAAAATATGATATCGCCATTTGTCATTATATTTTGAATTTGCCAATCTTTAGATTGCAATAAATCATGACAATTTTGCACTAACGCATTTGCTCTCCGTTTATAATCTTCTATCTATAAATATTTAATATTATATATTATAAATATTATAAAAGACTTCTATAAATTTGTTCATATTTTTTTAAATATAAACCATTACATAATTCTTACTTACCATTTCTGATGTAAGTTTTGGTAAAGGTTTAGACGGAAATACTTCATTCGTTTTTAGAAAACCTCTGGAACTACTTGGTCTTGTATTTTCATCTTCGTGATCAGAATGGTCTGGTGAATCCATAGGTGTGAAAAATGTACCAGCATGTTCATTATTCGTATATTGACGAGATTCCGAGATAACACCCCGGAGAAGTGGTTCTCTTTCATTATCTATGAAATCTAAAATCGATTTAAAATTTTTATTTATTATGAATATATAATATGAATTCAACATTCTATAAAACATAAGTAGCATACTTCTAAACCAATTTCTAGCTTGTGTTTCCTGAGGTAATACACGAATGTCAAAAAACCATGCTTCCACCCAAGGTAATACAAAAGAAGTAAGGATAAGAAGAACTTGAAATACTGGCTGATTACATATTGTCCACTAAAAATAAAATAAAATTATATTATTGTTTTGTTACAAATTTTATTCTTTTAAATATTTATTTATATAACATCAGTATATTTACATCAAAAAGAAATACTTTGGCAATTAAGAAAGCACATGTTGTGGCAGTTGTTAACTGTAAAAACATTATACAATATTATAATAAATAAAATATAATATATCATTATTTTATAATTTTATATTCTCATTGCTTACCAAATTATGACACTTACAGCTACAATAATCCAATGATCCAAATGAAGCAGCGCATAGAAGAGCAACAACACTGTAAACCTGCAAATCGCTGCCATCTGAGAAGATGAAATCCTTAAAATCTCTGTCCCCGACGAACTGAATGTCATTTTGGACATTGTTTTTTCTTTTTCAAGTTGATATAAAGTATTACTATATAAACATTACTTACTACTATGTCGAAGAGTGAGGTTTTGATATGATAATGGACTATTTGATTCATGAAAGCGGATTCCAAACTCTCGCCAGCGATCTAAAAATATATTCCAAAATTGATTAGAAATTATCAAGTAAATTTCTTTTATTCATATGATTAAATTAAAAAAATGAAAAAAAAAAAAATGCATAAAGATTTCATTTCTTCAGTCTTTAATTAAATATTATAACATATGCGATTACCATTGTGCAAATGAGCCACATTAGAAAAGTAAGCAGAAGATCGAAAGTGACAAAAAGACAAAAGAAACGTCTGACATTGGACATCCTTCCATTTTGCATAGCACCCGCGATAAGATCCTCGCTAAGAATAATGTCTGGAGTTCGCGTTACATTCTGTTGAGTATATATACTTCTTTGGGAGTTTATAGATTCGTTTAGCAAAGTTTCAGCAGCTGCTAAAATTTGCCTCTCATCTTCTGCCATTATATCTTTCTACTATTATATCTTTTGATATCTGCAATAATAACCTGCAAATAATAATTTAATATATTATCATTAATGAAGAACAATATTACATTAAATTTCTATACGAAAATTATTTAAATAAAAATCTTATTGTACATGCTAATATTTTCTAATATTTTATTATTGTAGACTACTATTAATTTATATAATAAAAAATTGATATTAAAGCTCTAATAAGATCACTGATATAACAATTTTTAATTAATGTAAAATTAAAGATTAATTTTTAAAAAATTGTATTATATTCGCATAATATTTACATGATTTTTATATATAATTATTTTATAAATAATGTAAAACTATTTTATTACGATAATAGATACATATCGATTTCGAAATAAAATCGATAATTTGAAAACTTTGTACAATATTCTCGATAAAATTTGATGTAAACTATATTCATAATAAACAATTTACTTACATTGATTGTTTCTTCTTAAGATTTATCTATTATTACAATCTATTATACTTTTTGGTATTTTTTTTCTATTTTCTTTGCAATAATATAATGTTACATATCTTTTTCAGTATTAGATATTGAAAAATATATAAGACATAATATAAACTTTTTACAATATTTCTTTTAAATTGTCTTTAGTTATTTATAAAAAGCAATTTAACAATTATAATTATAATATTAATTAATATTAATTAAAATTTTTATTTTTATTTATCGATTTTTTCAACAAAATCATCACATATATAAAAATATATTGTTCGATTATTTGTAATATTTTTTTTATTTTTATATATACATATATATATATAATTATATACATATAATTTTGATTGTTTATCTATAAAGAAATATATATATTTTATTTAGATTGAATTACGAATATAAGCGTTTTATTATATATATATAATTAAAAAAAATAAACACATATTGGTATAAATTGTTATGAATCGACATCGTATGCATTAAATTATATATATTATGACAAATTTTTTTAATTGTCAAATATTAATTTTTTTATTTATATTTTTTACATTAAATTTCTTACTATATGTTATATATTATAAATATATGCTGTTTTATATATATATATATATATATATATACATAAATGCATTTAAAAATAATTAAGAAACAAATTTTCGATTGTTTAAATGAGAAATAAATAAATTTGAAACAAACATTATATTTTTATAAATAACTTTTCTTAATAAAATATTTATAATAATAAATATTTAAAAGTATAAAGTATAAAGATTATATTGATAAGATTATTGATAACAATTTTATTTAATTTCAAAAATTTTTTGAAGTTATATCGAATGTAATATATTTTTTTTTTATTTTATCTTATTAATCTATTTATTAATCTTTTATTTTATATAAAAATAGTATCATTTATTAGAAAAAGTAAAAAAGAAAAAAAAATTTGAGATCTGAAATAATATATAAATCTGTAAAAATGATACGATTAATATCCTTATTAACATTAAGAAAATATTTTAAAATAGGATAATCTATAAGAACATCTATATTGTATAAAATTTTCAAAATCTTCCGCAATGATGTATTTATATTTATATTATTTATATTAATATTTATATTTATAATTTAACATAAGAAAAATCATTTGATAACATATCATATTTGATACGTAACATTTGATAACGAAAAGATCTTTTGTATAATAAGTTTTATTAATATTAACGAAACATTCTAACCTCAAATTCCATTAAGAAAAATTTAATTTGTCAATTTTGAAGACAATTAACACTTTTTTCTATAATATTTATTAATATTTATTAAATAATCAAATATAAAAACTATAATTGAATTTAATTGAATGAATAAGAAAATTTTGTTTACCATTTAGATTTAACTAATCCTCATAATTCAATTGCATTCAATTCAATTGAAGAATTAACTGATAACACAATCCACTTACGCATCATTCCGAAAGAAAAATTTCTAACGAAACATTTAATATTAAAAAGTACCACCAATATTTCGACTTTCGTTATGACTTCGTAACAAAGACGAACACAAAAAAATGTAGAAACTTATTCATATAAATTTCATATGAATATTTGCATGAATAATGGTGGCGCCACGTGATAGAGTTACATGTAACGCTATCTAGTTATTTTCTTTGCTATTTTCTTATCAATAAAAAGTTACCATCTGTATATAAAAATTGAAAATTTTTAAGTACTGAAAATACTCAAAAGATGGCACTTCAATTCGTATACTACTTTATCCTATTTTTAAAAAAATATCTTTGTTATTCAAAAGATGGCACTGATTCCTTAATTTTTATCCTATTTCTATCTTTTTTTTTCAACACACTCTCTTTATCTATACTTGTTTGTGACGCATAATTAAATAGAAAATATAAGATATTATTTTAATACACTTTTATCATTTCTCTTTCAAAATCATAATATATATATTTATAATCACTTCATACATAAATGATTTTTAAATATTTGAAAAGATTATAAATATATATTGAAATATTATTTTGAAAAATATTAAATTTAAAAAAATATAATTTTATTTTTGAAAATATAATTTACTATCTACTATTTAATATGTTAATTTTTATCATGAAAATAATTTATGAACTAACATCACATTATAATCTTTTCGAAACATCAATTCTAAAATAATTTAAATAAAATAAATTACAAATAAAAATCTGAAAAAATGAAAGATAAATTAAAAATAATATGCATAATATTTTTTTTGATTTTTAAAAATATTTTTTTGTTAAAATAATTACATAATTACAAAATAAACTTTATTTCTAATCTTTATTTAATAAAAATAGCTTTTTATTAATTAAAAAAATATATATAATAATATAGAATCACCATTCCAGTCATTTATTTTATAATCATAAAATGTACTTAAAAATGAACTTAATATACAAGATATTCTGCAATAGAATATTTATTTTATTCCTTATTTATAATTTTATATTGAAATTTAATTTCTAATCATTATTAACATAATCTAATCTTTTTGAATAGAATCAATAACTTTGAATATGACACTAAAATGATAAGGAATCCAAGTGTTTCCGAGAAAAAAAATGCATTGAATATTAGATTTTTTCGTCAGCTTATTCATTTTCTTTAATAAAAAAGTCGCTTTTTAAATTTTTTAAAATTTTAAATCAAATTCATATGAAATATTGCATTATATTTAATATCTTTTAATTAAAACAATTTTAAATTTCAATCTTAAATGTTAGAATAAAATATTATTAATTATTGTTCATTCAAAAATTGTATTTTCATTATTTTTTGTTATATTATATATATATATATATATATATGTATATAAATGATATTTTTTAAAATTTATAATTAAAAAATATTTATATATCTATTGTTTCTTTATATTCTTAATTAACTACTACTTATGTATTTTTATTATTATTATATATTATATATATAAAATATTAACAATTTTGATTAATGATAAAGTAATACTATAAAATATGTCATATATTTATATTGTTTAATTTCTATAAAGTTAATTATAACTTTTTAATATGCGTTTTAAAATAAATAAAAATTATTATATGTAATCGAAAATTCTTTATCTTAAAGATAAAAAAATAATGTAATAATCGTACATAAAGCCTGTATTTATTAATAAGGAAAATAATAATTATCTGCTTAATTATCCTATTGAAAATATTAAGCATTATTATAGTAGCATTTTTTATTTTATTAGTAAGTATTATTAAACTCTTTACATATTTTTGTCGTTATAATGAATAACTGATAGAACTCTTAACTTATACATCCATTCATTCAAACACGCGTGATGGACCATTCCGTAATTATGTTACTCAGTACTCACAACTATGTCACATGATTCTTGACAACTTATAAGATTAATGCCATCATTCAACAGCTTACAAAATTTATTTTTAACTTTTAACTTTTTTTCAAGTTAAACGAAATTCTAGAAGGAATAAGAGACTTTTTTGCAATCATTTTTCAATATAAAATTATGTTATCGTACTGTAATGATAAACATAAGTATATTAAATAATTATTTCTATTTATAGTGCATCAATACGAAAGGAAATTACTTTTTCAAATATCTTGAGTACTTAAAAAAATCTTATTATAGAATTCTTATAATATTTAAAAATCTGAATTTTAATAATTCAGTTAAAGCAATTTTGTGTAACAATAAAATGTAATATTAAATATTTTTTACATATATCTAATTTATTTTTTTTAATAGAGTTTTCCAATTTTTAATTTTATCGCAAATAATTTAGAAAGAAAATGAATTTTTTTTCCGAAAATTTTCTAATCAATCAAATATTGTTATATAACCAAAAAGGTATATTATTTTTTGAATCTTAGCTGTACTTATTTACGTCCAAAATTACTTATACTGTAAAAACTTGTTAAATTTAGGATTCTCGTATAACAAACGAACAGCTTATAAAACATTTAGTTGCAGCTTTATTTTAGATATCATTATTATTTAGATATCTTACGATTTTTAAGCACTTTCCTCATTACACGTAGTCTTATCACATACAACTATGTATGACTAAATACATTCTGTAACTTATTACATCTATCCATACAAATTATTTCTTTTGTGATAAAAGTTTACAAGATATATCACAAATTGTCTGAAAATGCCGTTAATTTTTTTTCATTTGTTTGCAATACCGGTTGCAAATAAATACAGCTTATTAATAAAGAATGAAATCAAGTGGCATTGATATTCTTTTTCCCATTTCCTCCTGAAGTAATAGTGGCTTCTTGAGACCCGAGTCGCATAGTATCAAATGTAATGGCTTCAGGGTTCCAAGTAGAGCTACTTCGATTCACTCATGTATGATACAAATCGTTGACGTTTTATTAAAATGCATAACGGTATATATATTCATTATATTCTTGCCATGATGCTCTTTCATTTTCCATTTTCCATTCTGGAAAAATGTGGCATCAGTACTAAATATTTTCATAGTAATAATGCTATTCTTGACAAAATAAATTTTCAATGTAATAAAAAATTCAAATTGCGAATAGTAAAAAGTAATTCTTAATTTGCGAACGAAGTCAAATGTTTTTTATATCTTCTTTTGTGATATATTTTCACACAAACTTCTTTTTTCATTTTTTTTTTTACGAAATTTATTAAGCAATCTATCTTCACAGTTCTATAGGTCATGTACCAGTGTTAGACACATATTAAATTGTGTTATCATGCATCATGATTATTTGTGATTTGTAAGACCAAGCACCTGTAGCATTTATTGAGGTGGAGGCAAGCTCGAACGATAAGAAAATTTGTCCTTTTTCTGAGAATAATAATTAATAGAATTAATAAAAATTTGCATTTTTATTAAATTAAAAGATTATCATTTATCCCAATTTTTACTATCATGACAATGACAGACAGTTATTTTTTTTTTAATTTATTAAAAAACTTATTAATAATTTAATTAAGAATTTTTCCTTGATGCAACATTATATAAGAAAAATATTTTATATTATTTAATTATTTAAGTCTGAGAAAACAAAAATGTAATTATTTTTAATTTTATATATACTATTAATTAATTTTTTTTTAAAGAAATGTTTTGTTATAAATTTTGAATTATGAATTTGTTAATGTAATAATCACAAAATAGTAGTAGATATATAAACAAAATTTTATAAAAAAACATAAATATTAGAAACCTTTCTCCCAGACTATGTTATTTAAAATATATATATGTATATGTATATATATGTATATATATATATATATATATATATAAGCTATTTGCATTAATAAAATATTAAAAAAAAAAAAAAAGAAAGAGAGAGAGAAAAAGAAACATTTTAATGCACTGAGAGAAAATTGTTAAATATGTTTTATATATATATATATTTTTTTTTAATTTATAGAAGTTAAATACAACAAAAATATAAAGTGATTTATTTTGAACATATTTATCATTGATGAATATATATATATAGGGATTATCAGAAAAGTGAAATTTAAACAAATGCTATATATGACATGTAGTTTAATTTACAAAATTTCTCTGTATGACTTGCAGATCATATATATTTATATACTATGTACCTATATATCTATATATAGCAATATTAATAGCATTATCATACAACTTTATGCAAACACACACATATACCTGTAACATCCTCTAAATATGCTGAAGCAATACTATTTTATATGTTAATATGAATCAGACGTTATATTTTGAATTTAATTTATTTCCATAAATGATTTTAATTATATCTCGAAATATAATATACACGCTAATATTACATACAATATTATTATTCATTTCTATCATAATAAGATTATTTAATTATATTAAATGTTATGCAATATTAATATTTGTAATGATATATTAATAAAAAAAAAAATAATAATTTTTATGAAAACTTTGTTTATGTAGAACTTTTTTTAATATAAATCACAATTTTATTATACATATTAATATATATTATAAATACCAAATGAGATTGTAGAAGAATGTCTTTATTAAAAAAATATTTGTTATTAGTACTAAATATCAATATACAAATGTTATTTTTTTCACTGTATAAAATAGTATTGTTCAGCATGTATTCACCTGTTACTCATAACAGAAGTTTCAATTCTTTTAAAATTGTATAACAGACAAACAATCACCGCGTTTCGGGCTTACCTCCTTAACAAGAATGTTATATTGTAAACTTGGCTTTAAAAAGTATATAATGTATATCCATCTTGATGGTAATTGTGGTACATGTGAGAAAAGTCGCAGATCAAAGGATACAATAGTCTGTGTAACAGAATGTTTCTTATTGAGATGTACAGAAAGCAGGTAACGAAGAAAACTGGTAATTCAATCCTGCATCTCTTCTGGTATTTCATGAGGATTAAGTATTCCTGGTACTGCCATTTGTTGTAGCCTTTTTTCTTCTTGTGCTAACCGTAATGCAGTTTCTCTTTCCTCAAGATACAAATCTGAATCATCTTCACCAGTATATTCCTTTAAAAAATTTATTTGTTTAAATATACTATGAATATGAATAAAAAATCATAAAAAAAAGAGAGAAAAAAAAACATGAATATTTACCCTGATTTCAACAAGGAAATCTCTAAGATGTTCTTTGAATGCAGGAATATCTTGATTAAGATTAAATAAACCTTGTACAGTTATTTTAATTTGATTATCAGTTAAATGTGGAAATGCTGTTTTAAGCAATCTTGCAACAAATTCTTGAACATATAATGTGTTATCTGGTACAGGTCCTAATGGAACTTTAATTCGCCCAAGTTCAACCAACGAAAACATGTATGCCAAAATTGTAGCATGCATATTAAGGCCTAGATAATTACAATATTATAAAAAAAATTAATTATAAAATAGTAAAATTAAATGTTTGTATCGATTTTGTATATATATTTTATATATATTTACCTGCAATGTGTGACGAATCTGTAACTACACTGAATATATGTTGAAGAATATCTGTGAAATATGTCTGATGGAAATTTTGAGCATCGGGAGTAGAAACTTCAATATTTTGTAAGAGTTGATATAGTATTTGTAGTCCTATATCTGCAACATTTCTCATTGTATGCTTAAAAGCCCAAATTATAGAATCAAGTACAAGTTTAAATTGTGCTGGTGGAATTATAAGAAATGCAGAGAAACAAGAAACATTCACTGCCTAAAATATAAAAATATTAAAAATATAATATTTATATTACATAAAATTTGTTATTTAACAAATTTTATCAATAATTAATATTATTTATAATTACCTGTAAAAGTAAAAAGAAATTTGTTCTATGTTCCGGAAATTCTTCAAAATCTTTATTTATCATTTCTAAAGTACATTCAAACACAGCATCAAATATTTTAGGTATTTCACTGGTAATATAACATTCTAATTTATTTACGATAGTGGCTATAGCACTTAGCACCTCTGGTTCTCGAGCACAATGCACATTTGTTTTTTGATAATCCAATAAAACAGCATCTAATAATGGTGGTAAAAAGCTATCTAAAACCTAAATAACATATATAATAAAATTAATTATTTTTAAATATTATAAATAATATATATAAAATTATTAATAATATAAAAAAATATATATTACATGAAAGATAGAAATTATAACTTTCAAATATTAATATATCAAATATTATATATTTTGAACATGTAATAAATTTTTACCATTTGACGATCAGTTGTTCTGCTGACCCAATCTGAGATCAATTTTAATGTTTCTTTTTTCACTACTCTCATACTTTTAATCAGAGATTGTTCCATTACTATTTCACCGTTCAAAGCTATTGCAGCACTTATATTTTCACTCATAACCTAAAAAAAGAAGAATAAACATAAATTTATTTTTTAAAATATTGAATAATAATAATAATAATAATAATAATAATAATTATTATTATTATTATTATTATTACATAAATATAACAATAATAATATATAAAATAAATATAATATTAATATACCTTATAAACGTTCAACATATCTAAATATATTCTTCCTAATTGTATCACGTATGGATGCCCAAGAGCTTTGCAAGCTCTTACATTTGTCTTCAAAATACTAGCAAGTTGTTTTACAGCTTCTTGATCTTTTAATACATCTACATTCTAAAAAAATATGTATGTATATTAATAAAAATAAAATAAAAAAACAAGTACTGTAAAGACTTATTTTTTAAATAGATACCTTAGATGCTTGACTTATTATGTCATCCCATACTTGATTTGGTAAAAGCATATATCTTTCTATTAATTCTTCCTGCATTACTGTATCAGTCTGTGCACTTATCATATATCCAACTGCTTCATAAAATGTATGTACCTATATTATAGTTAACATAGAAATGTAATTAAAAAAAAAAAAAAGTTATATGTACATTATATATATAATTATATATAATATATTATTATATATTATACACAATTATATAATAAATATATTACAAATTTTTTCATATATAATATACTATGTTATTTATTATATTTTTAATAATTTTACCTGTTGTGTTTGGAGGTCACAAATAATACTACTAATAGTAGAAAGAATTTCTTCAATAAATGGTACCAATTCTCCTGTTTGAGGTGTAACAAAATGTCGCCTACATTTTAGTGCTATTTTTATGAATGTGTCACAGGCCATATCTTGCACACCATCATGAGTTTCTGTAGAGAAGTTTATCTTGATTATTTAAAATATTTTTTATAATATTGTTAGATTTACAATGTTTAATGTATAATATTATATAATTATTATATAATAATATAATATTTTTACCATGCATAAATTCAAAGAGTTTATTTACAACAGTCTTCAGAAATTTCCAATGTGCTCTGAGAAATCTTGGATATTGCCCAACTACATACATAATATTACTAGCAATAATAGCTTTATTATCTTTGCCTTTCTTTTGTTCACAAAGACCAAGGAGATCTTTGATAACAGTTACTAAAAATCGCTTTTCATCTTCTTCATGCATTGCACCAGAAATACTACCTATTGCCCAGCACAACTAACACAAAAATAGAAATTAATATAACGTACTTTTATTATAAATTTTATATTTTAGATATATTTACCGCATTAAGATTTTTCCAGGACCATTCTGATCCATTAACTTGGTTTTGTAACTTTTCTGTCATTATTCTTTCAGTATCTATATAGTCAAGATGAGTAAGATATACAAGAGTCTCTCTCATATTTTTATATAAATTAATAGAATCAGTGTCTTTCATAAATTCCCTAACAACTTCTCCATTCTCATTTTCTACAACAAGAACTTCTTCTGGTTTAGCCATTCTACTGATCATAATATATCGTACTTTTGTTAAAACAGGACAATAAAATAATCTTCTAGATGGGAGTGTTATATTTTTAACCACAAATAATGGTGTTGGAGACACAAAGGGATTTGCTCTATATAAATCCATTGCTAATGCATTCCAATATTCCAGACAGATTTTAAATATTTCAACTTCTTCAACTTCAGAAATTAAAACAAGGTAATGCAATGCTTTGAGTAGCAATTCATTTAATTGTTTTTTCTCTATAAATTGCCCATGCTCTTTCAAAAATGTGCATAAAAATATAGCTAGATTTTGAATGAAATTTTGTTCTTGATCTTGACCTGCTGCATATGCTTCGCGTATATTTGTATCAAGAGGTAAAATCTGTTCTAACTGTCGCATTACATTAACAAATAACATTACAAATACGTCATCATAAGTTGTTACTGTGACACCAGCAATTTCGGTTAAGCATTTTAATGTAATATTTCTGAATATTGGTACATTTAAAAACTGTAAAAAAAAAAAAAAAAAAAAAATAGTAACAATTATAATATAATATTATAATATACAAAAACATTATAATTATAATGTTACATAAAAATAATACTGTATTTACCTTGAATACTAAAGTGCTTATTAATTTTGTTTCAAAAATATACCCCAGAGGAATCCAATTTAAAAACCTTAAAAGAGTTTCTAATGTAACTGCCACCAGTTGAACATTTTGTGAATTATCCAATACAAACTGACAAAGATGAAAAATATGTGAGAATTCACTACACATAGTATCTTTCAAATGTTTTGCTTTTGTTTGTGTCATTTGTCCACTAGAAAAGTCAAATACTTCTTCTGATAGTAATTTTAAAATTGCCATATTATTTTGACAAAGACTTTCATTTGTTTTACTTGCTCCAACAATGTCACCAATAAAGGATTCCCAGTTTTTTGGCCATTCTCGTTTTAAAACCTACAATAAATATACTTTGTTAAAATATTATTATTTTATATTTTTCAATTTTACTGTTACTTACTTGAACTAAAATCATATTAAGTTTATTAAGATAAACTTTAGAACTTTCCATTGTTTCTGGGTCACTGCTTGTTTTTATGATAAGACCTACAATATATTTTTTTATACCTTCACACTGATTTCGTGGTAATACTTTCCATCGTGTCTTTATAACTTGTTCCAATATTTGTAAAGCATAATACTTTGTTTGTTGATTCTATATATATATATATATAAAATTTCATATAAATTAGAAAATTCTCTTTATATATATTTAATTTTGATTTGAAAATTTACCTGTGAATATTCTAGAATAGTATCTACACGGGTCCATGCATTTGGATGCTCTTTAAGTGTAGTTAATACTTCTTGTGCAACTCTTTGTTGCTCACCTATTCCAGTGTACATACAACCTACTATATTATCAAGAAGTGTTATATCTAACTTCTGATTAAAATCCAGAAGCTTAGATGCTTGTTCTGCTAAAGTTGCCATTATTTATTGTAAATTATCCAATTTTCATACACCCTATCTGAAAATAATTACATTAAATATTAATATTTATGTCAATAAAATTATATAATTAATATATAAATAAGATATAAATATTACAAAGTTTTGTTTCTAAAAAAAAAAAGGATTAATTAAATATTTTAGAAATTTATAATTAGTTAAAGCCTTCACTGAAATAATCTAGTATAATATTATAAAACAATTTCAGGATAAAAACATAAAAAACATTACAATACAATATTTACAATTAATAAATAAATATAAAAAACAGTATATTTTTACACAGTGCATTGTTTAATTATTTTAACACAAAATATATTGTAATATTTTACAAATAAAAATTTTAAAAGCTGATAAAAGGATACTAGTATCAAGTAATATTGTTCTGTGCTTCTCTCTATATGAAGATCAATTATATATTATATTTATAACTAAATTAAAGACATTAAAAGAAAAGAATGTGATATAAATAATGAACTAAACAGAGGTAATAATAAAAAGGAAATCATTGTTAACGTGTAGCGAGGGAGGTCACCGCACTGCGACCGCTCGACCTAACCTACATTTGACAATCGCAAATAAGGTTATGTGAAAATTTATTGTGCGTAATGTTTGTAAATCTAATGTAAAAACTATTTCATTTAATACATTTAATCAAATAAAAAAAAAAGATAATGAAACATAAAATATTAATAATAGGTCATTGGAATCTGTAGATTTTTGTTATCCGGGTGCACTTTACTCATTGCGTCGTTGTTCAACGAATAAAGCATCATAAACGACGTTTACACATACCGCATCAACTCCCACACGCAGATTCTCAATTCGTAGGTAAAAAACACACGTTTCACACTAGCAATCACAATCTCTCGCATTAAATCACAATCAGAAAAAGGCCAAACACACAACCGCTGATTCCCGCGCGCGACCAATTTCGTTCCTCGTTTCACAGACTCGCTGTTCCTCACCGTCTCTTTCTCTCTCTATCTCTCGCACGTTCTCTCGCTCGTCACTCCTGCCTCTGCTCCGTTTGCGACGATCGTCAGTGAAGAGAGTTCCACTCATAAATGTACGATACCCACCGAGGCCGTTCTTCGTCGTAACTTTGTTTCTTAAATCTCATACAAGTTTCTTCTATTTCCCTTCAATTGTAATGATAAACGAAAAAAGTAGGAGCTTTATGTTGTCCTTAAATCCAACCTACAGATTTTCGAAAATAATAACAAAATGGCTGAACACGTTACGCGGACCATTGCGGAGAAACGAACATTTTCATTGGTCTCAACAATCTGTTTTGTCCAATCAGAAAAACTCTAGCGACTGTTTCTAAACGTCACAAATTACGTCACGTGATGTCATGCAACACGTGTTCTCCATTTTGACTTAAAATTTCGTATGAATAACGTTTCGTACATATAGGTATTGCGTATCTATATTTTGTTTTTTTAAATAAAGTTGATAATTCATGTAGACGTTTACATATTTTTCATTTTTTGATATCCATAATACATTATTAAGGCAGTAAGACTGGTGCTGTTAACGAATGTTTATTTATTACGAAATGTAAAGTTTTAGACGAAGAATCTCTGCGAATACTATCCTACTTGCAAGCATATGACAGTTTGTAATTTATTATCTTATTTTAAGATATCCTTATTAGAATTTCAATAGTTTAATCAACCGAATAATATTTACAATTTTAAAGTAAAGAAAATTTGAAATTGTTCGAAATAAATATATTAATTCAATTGATCAAATATGTCTTGTCAAATAAAAGGAATTGCGAATCTAACCAATATAAGCAATATTAAAGAGTTACTTTTTGGAGAATCTACCAGAAAACGTATGTTATTATGTTCTTTTGTTTTGTTATTTAAAAAAATAGTAAATATCAATATGTATATTTTCCAGTTGACATTCCACAAGATGAATTACCATTACAAGACTGTTTTATATCATTGTCCTCAACTGGAGATGTTCTTGCTATGGCATATAATACAAAAATGATTATATTAATTTGTATGTATTATATTATTTATATATATTAATTTTTTTAATTTTAAATAATGTATAATTTTGTTAAATAATAATAATTATTTTACAATATAACATATAATTTATTTAAAAATGAAAATATATCAAATTTAGAATTTAGACTTACGTATGTTTAATTTTTAAAATAATTATTTGATATTAGCAAGATGGGATTCATTAGAACCAAATGAGGCAAAAAATAAATTTCATATGATATGGTATGGTGAAATTGCTAAAGAAGTTAAGTAAGTTTTTATTATAATAATATTATGTTAAATCATATATTTTTTTATTATAATAAATTTTGTTGAAAATATGTCCATATATTGAAAGTGTTTTTTAGTGAATGGATAACATCTGTGATTTGTTTACCTTTATTATCATTGGGAAAAGCTAGTAGTGGAACTAATCCAGATTGGACATGTATTATAGTTGGTTTTAATACTGGTTTTATTAGGTTTTATACAGAAGTAAGTTTAAATTATTACATTTAAATGGTTTAATCTATGATGATCTAAACTGTATTTATTTATAATAATGAATTAAAAAATTTAATATACTATGTTTATACTATAATATATTAATATAAATTATTTTTGATTTAGACAGGTGCATTATTATTAGGAGAACAATTACATAATGAGCCGGTTGTAGGATTAAAATGTCAATCTTTTCGTTCACCTAAACATAGTGGTGATACTGGATTATCTGAAGAAGTTCATGTGACATATAATAGTGTTGTATGTGTATTACAAGGTTTCCCTTTATTTTCTACATTACGAGCATGTAGAAATCATTTAGCTAGAGGTACAAAAATTAATTAATTTATATTATAAAAATGTGCTATAAAAATTTATATGTATTCAATATTTATAATAATATATATTTTTATTATAGTTATATATATATATATTTATAATAATATATATATTTATTATAGTTCAAGCAAACTGTGATGATCTACCACCTATAACAAATCTGTCATATAAAAAGTGGGGTTATAAAAGTCAAGATATTGTAAATGATTCAGAAGTAATTGGTACCACTTCTGTAAATAGTTTTGATCATTTAATGACAGCTTCAATTTGTGGTGGATATAATGCATCTTATAGATCTAGTGCACCACAGCATAATTTAGTTCTTGCAACTGGTAAACGACCATTTGTTGGTTTTCATTATGCACTAGAAGGTGGTTCAGTTCCAGTTTTATCAGATGTTGCAATAGCAATGGCCAGCAAATTAGCAAATGCTATTGGAACTGCTGTTCCGTGAGTGTTGCATAATAAATTCATGTTATGCATTTATTGTCAAAGGATATGTTACCTGTAAGAGAACTAAATTAAAGTGCCATTAAATTATATTAATTGAATAATATCACATATACATATTTTTTAATAATTTAAATTATTATTCATATTATTATTATTCATTATATATACATATAAAAATTTTATAGTTGTATTCTATTTTATATATTCATTTTTTTTTTTTTTTTTTTTTTTTTTTTTTAGTTGGTTTCCTCTTAATTGGGGAAATTTAAAACATCAAGCATCACTTGAAGTATCAAAAACTAGTACTCATGAACCAATTGAACCAATGACTTGTAGATTTGGACTAAGTGATGTTACAAGAGAGGGTTATTCAATAATATCCAGTCCAAATAAGGCATTATCAGTAATATTAGATGCAATGGGTAGAGTGTTATTAATAGATAACAAATGTTGTATAGCTATTAGAATGTGGAAAGGTTATAGAGATGCACAATGTGGCTGGATTGAAGTGGAAGAAGAAAAACATTCTGGAATGCACAAAGCATTTACTAAATTTAAACAAACTCCACAGTTGCGTTCTGCTTTTTTTTTAGTCATTTATGCTCCAAAAAAGGGAATAATAGATATATGGAGTACACAACAAGGTCCTAAAATTACAACATTTACTGCTAGTAAACATGGTCGGTGAGTAACAATTTTATTTTAAAAATTAAAATTATTGTTTTAAATAAATATTATTACGCAGATTACTTTATATTAATTATGGTCTTCTTGGTGTAAATGATAATATACACATATCAAAGAATAAACCACAATATTCATGTATTTTTATGGATCCTCTTGGAGGATTGAAAGAAATTACAGTACCATTTCATTTTGCTCTTAATAGTAAAAATGGAAAAAGAGCACGTGATATACATTTGCTTAAAAAATTGAAAACTTTTTTACGAGAAGAAGAATTTGAATATGAGAAATTAATTTCAGAAATTGAAAATGTGTGTTCAGATTTAAAAACTAATGAAATAAAAGTGCAAACATTAGAAATGTTAATGTCAAATAAAAATATTATTCCTGATGCTTTATTAACAGCTACAAATTGTTTTACTAAAAAATTAGACGAATATGGTATATTTATTATATTTATTATATATTTATTATAAAAATGAATCTTATTTAATAATATATAAATTTTATATTATAGACAAAGAAGAAATGGAACCTACTACTAAAACGCTTTATTTATTAACAACACAGTTACAACAAATAATTACTTTTTATAAATATATTGAATCTCAGTTTAATACATTGGAAAATAATATTTCTATAGATTATAATAATAGTAATCTTAATACAAGAAATTTAGCTTCCACTTTATTAACTTCTGAAAGAGAAGTGCATAGAATTTTTGAATTGTTTAATAAAATAAATAGTTATAAGAATTCGGTTTTTAACTCGGAATGTAAAGTGAAATTTAAAGAAGATGGAAAAATTTTTTCAGATTTTTTATCTTGTTTTGAGTTTGGAACACTAGGATTTATAGATGTTAAAAAAGATATAAAAATAGAAAAAGAAGATAATATTTGTAAGTATTTTGATATACAATTTTAAAAAAATTCATTATTAAATATTTTTTTCGATATTTTTAGCTCGATTAATGTATGAAGGATGTATACATTCATGTGATAAGATTGAAATGTGGAAAGAAGCTGCTAAAAATAGTAATATTGAACCATTTGTTTTTATAAAATTTGCTTTAATCTATTGGCTTAATAAACAACAAAATTCATATTTGGAAATAGAATTAAAATTTAGAATGAAACAATTTACGCAACTCTTACATGCTATTTGTTCTATAGGAGGTAAATATCAAATAAATTTTTTAATATTATAATTTAATATTTTAATTTTTATTTTAATCTATCAATTTTATTTCTTATAGATATTGAAGATATATGTGCAGAATATAATGAAATATCCTTGTGGTGGAAAAAGGTTCGTAATATTCTTTTGAATTCAACAAATTCATTTAATGCACTTAGTGCTGCTTTGATGTGCAGAGCTGTTGCAATGTCTATAGAAAAATATAAAGAAAAATATGATAACAAAGTTGAAGAAAATAATGATCAAGAAGGAAAAGATATAAAAAATGAGAATGATTCAGAAAAAATAAAGCAAAAACAAAATTATGTTAACAATATGAAATCAGATGATGAAATATATAATTTAACAAATGAATGGGAAAATGTTACTAAAGATAGTTGTCAATTTACATTACTTATTGGAAATCTTGAAGACATTACGATTTTAGATGCTATTGTAAGGTAAGGTAATTAGTGATGAAATTTATTTTTTATAAAATTTTTATACAATTTTTATTTCAGTCAACAACCTCGATTGGATACTACATTACAATTTTTTGCATTACCATTTGTAAAATTCGATATTTCTTTAGGATCTGTTCTTTCAAAAGGAAAAGGTTACATATTCATATAATACAACTTTTATTTTATGTAATATTATATAATAATATTATTTTATAACTAGGTTCTGTGTCAGAAATAGTTGCAAAATGGATTGCATCTACGGGTATCGATCCTTCTGAATTAATAGATACAACGGATACAGAATTTGATCACATGCGGACAACAAATGATTTTTTAGAAGTACCAAATTCTTCAGACGAAATTTCTAATGTTGATAATGTTTCACAATTTGATTTAGAGAAACCTCTTTCAATATCTTCTGATATAAAAAATGAAGATAAAGATAATATAAATAATACTTCATGTATTTTAGGTAAATGATAATAATCTCTTTATTGTCAATTCTTAATTATTTTTTAAATATTAGATTGTATTAAAGTCTTTTATTTTTAATTTTCAGAAAAAATTAAATTATTAAAACATCATTTTCCATATAGTTTAACAAGTAGTGTTTTACTAGCTAATATATGTTGGGAATTTGCAATGTCATGGAATAAAGATATTTCACAGTTGAAGTCTCTTGAAGCTGCATTATCTGTTTTACGACAAATACCTATGAAACGTATGAGGCACGGTAAAAATTCTGAAAACTATTTATAAAACTATTATGTTAAATATTTTTCTAAATAATATTATAGTTATTATATATTCTGTAAGTAAAATTTTATTTCTTAGGTGTTTGTTGTTTGCTATGGTCAGTTCACATGAAGAAACGAATGGAACTAGTTGCAAAATTAATTAATAAACTTGGAAAACTACCAAAGGAGAGATTATGTATGCAAGAAATCGGATTATCTGATATACAAATAATTGCATTTTTACAACATTGTGTTACGTTTTTAGAAATATTTATTGATGTAAGTTTTTGATATATTAATATTTCATATGATTTTATATCAAGTTGCTTAAAACTATGTGAAACATTTTTATATTATTTTAGTCTGAAATACTCGAAACTGGAGAGAATATAGTTATTAAATCAGAAGAAATATGGGAAGGTTGTACTTCTAGTCCACAACCGTTTGCTGCATTAGCTATTTCTCAAGCACCCGCTTGGTATGATTTAATTATGTTGCATATACAGTTAGCTAATGTTTTATATATGATGGCCTATTTTAATTTGAAAATAATAAAACCATTAAATAATTTATTTGAATCTGTAGTAAGTAAATCAAAAATATTAACTAAAAATTTAAATCCATAATTATAATTTTTATACATTTATTAAATTCTAAATATAGGTACAACCATATTTTTTTCAAACGATGTCAGATAAAGTAATGCTTACATGGTACCGAGATGATAAAAGAGATAGTCTAAGAACTACGTTTCTATGTCGAATAATTACTGCATCAATGGATTTTATTCATCAAGAAACAATAGATGGTAAAATAACTAGTTCAGTACAAGCTGTTCAATGGATGAGTAAATGTCAAACATTAGCATCCATTTGGAAAATTAATAATGACGAATTAAGAATATATCAAGTTTGTCAATTATATGTGAATGGTTTTGATCGATTAGCAGAGGAAGTGAGTAAAAAAACTATAATTTGATATAGTATTTGATAATGTCCCATTTGAAGAATATATATATTTAGTCTTTTGAAACAGGTTGTTACAGCTGTAAACGATGTTGAAAAGTTAGCAGAAGATCTTCTGCCAATTGCTGCAAGAAGAATGATGGCATATCTTTCAAAATCACCTGATCTTTTAGAAGAAGTTTCTCGTATAAGTCCAACTCTTACAAAATATTTGGAAAGTCTTGTAAGTTATAAAATTTATTTCAATTTTATTATTTTTTATTATTAATAAAAATATTATTAATAATTTTAGGATGTACCGGAAATAATTTGTACAAATTGTTCAAATGATGATACTATTGAATTAATACGACGTGTTTCAAGACATTTGCCAGAAACACATTCTAATTATCATCTTGCACAATTAATGTTAGATGCGGTATTCATTTATGAAGGAACAACATGATGTTCAAATATTTAAATAGGAATAATTTATAGGGTATAAGTAAATTTATCTCTGCTTTATGTTTTTAATTGTATTGAATCTAATGTTTTAAGTAAATATAAAATATACTTATCATGTATCATTGATATCCCATCATATCAGAAGTAAATAAATACTTGAAACATTTGATTGCAAATTATAACAAATATAGACGTACATTTATGTCGCATATAATAAATTAAATGAAAAAATTTAATTTCATATTATTTCTATTCTTATTTAATTTGTTTTTCGTTAAAAATATCTAAAAATTAATTATTTTTAATTTTCTTATCTATTATGCTTATTAAAAATAAATTATAATTCACATATACTAATATTAGTTTTTATCCTATAAACAATTTCGATATTTTGACTATATTTTCTGGAGCATAATTCAATTGTCGAAATATTTTAATCATTAAAATACGTTTGAAAAGATATATTTTATCGTTTCAACTTCGAAAAAAATGTGATATTAAAAAGAAATCGTTTAATTAGAAACGTATAACATATCCTTTATATTGTAACCTACTAATGCCCTCCCAATTCGTAAATTCGCAGCGATCAATCTGACTACCTGGACTTCCAACATTTGTTAGCCATTGTGCCCTGAAATAAGAAATTCGATCATTTACTTAATCATAAAGTTAAACAATAGTAATTATTAATTAGTATTATTTAAATTTATTTAAATTTTTTTATTCAACTTTTATATTTATAAAATATTTTTTATATTTCAATTTATAAATTATACATACTAGATGATAGTTATGAAAGCTATAGTTGAATACATTTAATTGGAATTCGAATAAACAAACGATCTATTGTTTTTTTATTATCTATTATTAGTTTTATGATGCTTAAGTATTTCATGATGACATAATTTTATTACCGTGCAATTAATATTATCAAAAAAAGAAAATGGCATCACTAATCACTTTTTTACTAATTTTGCTTATAAACAAAATTTGCTTATATAAAATTTAAATTTTCGTAAAAGTTGAATTGAATGAATCAAACTTATAAAAATGTAATTTTATTTTTATATTTAATATCGTATAAAATATTTATGGAATATCAATACACAATGAATTTTTGGATGGATTCCTGAAATCATTTGTTCTCTACATGCATTAAAATCACTGGTTTAATTTCTATATATCTTTTATGGAATGTTGAATTTACCAAATTTCAAAGCTTTTAAATTTGGATAAAACATAGAATAATATTTTCTAAAAATATTATTTTTTTGGATTCATTAGGAAATCAATCTCAATTAGGAAATATATATCAATCATAATATAATTGGTTAAGTGTGCAAATTGTATACGCATTCTATCTTCAATAGTCACTATAGTTTCGCACACTATATAATTATAATTAGCGGTTAATCAGACCGAGTTCAGATATTTTAAGCATCTGTATCGAAGTAGGATCTTTAAAGTCGATCAGCTGTCCCGTGACAACAATACGAACGATTTATTAGCGCGTCAATGTTTCGATTTGCCATCGATATTCTGAATTCAAGATTCTTTTTCCTGAAATTTCTTTAGTATTTGCATTCAACATTTGTAGTTTGAACATTTGTAAAAATTACATATTGTGATATATTTGTATGAAAACTTATCTTGAAAACAATTTGTTTGCTAACTTTATGAATAGGTTCACAATTAAAATGTGAATTGTACGATAATTGAAAGTTTTATAGAAAATAAAATTTAAAATATAACATGAATATTGCGCAAATGGCACTCGAACGAGGAAAATTAAAAATCGATGAATTTGAAATGAAATTGAATGATTTCCTTCTGGGGAGAAGCCAGAAATCAATGTTTTGTCCTCGACCGAGCTATTTTCTTTGACTTCAAGTTCACGAGCAAAACAAATTCGATCACTAAATGCATTTTATAACACATTTTCATTTATAATATGTGTAATATAAATATCTATCTACGTTGAAATTTATATTTATTCATATATTATTCACAACAATCTTGCCCGATTAAATCAAATAATTTGTCTTTCGAATATCGTTTCTTCTATCTGTACGCAATTGGCAAAACATATAGATCAGTAGGTCTGGCTTACTTCTCTAAATAACGATTACATCCTTCTCATCTTATTCTTTCTCTACTGTTCCTTACAAGAAATTCGTCGTTTCTCTTTCGTATCCCTCTTAAAATAAAGGATACTATTAATATAATTCCCACTTTTCTAATTTGGTTTAATTTTCAAATGAATCATTCCATTGTGGTTAATTTTATTGTTTCAGAGAAATCAATAGAATCAAACGATCGAGCATTATTCTTATTCTTATTCTCTTCGATCAGAGAAAACTTGATGCACTAAGATTATATCATTTCTCAAATTAGTTTAGTCCTTATCTTCCATTTGTTTCGTTGTCATAATTATTTATACTATCTAGTCTCGCTTGTCTGTCATTATTGTCAAGTTCTATCTTTAACATTAACTGTTTGCATTCTCATATTAATACTTTCGTCATTAGTTTTTAATGAATACGCATTATTTATCGAAGAATCGTCTGCAATAGAAGCGGCTCGTTACAAATAACTGTTGGAAAGCAAACGACGCGATTCGGCAATAATTCATGAAGGAAAGAGTCATCCGCGCTATTATTTCATTAGATCATTATTAAAGTCAGGCCCTAATGGTAGTTACTCAGCAATTTGCGGCTAAGGTCATGCGATTTTACCAGAGCACTGAATTCGTGAATTTAACTTAATACGAGTCACTAATTCGTGGTACGAATTACTGAAGATAAAATCCAGAAAAAGACGAAAGATAGATCGAGAGTTCTTACTGTTCCATGATTTAAAAATTTATTCATTTTTTTCATTTGTTTTTTTTTTTTTTTTTTTTGCCTGAAATTTTGACTTAAATGTTTCAAATGGTTTATCAAAAGGATCAAAAGGAATCAAATTCGGTATTTTCTTCTTTTCACAATTTGAATTGTTTCTATGCGCGGCAAGAAAAACGAAGAAGAGGGAAGATATTCTCTGCAAATTTATCTTATTTTATCTCTCATTTCTTGGTAATCAGAGGGATAGATAAAATTTTAATAAAAATGAACTTTCACGCTGTTTACCAATCGACGCCACCGATGGTTTGCAAAAGCTTTATGACAAAGAATCGCAACTTACATCTGATCGACGAGCGCATGTGGTCCCTGCATTTTTCCGAGTATCGTGCCGGATTTCGTGTTCTTCACCCAACCGCAAATTCCCAATTGTTGGCATATATCCCTCACGTATTTTGGAAAATAGACACCTGAAAATACGTTCAATTGATACCAATCTTTTGATTACGATCGAGCACACGAATTAACGGTTACTGTCTTTTTTATGTTGCAACACGATGTGAAAATATCCAATGATGTCATTTGTAACAGTCGAAGTGAACTAAAAAAAAAAAAAAAAAATAAAACGTAACGATGAAGTTTATTCTTATATTTCTTTTCTTTTTATTATCCCTAGATACGCTTTTTATTCCGTTTTCTTAATGCGTATTTTATTTAGTAATTTTTATATTTAGAAGAATAATTACTCGTTGATAAACAATAATAAAAATAAAATAAAAATAAATATCCTTGAGAATATTAATAGCGAAATACTAAACCGAATTGTGTCATCTTACGGTGTCGATAGAATTTCAAAGTGATTTGTCATCTGTCTATCGAACGAAGAACAAAAAAATAAATTCACAATCTTTATTTCAATACCTTAATCCAATAGAAGAGAAACCATTTATTAGCTTTTCTTACCATTTTGTTCTCCATACCTATCATCCATCATCCCAATGTTTCGTGCTATATTACAATTGACATATCACTACGTCGAACGCACATTTCTTTCGACCTTGACGTTCTATTAATTCTACCCGTAATCGTGCTAAAGCAACGTGAGGAAACGTTCAAACGAAAGTCTCGTTTCAAGTGGAACGACATTAACCGAATACCCGACGATCTTCTGCCCGATAAAACTTCACTCTTACCCTGCACCTTGCCAAAGACCTCGAATTCAACAGAAACCAAAGGTTCATTGCGGAGGGGGTCGTCAGCTGCCATTCTACCAGGATAAAGGAAAACAATTGGGTCACCTCACAAGATCCACTTCCTCAAAGTTCGAAATGTTTCCGATATCAGAAGTGTGATCAGCACACAGCCATGCACGATGCTTGGCTACAGACTTTTTTTCGATTCTCTCTGACGGCCACTCTCTTCACCTTTCGCCGTGATACGACCTACCGACTGATTCTGATCATTGCACCACGGCGTCGCGACGCCTCAAATAGACTCCCCACCCTGTCGAGGGGAATCCAATTGCAATTGATCGAGAATCGATCGACTACGATCATTGCATATCGTTATTCCTGCTGTTTCATCCTTCGATCTCGAATTTTTTTCTCAAACACGCTCGATTCCTTTCTATATTTTTAATCGTCCTTCGCCTTTTCTCGATCATCCATCGCGTTTTATTCTTGGCAAATTATCTTATGCTGCATCCACATTATGTTCGTGAACGATTCGTGAAATGGATGATATGATGATACTTTTATAAGTAGCTTGCAATGAACTTAGATGGAATTTATTTCACCTTAAAACACGTGTGCTCGTGATATTGATTATACGTAAATTTTTACGCAACTAAAACGTGTTCAAATTGATTAATATAGAGAAAATGTGTTATATTATTCATGCTAAATTATATATTTTCTGGATAGTTCACATCAGTAAATCATTACATTTATACAAATCACAAATGAAACTTCAATTTTTCATATAAAAATAATGAAAAAAAAATAAAACATTTTGTCGTTAAAATCCACTCGGAACATAGAGGAAATTATACCATTGAAATCACTTTTGGTTTTATCCCGATATCTCAATCGGTTGCCGAGATATAAGGATTCATAGGTTAATTAACACATGGTGCGGAAATTATGAATGGCTCGCGACCAACATTTTTTGTTGAAAATGCGTACCACGTTTTTCCAGGAATCGTGTCTGTTATTTGTCTGAAACTTGAGATAGGTTAGTGAGACGAGGTACGAGTGAAAGTGAATAAGTGACAAGGACGGAAATAATGAACGATTAAAAATTACCTTTTTCTTTACACGACGATATCTCAAGAACTGGAAGTCATATCGAGATAAATTAAAAAGCATTTTAAAGGGTAAAGTTCCATGCTTCCAGTGGTCTTTCTCTGATTGACTGAAAATTAATATTTTCATAGTTACAGCGGTTTAAACTTTTCTTAATTTTAATAGGATTCAATCGAGTTTTAAGATAAATTTCAAATGTTTTAAGATAAAACATAATAGATATGTTTAGTTTTGAAAATGTATTGTTTATAACAATATTATTAATGGTATCAAAGACTCTTAATTAATTTAAAAAATCCTTTAAGTCGAAGTAAGTTGAATCTTTATCAGATTTAATTATGATATTAATCAAACGGATTTTATAATTTTTCCGTAATTTTTACACACTTGTATAAAGAACATTTTATATTTATATCATTTATGTAAAATATGAAAAATATGCATTTGCATGGAAATCCGTAATTAACTTATTAATCATCAGTTTATAATCATCAAGCTTCAATATAATCTGATCTGTAGTGAGCATTATATCGTAATTAATTCAATAGAATGAAATGATTGCAAATATGAAGAATCAGGATGTATAAATGTAATTCATCTTGATGGAATTTTTTCTATATGATCACAATAGAAACAATTCAAAATTCCATAAGCTTCTTTCTTTTTTATTTCAATGAACGTTTATTTCAATTCAATTTTTTTCTTTTTTATTTTAATTCGTGATAAAAGTCGCGTATAAATATAATATCGCCTTTAAACAGGCTGCGCAATTTTGGAATGGCAAAGTGTGTTTAACGTATCAATACTAGACGTTCGAGGGAGAACAACGTGCCGATTCGTTGATTCCCCGATTAACCGCGATCGATTCCGGTTTTCTGCGGGACGAAAGAAAACTTCCGCCACTACGGCTGGCACATTGTCCATTGTGAAAATGTTAAATGTAGGCCAGGAGGGCAACCGCTTATCATCGAACTAGCTACTTCCCATCGATGTGCCAGCCGCCCATTGTCCCGTCATTATTCCAGTTAATTAATTATTAGTACGCCATGACGTCGTAATTGATGTACAAGAGCAAAATCTGCGGGGTGTACAGGATGCAGGAGAGAAGGTTATAACCCATTTATAATGATCGTGTCCAGTCTATTACCATTGTCATCATCAAGGTCTCATCTAACGCTAGAATCGCAAGTGTACACTTTTGACGATAAATCGTTAATTGTTGCAAGAAATATTTAAATTTGGTCGAATCGAGGCAGATATCGATGGTGTAACGATGACTAGAAGTCCTATGGAATCGATGCTGACGAACACTTTTCACCTTGATGTTATTATCTCATATATTTGTTACGGATAATAACGAGTCCTTATAATTAATCGTTTCGTAAATTAGTTGAAACATTCGGTGGTTAAACTTCCGTTTAATTGTCCATCGATGTCACGTTATCGGAGCATTATACGAGAAACGCACGATGATGTACGATTCTTGAGCGAGTTAAAACGCTTAATTGAGTGCTGCGGAATCATTCTGAATTCTGAATGAATCGTTGAGTAAACGCACGTGTCTATTACGTGTGTGTACGTATCTATTTTTTATCGCGTACAACTCACCGCCTACGCAAATACACTTTGATGGGCGAAGAGGGTATCTTTCTCGTAGTGCCCCTCGTCCAACGATTAGGGATGTACTCTCGAGGCATGCATGATCGAAAACACATTTATGTTCACATGTACACACACATACACACATCCACTCGATTCCTTATTTACACATAATCATCATTCTTTCACAGCCATTCCCGTCCAACTTGCTTGACTTCATTTTCATCTCACGATCGTTTCTTATCGATCTACTATAATAAAATCGTTGTCCTAAGCGATCTATCTGCGCGTCTATCTATTTGTCGTTCTATACAGCTACTTTCCGCGCTCGTTCCACCGTCTATTTATTCGTTGATACTTTACAAACTCGTTGACGACTTCAATATGAAGTCCGCGTAATAGTATTCGTTTCCCTGAAGTTTCTACGTACGATCTCGAATTTCACTGTACGATCACTGGCCACAAAAGCACAAATTATAAGAAACCGATTCTTCTCGAAACTGTGTTTCTTTTTTTCTTGTCTTTCGATGGTGCACGAAGATCGATCGGCGAGGAGTATTTAGAGAGGGAATTGTTGGAATCTTGTTTCCTCGAAATTCGATGTTAGACGAGAGATTCGGGATTCGTCGGTAGGATAGTCGTGGCGGTGCTATTCGGTAAAAGTGCCCCGTTCTCCGTGTCTTTGGGATTTCCGTCTGGTCGTGGGCGGAAATCCTTCGAGGCTACTAGCAAGTTTTGTCGTCTCGCTTCCTTCTTCTCGCGTTCGATCTGAAAATAAACGGGCGTTATTCAATTAGATTAGTTTTTTTCTTTTTTTTTTTTGAAACTGATGACTCGTGTCAAATAAAATTGATCGATGATTAAAATTCAATTATGAAAATTCTTTTTTTATCTCTGACGATCTTCTATGAATTACGTATTACGTTGATTTTTACGTATAATTGGAGCAAAATCTTATCTCATCACTAACCTTGAAGAACAATCGAAGATAATGGCAAGGAAATACGACGCACTTGCCATCATCCTCCTCGGCGTCGATGTAAACGCCGCGAACGAGGATCGAGTTGCTGCAGTTGAGAAGTACGAGGAAAACGAAGCACCCGACATGAGTGATCCAGCAGGACATTTCTGGATTGTCCGGTACCAGCCACAGATCCAACACGTTCCAGATACCACGCCAAACGTTCACCGTGCCCAGGAAGCTGAGCAGCAGGAAACAATCCGCCACTATTAAACGGGCCAAGCCTTGAAGACGAGCGCACGCGTATCGCATCAATGGTTGCAGAGAAAACGTCATTGTCACTATCACATATCCGATGGCCTGCAATTGCACGCGTCAATTGTTCAAATATATATAATAAACAGAGAGAACGATTGGCAGTTGCAAATTATTCATTTTAGGCGTTCTGATTTACAGTCCAATTTGATAATATTCTTGATGAAAATGGCTCGTGGTTATTTTAGATGAAACAATTGCAAACGAATGTTTTTATCTTATCTTCTCATTTTTTCCCCATTTTTACCTTTTCTTCTCTTTCATTTTTAAGTTTTTTACTTATTGTATATGATATATCAGTTTTTTATTCTATGCTTACACATTTTGTTTCTTTTAAAAATACTTCTAGCTTTTTAATGTTTTTCCTTTAGCCTGTATTTTATAACAAAAAAGTATAATTCGTTGTTTAACAGATTCCGAAGCACCTCGTCTTTCCTGTGATGTATTGGATCGAGCAAAAGAGCCTGTAGATGACGTCCACGTTCCCATTAATCGGAAATTCCATTGAATCAACCGACGACAAATAGTCCACCGTTGTTTCACGGATTTGAAGCGGCATTGCGAGCGAGTGAATTGGATGACCCTCGCGCAATCATCGACCCTCTTCAGGATTTACGTTATCGCGATTACTGAACAAACCGTATCGATTTAATTTCTCGTAAGAATTTCAAACATCATGCGTGAATTTCAGGTATACATCCTTTTAAACCTTTGAAAAAGTTTTAAATCTTGGAATAGTTCGTTAAATGGTATCGTCGAGCAAATACTATCGTGTAAATATCAATGATAGCGTTTAAATTAAAAATCCTTCATTATCTTTGCATTTTAAGACGATGCGTTAATCTTCATAAGCGCAACACAGAACATTTATCATTTTATTTAAATTACCTATTCTCAAACATCTCGAGAAATAGTTCGATCGATAGATGAATTTATCAAAATCATTCGATCGATCAAAAACGTGGATAATTCCACGTCCATGAATTTAATTTAAAATTGGAACGGTGGCGCCGTTGATAAGCAAAATATCACGTCTGGAGTGGCGTCTGGAGAATGAAAATATTTGTTTACTTCTCATTTGGATTTTCCAGCCAAGAAAAGAACGATCAAAATCGAAGATTTAATTTATCATTATCGATAAATCATAGAGGAATCGATTTAATTTTTACTCTAAGTTATGCGAATAGTTAATATCTTGTTTGATAAGAAATTCGTAATATGAATCGTCTTGGCACGATCACCTGGTTTCTAGACAAATCTTATCGTTTGCATCGACCAGACATTCGTCGCGTCAGATCTCTTTCGAACAGGCGGCGATCTTTTTATTCTCCGCCAATCATGTCGAGGGGAAAAAAATCGCAACGACAGTCTAATATTATTGTTGTCGCGGACAATATGTGGCGCCAACTGAACGTATATCGTTTTGCAACCGAATAATTCCACGAGTTTGCGAATTTACTTTGCAATGTTGAAATATTTGTGTTTGCCAACGTTGTATGAGTAATTCACCATCGTTAATGGAGAAGTATAAGGAATATTCGAATGATCGAGTGATGGATGAAATGTGAATGATCATGTGAAAGATGGAATTAATTTAAATAAAATTACAAATTGCGTTTCGGAAAATGGAGGAAAATATAATAATTTTGGAAATTTCAATGTAGAATTCGATAAGAATTCTTAATGTTACTGGGAATTTCAATGAGAATTTTAATCTTGCTTTCGATGAGAAGTTTAAAATCGATCGTAATAGAAATTTAGTAAAGACTTCAATAATAAATTTTAAAGATTTTTCAAAGCTTTCGAAGCCAATTCGCAGCGGTATTTGATAGAAATTTTTAAGCTAATTCAGGGTGAATTTCAAGGAGGATTTCGATGGGAACAGGACGAAAGGTTTAATGGGATGGAGTATAGGTCTCCGGGTGCAGATCAACGATCGTCATTATTGAAAAATTAAACAAATCCTCTCGTTGACCGCGTTCTCTCCGCAACGTATTCAGACAAGTAAACGCAGCCCGTAATAAAGTGTCTTTGCGCACACATACACACGTCAACAGTTTTGTCATGTGCCCTCGCAATCATACAATTGGCGAATATTCAATTATACAATCGGACCAACGGCGTGCCGCTCGCCGCTCTCTGCGTAGGTGGCACGTTTCAAAATGTCGTTCAACACGTGATTGTTAATGACACCCGATGACACGCGTTCGTTCGATAGGATGCTGTTTTATCGAATGTTTGGACGTGCCACCACGTTTACGTGGATTCGTTTGATCAGGGGTAAATATGGACGAGAGCGATCTTTTTAAGATCAGCTGCAATTTTTGATTCGAGCCGTGACTCGAATAATTTTCTTTAAAATCAAGATTTTTGATCAGAAGCGAAGAATTTAGATCTTGTTTCTTTTTTTCTTTCCTTCTTTCTTTCTTTTTTTAATGAAAAAAGGATACTTACGAGAGATCCAATAGCTGAATACTCGTGATTGTCAGGGAAAAGATAGAGATCGAATAGTATCCAAACACCTCTCCAAACGAACACAACCAATGTACCGACCACTCCAACGCTGAAGGCACAATCCAGTAAGTACAACGACCAATCCCTTGTGTTCTGCAATCGAACAATACAAATGATTGACAAATATCATTCGTAGATGAGGGTGTTGTTTGAAGAGACGCGGGAACTATGATAAAATGATTTGATATTGTTGTCGATCATGTATTGCTTATACGTCGAAGATTATTTATGACGAGAAAAGAATTCGTAGTTTACCCTATGATAGGCGTTCAGGTCTCGATTGAACTTTGCAAGAATGATATGCGATGTACAATTGAAATTCAATAGCATAGGAACATTATGCATTGATGAGGAATTTAACTCGTTAAAAATATATGGAATTATTTATTATTTATTATTTATTATTTAAATATTAAATACTAAAAGAAATGTTAGATTTTTTTCATTGAAATTAAAATAATAATACTGCGATAAATATATTTAATATCTATAACATTTTTCTTTTCATGCTTTCGTAAAAATATAATTCATTGTAATAACTTGACTATTTTATCAACTTTTTTATTCATCTATTTGCTTCTGATAATAATTATTAGTAGTAAAAGTTATAATTATCTTTAAATAAAATTTATTCGATCGTTATCTAATTTTACTTCGAAGATATTAACCGAACAATGAAACGATATTTCCTGATATATTATAATTATTTTTTTTGATTTATAAAATTCCAAAGTGGTTCTAATATTAACGATAAAATGTATTAAAAACAGAGATGAGATTAATTATGTTTCATGTGCGTTTAATATATTTTCGTTGAATCATTAATATAACGTAATTTTTTCACACAGATCGCTAACTCACGCTTCCTAAATTCGCTGATTCATTAAACTTTAAATTGCTGGAGGGATGGGGACATTGCTACAATATTGCCCTGTTACGAGAACTGAAAATTGTGGAAGAAGATAGTTAAAAAGATAATTAATTCCTATTCTAACAAAAGACTTATAAATAGAATAATTCCCAATTTAAATTTTTTAACATATTTTAATCAAAGTGCTTACTCGAAGTTTAAAATAATACAATATACAAACAAATGAAGAATAAATTTCCCTTTTAAAGAATATTTTTTAACATTTGATCAAAGTTTTATTAAAAGATACTAATTCAAAATATTTAAAATAATAAAAACGAGAAATGTTATCAATTAAATAATTTCCAATTTGGAATCTTAATTCGATATGTAATTTAAACAGATTATTTATTTGAAGAACACGTAAGATAGTATTTTAACTCATTGCCTGTGAAGAGTATTTCGGCAACGAGTTTGACAGTACAAATTGGAGGGATTTTCCGGTCGACGAACCATTTGTAAGATAAACAGTCATCCGAGTGTATCACCCGTCGACTTTCCGCGACACCCTTCTGTCCTCGATTTTTAAATGATGGAGAGCCAACTGCGCGGTAATTAATTCAAGATCGTTCTACTGTCTCCATTCTTTATCATCGTCTTCGATAAATCATTTCCAATTCATCAATGAGAAAAATCAAATCTCTAATCGATTAAAAATCAAATATAAAATTATAATTGTTTAAATATTTATAATAAGAAGAAATGTTAAAATATTTAGAATTCAAAATACGATAATCAAACGGCTCTGATCAATTATCTAAAAAAAATTTGTTACAACTCTAATTCTATTCTGGTGAATCTTATGCACGCTTATATTCATGCCATCGGAAAAATGTAATTCGTATAAAATTTATTACGTATTTGATGTTTTTTTTTCCTTCTTAATTTTGCTTGAATCGAAGGAGAAAGGTTCGAGCAATGAAAATTGGTGCAATCGCAGGCCGTGCTCGTGCGTGTGCAAATTGCACGAACGCAATGCTGTTCAACTATTGGGAGAGACAGCCGGAAACTGTGCTTATACCTTGCACATCGATGCCGTGCAACGCACGGCTCTGGCTTCATTGATGCGTCAAAACACGACGCTGTCTAGCTTCTTACGTTTCCTGTTTAACGTTTACCTTTCTAGTTTTCGACGAAAAGGAATCTGTGACAGTTTTTGGCTAGAGGAGTTTTGATTTTTTTGCGTAATAAAGTATCTCTTCAAACGATTGACGTGTCGAAAACTTGCGTATGATCAAATTTGTTACCACTTTCGATGGAAATACGAATGAAACACACTTCCAAATCGTTGATATCGTTTATTCGATTAAAAATAGAAGTTAATATTTATATTTTCGTGAGACACGAGTTATCACGAGATTTCGCAGCCTTGTAGGTAATTTCACTCGAATTATTGGTGACCCACTATAATGTCGGTGAAACGGAATGATAGAATAGATAAAGAAGATAATGAAAGCAAAGATAGAAGGATATTATCGTTATAGGAATAGAAAATTTTCCGTATATCTAACTCTCATCGATTCGCTTTGAATTCTTTTCAAACGATGCTCGACACTTGATCGTAATCAAGATTTTCGTTCGCATATTTACTAAGCGAGATGAAACGAGAAAAACTAGAGAATCGTAAAGATAGAACGCGAAAATGGATTTTTAGAAAGAAAAATTCGTTGATGAGAAAGCTTTACACGCTCCGTTACGCGTAACTTTTCTTCTATCGAATATGACTCCATCTTCGTCAGTTCGTCCCAATTTAAAAAATAACAATAACTCTTCAAGTTCCGATATCACGTTACAAAGTGATACGATCGATTACTTACGTTCACTCGGAACATGGTCTGCACTTCGAAGTATCCCGGACATGAATCCAAGCAAAGCGAGAACGGTGGCGCGGAAATGTTCCTCACGGCACGCATGATCGCCAATGCGAGAAGACTGACAATGGTGGTGGCGAAAACCGTGCTCGCCGTGTGTTCCGTGTACAGGTCGAGGGCCTGCCACGCGCCACGCCACGCATTTACGCAGCAAAACCCGAAAACGGCCGTGTACAACCTCGATCCGACGTAGTACGACAATCTGTGTTTGTCCGGGTGTAGAAGCTCGTTCAGAACGTTCTGGGAGACATTGAACGCGTACAACCCTATAAAACCGATCACTATCGAGGTCAAACTGCTGAACACCGGATCCTCCGGATATACGTAGACGTCGCTCAAACCCCAGGTACCTCTCCAGTAACCGACCACCGCGGGTGCGGCCACAGTGGCTGAGAATACCGTGTCCAAAATCGTGAGTATCGTGTAATGGAGACGACTCGATGACCGACCGCTCAGTCCGCTCGTCATTCCGGTGCCACCTCGTAACTCGACCATTCTCATCCAATCCTGATCGAGCCTAGTCGCACCGCTCATCATGCATGATTCGAGGCTGTGGTGGTACGCTCTCTTTGGTGGTGCACGCCTTCGGGCCGAGCTTTCGAACAATCCCACCGAGAGCCTCTCATTATTCGACACGAGAAACGTTGTCCTTTGGTCTTCCAATTCAGCCCTTTCAATCACGATCGTTGTCAAGTTCAATTCAAATCGTTCTCGAGTGTCTGCTCACCGACGACGTCTCCGGGGACGTTGATCAACGAGTTCTCAAACAACTGAACGATTGATCGTCTTCGAGGATACCTTATCGATTAACGTTCACGTTCAATCTCACTGTCCGGAAATCATCGCGTTGTATTCTAGCCATAGCTCCGCATCCTTGCTCTTCCTTTTTTTTAAGGTTTAAGCGGCTCGATTCGAGATTCGAACGACTTCGTCGCTTGCCGAGCAACGCTCGACGAGCTCAAGCTTTGCAGCGGATCTTCTTGAAGTAATACTGGATCGCAGCGATCATCCTATCGAAAGATCCTCTTTCGTCGATCTTACGAAACTCTGCGGGGAACGATCTTCTCGAACGACAATGGATAAATTGTTGAAACGGTACTCGTTGCTTCCACCCGACATCTTCAGTGCTCCGACAAGTTTTTCATCGCACAGATCACGCAGCTGATCTACTCCCAGCAAATCCAAAACCCGTGGGGAAGAGGATGATTTCGACGACTCGATTCTCGGTTCTCGACAATCCCGTGTGCGTCTCTCGTCCGTCCCTTCGAATTTTCGTGATTCACGCTCACTTTTCTCGAGGAACGCGAGCGCGGATCGCAATACTGTGCGCCGTGGATGATGCACCGATCCACACGGGGCGAGATACGCGAGACTGTCAACCGACAGGTCGGGCTGCGGGTGAGTACTGGCATCTGTTCAGTCACCGCTATCTTTTATCAAGTGCTAAGCAGAGACCAACACTATCGCATTATCATGAACAGCTTCGTCATACGGACCATGGCATAGAGAATAGAGTATACGGTGCTCTGCACTCTTCCCTTCCTTCCTCGATCTCTCTGACGGACCCCCACCCATGGATCGGTGAAGCTACGTGCACGCTTGATGAACAAGCGCGGGGACGAGCTTTCGACACCCACTACACGCTATGCTTCTAAGAAAGTTCAAAGGCATCGCCGAGTCCACTTCCTTTTCAACCAAGACTTCCAAATGGCAAGGATGATTGTGAAAAATGGCTACAATTGTACAAATGGAGAACTAAGTAAATTGGTTCGTAAGAAATTATAATAGTTAAAGATGACGATGCTTCTTTTTCAAAAGAAGTCTTTCTGATTCTCCTACGTTTCTTCAAACTCTTACGTGTAGTATTTTTCGTGTGATCGTTTGATCGATGCGATCATTTCAATTTCTTCGTTTGTCAAACGTATAACATATATATGTATACGTATAAATGCGATACTTGATGAAAATTCTCCCTATGCAGTCGCTCGAACACTTCATCACTGAAATAGATTAAAGGTAGCTCGCTAAATTTTTCCTACGCGACTCGATTTCCATGATTTTAAACTAGACGACACTTAAAATCGAACTCAACCAGATGAACAATGATCCTCGTTATTTCGAATATATATTTTCTGCATATATACACGCAATTCGAATAACGCTTTGTTGGAACATTTCGCATACATGTTTATCCCCCGGCCAAGTATCTTGAACGGCAATTAGCGGCTGTTAGTGTCATCAGACGATATCGCGGACTGGCAGCAAGGAGGGAATTTTAATTGAACCCGAACCGGTGTGCTTTATCAGGCTGACAGTGAAGGCAGCCGCGTAAATCGTGATCGACGTTTACGCGACAATCAGCCGCTAATTAACAAATCTGGAACCCAGTGTTAACTGATAAGAAACAAGATAGTGGCACGTAGGAGAAGAGGCCTATGGGTGGCCTGAGCCACCTTGAAGCCCAATTTTTCTGAGTGGCGTTTCCTGTCCGCCAGTTTCATCGGGCTTTTGTCGTGCCAAACACGTCGCTAATCGCCACCTTTTTGTACACCAATCAAGCTTGGATTACGACGATCTTCTCACCTTGACCTGCCATTCTTTCTTTCTTTCTTTCTTTTTTTTTTTTTTTTTCATCATTTAACCTTTTATTGAACGCGAGAAAAAAATTTGTTCCTCGAATCCTTGATTGATAATTTTCTGCGCGTTTCGTCCGCCATTGTGTGATCCGATGATCATGTGTTAAGGATAGTTATACTTTTAACTCTTGATTATTAATGATTAGTATATAAATTATAGGTGCAATGTTGTCTTGTGTGTCTGGTCTGTATTATATTTTATGCACAATTCGAGATGTTAATCAACGATACCGAGAGACGCGCTATATTTTTGGCTACTCTAAAATGATTATCTCTGTGATTAGTATCTTTTATATTTTCTGTTCTTTACAAATATATTAGCGTGAAACAAGGACGTATCGATAGGTGCGTGATGATGCCAATTCAAGATTTAATTTAGCGAGACTAAAAAGAAAAATAGTTTTTATTTCTTCGTTTATTATTGCATTTATAAATATTGAATGAGATAGATAACATTAAAAAATATTTTTTAAATTCTTGAGAAAAATGTATTCATTTGATTTAAATTGAAATTGTACATATATCATTGTTCCTTAGAAAAGTGCACAAATGTATACATGTATGTGTACTAAGAATGCTTCATAAACACTTATTTCATAAGAAATGTGTAAATAGAAAGAAAATTAGATGATAAAGATAAATGATAATATTAAAATTATGTGTTAATTTATCCATATTTTATTTTCATAATGCATTTATAATACACATAAGAAATAATTATTAAAAAAGAATGAAAAAAATATTTTTATTTTATCATAAAAAAATGAATTATTCTTCTCCACTTTTAATCATCTTACATATTTTGAAACTAAAAAAGATTAAGACTAAGATTAGTCATCATACAATATATTTTAAAAACTTCATTCTTTAAATTTTTGACTATTAAATTTTTTTTCAATTTTATTCTTTCTTTCATTTTCTATTTTTTAATACAATATTTATTTATATTGTTATTTATATGTACTTAATGTCAAACATAATTTTGTTAAGAATTGGAGAAAATTAATCGATAATTTGTAATAACTCATGCCTATAATTTTGTTGCAATTATCAACTTAAATTTCCAACTCATAAATCCTGCAAACTCGTAAATCTTTACTCGTGATACTTGCAATGGTTTCGTTCAGTGCACGATTTCCATGATTCACAAACATCAATGAATAACGTTACAGATAATTGAAATGATGGTCTGGCATTATTTTCTTTTATTGTATCAAAAGGTTGGATGTGTTATAAATTAGACAAATAGTTTTTTTTCATAGTAATTGGGCTTCAATGAATAATTTGTTTTTGTATTTTTTAGTTTTATCTTTGAAATTTTTATATTTAATCAATAGATAATAGAATTAATCAAAATTGTTCATCATTGCTCCTAAAATAATCGAATTGTAATATCTTTTGTGAACGTGATAAAAACATTTATCTTATTTATAAATTTTTATAAATTTTTAAATAGTTCTTTAAACTTTATCACACGGGTATATTTCCAATGAAAATTCGATTTTAGGAATTGAATTTAAAGATTGTTTTGAATGATATAATATACACATAGGTGATACGTTATTAATTCTATTCAGTTATTTGGCTAATTGATAAAACTTCTTCTCGAGGGGGATTATATGTATAAATAGAATGTCTTGCACTGATAAACATTTACTTTCCTCGCAGACTCTTACATTTAATGTTCGCGATATCAAATAGAAATGAAAATATTTTCTAATATTTCGGGAATTTGCTATATGCGTCGATCGAAATCCATTTTTATCGCATAATTCTTATTATTCTTATTTTTATAATTTGTATATATTTCTTTTTCATATTTTTCAAGATTGTCAAATTATTAAATGAATTTTACAATATAAATTTATTTTTAATTTGATAATTCAATATATCTTACCTAAATCTAATTCAAATCATGGAAATAACTATAATTTTTAATTTCTTAAAGATTATTAAACTCTGTATTAATACTTTATCGTGTATATATTAAAATTAACTTACCAATTTATATCTCGTTGGAAAGTAGAAAACGAAAATGAGTTTGTCTACTGCAATCATTACTGGAGGTGCAAGAATATTTCGAAAGGATCGTAAAATCATCAAGCTTATCATTATGAGTGTAATGACACCTACAATTAACCTGAAAATTGATAAAAAAAAAAACAGAAAATTAATAAAAAAAATCTTTTTTAAAATGCAAAAACTATTAATAAAAGTTAGTACAATCTTTAAAAAATGGAAATGCAAAATTTGAGCAAATAATTAAAATTAATTTAAAATAGAAATAGTCACATTTTATACGTTCAATTAATGGTGGCTAAACAAAACAAACTGAACTACTGCTATCATTAATATTTTGTCATCAATTGAAAGCAATTCTCTTTAACATCATATTTTTACATACTTGAACGCGAAACGAGACGCCCACTATCTCGAATGACAGTGCTTCCATATATTCCTTTAAAACATAAATAAATTATCGTGTTCTATTTGTATAAATACATAAGATGTAAAAAAATTTAAGATGTAGAAAGTTTGAAAGAAAATACATTCATCATAACTAAAATAATTTATTATATTATATTCTATTTATTATATTATTTATTTTTAAGTAATTAAATGATTCCCAAAGGATATGCGTTAGTAGAATTCGAGATGAAATTAAATAGGTGCGCCGCCTCGAAAGGGCAAATATATATTTTTTTTAAATTATATAATTATATTAAATTATATAAATTTAATTATTATTATATTATTATTAAATTATATAAAGTCAATTTTTTTACAAAAGTAATAAATTTTGAAATTTTAATACGAAATATGATTAAAAAAATTTGGGAATCATTGAATTAAAAGATTAATCTATAGAATATAATTTTTTAATTAGTTTTTTGAAGAAAGTGCAAGTGATCTTACCAAATATGATTCAAGAAGAAGTAATCGAAAATAATCCAAGAGCCTTTCCAGTGCATATTACAAGCAATTCCAAAGATATACGTGTACAGAATTTGCAAGCTCTTGCAATAGATCTTGCTCAGCCAGGTTTTTTTTTTCCATATTTTAATGATACAAGTGTGTATGAAATTTTTCATAATCGCAAAATTTATATGCACCAAAAGACCCATAAAAAATATGAACAATCCAGGAAACCTTGGGACAATGGATAATTTAATCTATTTTCTTTAGATTTTGTCATAAAGTTTTTTTAAAGTTAAGTTAAATAGTTAAGTTAAGTTAAGTTAAAATGCTCCATTTTAATCGAATTTTCTGGCACTCGATAATTTTCTTATATAATACTTGTCAAAATAATTTAAATAATTCAAATTGTGAATCATTTTAATTGAAAAGCTATTAAACATTCCACTTTTATTTATGGACTTTGCGTATCTTTTATCATTATACAAGGTTAATATTCTAGACAAACGTCTAGACAAACTTAAACTTACTTATCTTTATAAATGTCCATCAACGTCCATGTTCCTCTCCAAAAGCCGATGGTCATCGGTGTAATAAAATTAAGCGACAGAAAAACGTCGATTACCGATAAAATTCGTTTCTTCTTCTTCAATTTTCGATCGACAAGATCGATCTGATCGAACAAGAAATTTAATCAAGAAACAAGATAAAATATTCATCACGAATCGCGTTCAAATATGTAAAATGTAACAAAAAATTACCTTAGAATCGCTTTTTACTCGATCATCTTCGTTCACTTTCGATTCTTTCAATTTTTGCAACTCCTTTTCTTCGTTCCTCTCATCCATATCACTAATATTCGAATCTTCACTTTGTTCAATATCTTTCGATTGTAGATCGATTCTCAGTGAAAGAAAAACATCCTTTTTTGCCTGATTTAATTTTTTAAAATGTTCCTTAACAATGTTCTCATCAAATAAAGACGAAACTTCCGACTCGGCATAATCATCCTTTTTAAACACTTCGGAGATGTTATTCAAACTTTTTGCCTTTCTCGCGCTCAAATTTAACATATTTTCAAGGATCAAATATATCGACACTTATGTGACACTTATGTGACGATCGAACGCTTAATAATAATGATACTTTAAAGGAAACTAAACTTCTGTCGACGTTGCAGTGCGAATAATACTGCGCAAAATCCGCACTTGGTGTATTTTTTTCATTTGTAATAACATTCGAATCAATTGAGGATAAACTTCATTAGGAATAGTCTGATCCTGAGATAGATATTTGCAAATAGATAGAATTATTTTTAGTTTGATCGCCATCTGCCGTAACATATGCGAATAGATAAGTTACTAAATTTTGTCAAATTAATAAACAATTATCAACAAAAAAAATGTGGTAAAGAAGGATAGAGGATTGAAATGAATGTTTTTACAAGATATATTAATTTTCTTAATCTATTTTATTTTTCATGTATTATTTGCAAACTTGAAGAACATTTTCTTCGTTTATGTATTCAATCGTTCGATGTATCCAATCTTTTAATTGGTTGGATTTACATTATGTTCTTATATTTAGAATGTCTATTTTTTAACATTTTATCATTTTTCTTTTACAGGTAAACAAAGTGTCATTCACTTTGATTATAAGTGAGATTATACAGGAGACGATCAATGAGATTAAAATCTATTTCTGAATGTAATCTCATAAACACATGATTTATACTTTGGTAATAACATTAATAAAAGCATTATTATAACTCTTTCTTCATTCATTAATTATTATTAATCCAGATGATTAAATATAAATAATCTTAAATATGAACGTTTCTAATTAACCATCCAATGTGAAAAAGTTGCGAATTTCTTAGAAACTTGACCACCTTGAAAAATCTTGAAAAATCCAGAATCGCGTGAAGAAAAAGATTCAGTTGAAATTGTAATACTTCGCTTACTTTATTTATTATTGAAACAGAAAGATTCCTTCGATATAATTCACGTTGGAGCAGATGAATTTTTATTATTTATTTTTACAATGTCGAATATTTTATTGGGATCTCATTAATAGAATTCATTACTTGATATTTGGGAGAGAAAAATTGGTAAAAAGTTACAAAATGACAACATTTTTATGGCGGTATAAACGACGTCACGAGTATAATGAACTTGAAAGAGTAGTTAATGCGAAGTGTCAATAAGCAGTTTATAAGCGATATGCACACTTCATTTATACATTTTTCAACGGCGCTTCTTCAGATGCTACTGATAAAATTAATCGTGGCGCTCGCCAAGACACGTGCTTTGTTTCGATAAATGCAAAATATAAGATTTAATTGTAGAAATGTAAAGTTGAAATATGCATGGAAAAGCACGTGAATTTGTTCTATTAATGTTAGATTTGTCAATGTTTCAAGGTGATGCAGGTGATAATATAATCGGAGTGTTGATAAATGCATATTATAAAATGATATTAATAACTCTTAAATATTTTTCTTTTTTTTTTTTTTTTTGCGAAGAAGAAATTAAATTTGTGAGACGAAATTAAAATATTGATTATTTTGTTCTCTTTTTTTCTTCCTTTGAATTTATATTGATGATGAAGAATAAACGTTTAATATTTACAGTGTCTTCATCCGTGGACAATGGAATCACCGAGATATTGGCAGAGATTTCTTTATAATCACTTACGATGTTTTCGATTTGACAGATTTCTAATTGATGTTGATTTTATGTATCCATCTTGCGAATTGTGTACGATTGTCACGGTAAGTAAAGATTTTATTTTCTGATGGTATTATTAAAAACTGGGTCATTCTTGAACTTTTGCTTTTTTTTCTATATCTAAAAAATTAAAAAAATTAAAAATTAGATGGAAGAAGAATGGTTTACCCTGTAAGAAAAATAAAAATTCTGCATAGGTTTCAATTTATTGTAATTACATTACATCGATAGATGTACACCGCCTTCGAAAAGCTCTGTCCTTATAAAAATACATAACAAAGCTCGGTCGCGTAGCAAGCAAGATATCGATAAATTAGGAAGCGAAACTAGCGGGCCGTTAAATACAGTCGTTCTCTTATTTTGTACCTCGAATATAAACTCGTGATCCTTTTGTGCGTATCCAAAAGTGTGTCGTTCTCGTTTTCAAAAAAAAAAAAAAAAAAAAAAAAAAGGGATAAAAATAATAAAAAAAAAAGAAAAAAAAGCACCTCGTCAGAGGCGTCGTCGGTAACTTCGTTCATTATGCGACTTCGATTATTATGCGATACTATCTGTGTGTTTTTTCGTCTTTTTTCTATATCCTCTCCATCCTTGTTTCTTCGTTTTTTTTTTTTTTCATTCTTCGTTTCTCTCTTAAGGAATCGTAGAAAAAACAATGGAAATAAGAAACAATTCGTTTACCATTTCTCGATGATAATATTTTATAATCGTATTATAATATTAATTATTATGTTTCTCTCTATCGTTTCGAACTAGCACCAATGACTATCGCGTTAAGCGATCACGTTGAAGTAATCGGTCAGTGGACGTTTCGTTCTCGATTTCATAATCGAACCGCTCTTTCCCTACTCTCCCTCGAGTTATAAACGCAACGTATAAAAAATAAAGTCGAACAAGTATGTATATATTTATTTTCTTCGTTACGTACTAACGTAAAAGTCACGGATACTCCCTGAAAGGTTCTACGGTACGTACACATTAATTATGCCGTCTTCCTTTGATCGTTCCGCGGTTATTTTCTGTGTGCACACAATACAAGCGATTCGTTATATTCGTTAATAATCGTAAATATAATTTAATATCGTCAACGTTATTTTCTCGCGCATTCCATGTGACATTAATCCATTTCTCTCTCTCGTCCGCACGCGCTCTCGCATACACTCGCTCATTCGTTCGTTTTTTTTCTTTTTTTCTTTTTCTATTTTTTTTTTTTTTTAAAGAGACAAACGAAAAAAAAAACTGGAGGGAGGAAGGAAAACTAATCAATTGTCAACGAAACGATATCTACATTATACGTATCGTATAAATACAAACGCCGTAATGTTACATGGAATGTCGGGCTAAATGATCGAAAATCGGAAACGGATCCATCGAGTACAAACCGTGCAAACCCGAAGGATCGTACGTTATTCGTACGTGGATCTCTCTTTCTTCTTTCTCTTTTCTCTGTCTCTCGTCGTATAATCGTTTGTATTTTCGACTCTTCGTGGTATTCGGGGACAAGGGAAAAATATTATGCAAATATTGCACCAAGATCACAATAATTATACAGAACGAGTAAGTAAACGGATGCTATGGGTCGTAACAATGACGATCGTTTTTGGTCCGTAACGCGTGTTCTACGCACAAGTACAAACAATTGTTATCACACGTGTAAAATCGTCGTCTGTAGAAGGAACGTGTCTTTGACCATTTTCTTACCAATATATTCCCCCATCGAGACAATGGAACACGTTTTACTACCTGTTTCTACTCACGTCGCTCGACTGCCTCGATGGAGGGATTCTGATCGATGAAAGGATTTGTAAGAAGAAGAAGAAAAAAAAAAAAAAAAAACAGATCTTTTCTCATTCATCGATCGCTCGATACCATCGACGGATCGCCATACGACAGACTAGTTAAGTAGGTACGCAGATCGTGCGTGATCTCGCGCTTCCGCTTCCCGCGACTCCTCTGGATGTTGCGATTGTAAATTCGTCTGGGTCCGGTGAAGTCGGCGCGCCCGAGATTAAGCTTCTTTATCGTTAGATCGGCGGTGGCCCGTTCGGATACACGACCATTGGCGTGAAGCTTCTGGCGAGGTTGTTCGACAGCATGCAGCTGTAGTCTTCTTCGGCGGAAGGAACCAGAGAGGCGACGCCGAGGAATAGGAGCATCAACGCCTGGATCGGCAGGGAAACGCGCAACACGCGGCCCAGGAAACGGTATCCCCGAGACAATACCGTACGCTCGCCATCGTCACCACTGAAACAGGCGCGTAAATTTCGTATTCGCTAGGATTTCTTTCATAGAATTGTTGGAAAATTATATACTTTTATTCTAATTTCGGATGAGAGTTAGAAAGTAGAAAAATCTTAACACGTTCACGCTTGAAGTAAAAGTTGAAAAGTAATCGCAATAGTTTATTGATGAAAAATTATATTGGAAAAACAAAATTGTTTCTACGAAAAGATAGATGATGTGTATTTTTGTATTCGTTAGACGAGAACGTATTAAAATGATCTGGATCTGTATCTATTTAGGAATCTGCCTGAGCTAATTTTCCAAATTTTATATCGAGAATTATATTTGAAAATAATTGTTAAGCGTATTTATTGGATCTTATTTATAAAGAATTGGTTTGAAAATATGTTGGAAAACGTAGCTCGGAACTTAAAACGGAAAATGAAGAAAACATACTGTGTGTCAGGTGCGTCGTGGGGCTGAACGGTTCCAGAGGCAGCTTCGTCGAGCAACTACAATACAATAAAAGAGAAAACACAAACAATAAGGTACTGTGCGTGTGAATGCTACTATTACAAGGCAGGAAATAATAAAATTCTAATTTAAAGTATTTAATTTATATTATATATGTACTCATACGTATATTTGTAAAATATAAAATAGAAATTAAAATGGTATGAATTAAAATCGCAATAACGATTGTAGTATATGAATAGTACAACTATTCACGAAAGATTAAAAATATATATTCGTATTTGATTAAATATGAAAGACATAGCCAGTATAAAATAATTTTAAACGGTTATGTCATTCTGCATTCGATATTCGTTGAATTTTTATTATAGTTCGTGCCTCGTGTTTCAAATATCGATTAACGTGATCCTACGATGTATGTGCAATATAAATCTATATCGAGGGCTAAGATTAAAGAAGCGAGAACCAACGAATAGCTTCAGATACTGACTAACGTTACCTGAAAATATTCTGAAGAAGCTAGCGAGTCTTTACGGAAATAAAACAACGAAGATTTTCTTTAATGAAACTTTGCTTCGTTTCGAGTATTCCAACGAGAAAAAGTGGCGAATAGGATAGAATGAAGCTTACATCGTGTGAAAGGGAAGCGAGAGAAGAGGTAGTGGCTGCGAGTCCAACGTCCCGAGGGTCCATCCCTAGGGCTGCTCCTAATTTTAAAGCGTATATCCCGGTTAACCGTCGAAGGGACTGCAATCTGAGACGAAGTTCCTGTAGGCGTGCTCTGGTTTCGCCTTTCTCGTCCAATAATTGATTGGCTGACTCTTGAAGCGACAGAACTCGAGGCTCGCATCGCTCCAAATCACTTCTCAATTCCCTGAAAGGAAATAGTTTTTTTTTAATGATAAATCTTTCTTCTAATGCTACGTGTTGGCTACACATTGCTGTCGAATAATTTTATTTATTTGTATAATTATTTAATATTAAGAAAAAATTCGAGAGTTGAAAAGCTGTCGTAAAAAATACGAAAAATTTATTTCTTTAACATTTCAAAGACATACCTGAATTTATTGTACTTTGCGGTCATAATTTCCGCCGACTCGGTCAGATCGACCGGTTCGCTGGCCCGTATACTGGCTTCAGTTTTCTCCAACCAGGTGACCAATTCCTCTATGATACGATGGAATTGCTGGTTCGACATTAATGCAGTCTGTAACTGTTCCTGCCAATGTGCAGCCACTTTGCAAACCTTCACCCATCTCGTATTCGCAACGGCTAATCTGTCTCTGAGCTGCGTTGCTCGAAGCAATTCCTCCGTGTGATCGGCTAAATGCGCGCCAACGGTGTTCAGACTGGCAAGAATACTTTCGTGACAATCTAAATCTAGCACAAATTCTCTGTGATCTTGTATCACATCCTCCAATTGTTCGATATTGCCAGGTGGCGAATGTTGCGCGCTTTGGGTGCCTTCAGCGAATTCCAGCCATTTTTCCAACCTCCAAAGATCGTTCTCCAGTTGGGCCCAGTTGCGACGGGAACATAGGGGACAGGTTAATCTGCCATTGTCGCTGTAAATAATAAGATTTCACGTTTTTCATAAAGTTCTTTTTAACTTATTTGAATAGTATGCTGAGATAGAGATACGAAGTTTGCTACGGGAAAAGCAGGTAATGAAATAAGCGAGGATCGTTAACGAATGTTAATGAGAAATTGTTAGTGTGAAAAAGGAACACTCACTGATCGCAGGGAGAGGTGTAAACGTCGGAGTTAGGTGACCTGCGCGTGAAAAATTTCTGATTTTAATATGGACTTAATGATTTTTTCTCAAACAGATACATACAACGTGTAATAATGTTAAGGGGTTAATTGTTCTCGTTTTAGAAGAGGCTTTACCTGAGTTCTCTGATCTGTTGTTCTCGCGTTCTCGCCAATATAAGAAGATTTTCGTATCTTTCCGTTAACGCAGCCACCTCGTTAGCCTTGGCGGCTTGCGCGCTCAATTTTCCATCTTCTATGAGCAAACTGTGCAAATGACGAACCAGTTCGATCGACGATTGACAGCTTCCGATTAATTTACTCTGTCGAATAAAAAATTAAATAAATTTACAAAAATTTATATGGAGAATTTAAATTTTGTCTTTTTAGATTCGCAAGAAAAAAAAATGAATTTACAAAAATATCGAATAAGAAATATTGTTTTGTATCAAACTTACGATATTTTTAGCAGTCGCATTTAATCCAGGTCCAGCAACAGGTTCCGGGGCGATTGCTAATTGCAACGTATCCAATGCATCGTTGCACTCGACCAGAGCAGCTTCCAATTCCATCAGGTATGCGTCGCTAGAAGTCATTCGTAATAACCTAGGCAACGTGTCCACTTGAACCGCACTGTCCTGTTCGAATTTCAACGTTTCCACTTGCACAGCCTCGTCGACTTCAGACCTCTCCTGTCCCTCTATTTCCGCTCTTAACGACGCCACTCTCTTCTTGATGTCTTTCCATAACAGCTGATACTCGTCCACCAATTCTTGGATATTCGCCACGTCATCCGGATGACATTCTTGCATAACCTTAAGCGCCAATTCATCCGCTTTCTGCAACGTGATGTTCTGAGTGCGAAGTTCTTCCTCGATCTCGTTCAATTGCTGCAGCCTGCGACGAATCGACGCTTTTTGTTCCGGCGTGGCCAGGTGTTGCGTCCTGGTCAATCGAACGTCGACTTGCGTCAGTCCAACGACCGCCGCGCCGTGCACAGTGATAAAGTCTCGATAATTCTTCTGTCCTTTCTGGAGAGCCAATAGAACGGCATTCGCTCTAGGCTTGAACGTTTGCCATTTATCGATAAGCCGCCTGGTCTCGCTGATAAGCGATTTCAGGTTATCTGGTTCCAAACCCGTTCTAGCTAAACGTCCAAAGTTTTGCTCGATTATCTTGATCACCGGTTCGTGCGCCTCTACGTCCTCGGATATGCTCCTCGCCTTCTCGATAGCCTTCTTAGACTCGTCCTTCGAAACTTCGTCCAAGTTGTTCTCCAATTCCGCGAGAGCCTTGTCCGTTTCCGCGAGCCAACCTTCCTGCTCCAACCTGATCTTCTCCAATTCCTGCAGAATTTTCCACGCGAGAATGATATTCCCCTTTCTCTCCGCCGATTTCACGCAGGTGGTTGTCCACCTACGCTCCAAACCTTCCATCCCGCTCTTGATCGCGTTGTTGAAAGACGTTTTCCACGCATCACAGTCGTTCAACAGAATCTCGCAGAGATTCAACACCTCGCCGATATTTCCGCTTTCCGCCTCGATCGTCTTCTGAAGATGTTCGTGATCGTCCAGCTTCTTGTCGATGCAACTCTGCTCGATCGCCTCGACCACGAACGTCTCCGACAATTGACTTTCAACGCTGGCCAGCCAGCTCCTCAACTCGTTTATCCTCTTCTCCAACGTGCTCATCGTCCTCATCAGGTCCATCAACTTACTAGCTCTCGCTTTTCCCATAGCCACCAATCGATCCCACCTCTCGTTCAACTCGTCCAGGGATCGTTGCAACCTTTCGCTCTCCTCTTCCTCCGCTACTTCGACCAAATCTTGCCCAGTGTTCTGTATCCACAATAATTCTCGCTGTTTCAACGCGATATCCGACTGTATCTCGCATTCCAATTTTTTAAGAGTTTCCTCGGGCTCGTTCGGCGAGTCGCAATCCTGAATTCTGATCTCAGTTTCTCCTATCCACGCGAGTAACCTGCCTAATCTGTCCCTCCACCGATCGTACAGACCACAACGCTCCTCCAATCTGCATATCAGCAACGCCGCCTGATGTTCCAGGTCCTCGTGCTGCAGCCGGAAAAGCGCCCGTTGTTCGTTCAACGATTTTATATCGGTCGGGCTGAGATCCTCTCTCAATTGTTGTATCATCACGCCCAAGGATTCCAAATCTATGCTCATCGAGGACAATCTGTTCTGCATCTGGTGTACAGATTCCAATTGCTGTTTCGTCCTCGTCAAACTAGCAGGACTCGAGTGAAACGCCGTACTGAAAGCTTGACCGATCTCCGTGAACGTGCTATTGATGTCCTTCGACTTTTCCTCGTACTCCTTGTACCGTTTCTGTATCCTCGGGATGTGATCCCTCCACATCTCCAGACTTGAGCTCAGATTGTTGATCCTTTGTACGCTGGCTGCGTGGTCCCTGTGAATGGTCACGGCTAACGCCTCGTCGCATTTGGCTAGCAGTGTCTCCTGTTGCCTCTGCAGAGATTCCAATTGGGCTTCGCCTTCGGGTATCTTGTCCAGCAACGACTCTATCCTCTGGAGAATTTCGTCCAATCTCTGTATTTGGATGAATCTGAAGCGTAACTGGCTTCGTTCTCTTTCGATCTCCTTCAGCCAGTACAAGAGTTTACCCTGATCCAATTTGTACCGATCCCACGCAGTCAATCTGTCGCGTACAGCCGCGTGCCTCTCCATGATCTTGGCCAGAGTTTCGTTGTGTTGGTTCGTCAGAATGTTGAATTGCTCGGTTTTCGACAGATTACCCCCCTCTTCCGCTCGAACCGTGAGAATGAGATTCTGTTGATCGGTCAGGAGATTCTGATGAACCTCGCAGAGGTTCCTGTGTTCCGACAAACCGTTGTAGTCGCCGGGTACATCGTTGGACAGGAAATCTTGTACGTAGAACAAGTACTCCTGCCAAAGTTTCAAGGCAGTGGCACCATCCTGCGTTTTGACTAGAAGAGCCGACAACCGGTGATACTGTTGGAAGGTTTCTCTGAAGACCTTCTGCCACAGTTTCAACACCTCGACAACCGACGGTTCTTGCGTCGTTACCTCCAGGCTGCGTTCCTTGATCGATTGTAGCTGCGGTTCCGTGCAGGTGAGCGCAAGAAGATGGTTGCGGAGGAGTTCCAATTGCTCCTTCGACTCGCCTTGACCCACCGCGGTCAGGCTCTGGAGAAAGAGTAGAGATCTTGTAAAATATGTATTCGACAAACAACGAAGAATCCCTTATCCCTTCGTTTGTTCGATTAATTTATTTTCGATGAAGGATAGATGATAACGAAGCAAAATTAAAACGTAGTTCAATTCTTCACTTTCGTAAATATTGTTAGATACAATAGAGGAATCGTTTAAAGCAATGGATTTATTTCACACAAAGAGCCTAGCTACCATAAGAAAAGAATACTTCCAAGAACAGAAAAGGGCGTACAAATTGACGAGGGTATAAATCATCTCAATTCCCCCGTCTTATCTCGAGTGCGCTTCGTCTTTATCCATCCATTTTGCCCGCCTTTGAAGTTCCCTAACCCGCGTCCTTGGATATTTCCATCGACAACCGACGAGTCATCGTGGACGATCCACAGGGTGGTGGTATTCGATCGGAAACGGTGATGCGCAATCGAGGTCCCGCATTCCTTCACCGTCTAGGGGCGAAAGTTTCGAGCCGAGAGGGTGCACGGCCGGATTCAGCTGTTGCGGATTTCGTGACTGATGTAATTGCCACTACCGGGCTCAAGCCCTTCGGCCTTGACACAACAAAGTGTTTCGGAACTATCGCGATTAAAATATAAACGCGCGTGCGAGGTATAATGATCGGGCCTGTGCCAAGCACCAATAGCCACGCCGGAAACTGACGGACGCGTGTACAATGATACACAGGAGGAATCACCTTGACAGACAGTTCTGTAATCCCGAACACGCGGACTTTTTATTTTTTATTTTTAAATTTCAAACGAATCAGAGGTATCATTCAACCAAGATTCTTTCGTTCGCTCGAATACGCTTCCTTCTACTAGGGCTTAGCCTTGCGCGATAATAAAAATAGCTGTATACTTGATATATCCTCTAGCATGTGATCTAGCGTATTTTTGGGACACTCGAAAATTTGGAGAACGAGATTGTTGAAAAATTGAGAAGAGAAGAGTTTGGTGTATCGGATCGAAAGATGAATTAATATTTTGTCGCATTATATTCGTGTAAGCTATCGAGATACACGGTTGTAGAAGAAAATAGGTTGTAGAAAGAAAGTAGAATCTGTAAGGTTTCGCGAGCATGCTTCGAGCATGCTGAAATATGTTGTGCTTCCAGATGAATCCTCGAAGGCCAGAATAAGAGAGCACATGCTCTGTACCTCTGCGAGTGTAAGGCTACTTTAGAACCCTCGTTTCTCAGAAACACGCCCTATGGAATTCAAACTGCGCACTACGTTAATTCACGTTCTGTGTCTCGAATCAACAATTCTCAAGTTTACCTATTCGATAGTTTAATCTTTAATTTTTTACTTTTACTTAAAAGTCGAAATTTTCAACATTTTATAAATATGAAATTAGAAATTGAATCAATTGGTTATTATTATTATTTTTTATATTTCGATATTGGAATTCAAAAGGATTTTCATTCAAATTCTAATGTCGTACAGTGACTTTTATCGAGGAAGAATACTTAGACCGCTTGTCCGTAGTAATGTCTGACGCTAATTTAAATAAACACGAATGGTATCGCATACCATACAATATTAAGCGCACGTGTCAACAACTTTTCCACGATATTCATAGCACAGAGCCAAATATTTACGAAACTTAATTACTTCCCCTCCAAATTTCTTAAGGATTTGTTTTTCATCGAACGCATAATCCAAAATTATCATTTAATTCGTATATTTTCTTTCTTATTTAATAATAATAATGTATTTTCAGATTATTGAAAGCGCTAATAATAAATTACAACTATTCTAATATATTTAATGAATTATTCATTTCCTTCAATGTACCTGTCTACCGTACAAAAAATATTTATTATAAAATCCTTAAGATTATTTTCTTGATAAAAGCAACTTGGAAAAGAAATCTCGTTACATTCTATCTATCCATTTACACATTACAGCAAACAAGATCAACTCGATCAACTCGAAATGGAAAAAGAAAAAACCGAATGTCCCTGGTTGAAGCAAGCAGCATTTTTAGATAAGATGAAAGAAAGAAAAAGAAAGGAAAGAAATAAAAAGGAAGGATTGCGTAATTTACTTGCCTGTTGGACCGAATCCAGGAAATTTTTCGTCTGACATAAATCACCACGTGCGAGCTCCTGGTTGAGGGCGCGGGCGTGCGCCGCATCCGCGAGGCACGATAACGTTTCACGGATATCCTCGAGACGTTGTCCAAGTGCCTCCACTTCGCAGTGCAACGGTCCACTCGCGTCCAACCCGACGTCCGACGCGATTTGCGCCACCAGGCCTTGAAGCTCCGCCAACCTTTCCTTGTGCTCCGCCATCGTCTCCTCGCAAACCTGTCGAAAAGTGAAACAACCTCTTAGACTCCATGATCTGGACGCTTTTAATACTTTCGTAAATGTGGAGAGGGTATTTTTATGCAATGGTATTCATATAACGCCGTGAAAGGCATGCGATGCAACTTTTTATTTGGGTTTCATAATATAGTTGACGATTGGAATGGAATTATTGTCTTTTGGATTTTACTTCTTAAATAATTTTCATTTTTATTAGAGAAAGTTTGAAATGATTGATTTTATGAATGATGAGAAGTGTACTAAAAGCTTTTCAAATGTTTTGGAAACTTAAGTAATAAATAATAAGGATTAAAGAATGATTCACTCTGCTTGAAGAGGGTTAATACCTGAGTTTACCTGAGTTTATAATTTGAGAAATTTAGGCTAAGAAGGAATTAATAATGATAGAATACATTTCTTAAGACAAATTCTTTCTTTTATTCACGTAAATATTGAGAAAGAGATATATGTGAAATATTTCATGTATATGTAAAGAAGTCTAAGTGAAATCTGAGATTTCTCATGATGAATTTTTTTTTAACTAAGTGTTAAATCAGAGATTACAAACTTATTTAATCAAGATGATTTTGATGTGATTGAATTTAAATGAAAGAGAAACTTGGATTGGAATGATTATGAATATTCGATATATCTATTTGAGTTGCAAATGAAATTTCTTCATGTTCTTCGTATACTTGATGAACAAACATTAAATAAAAAATGATACAAATGTATAACTAGTTTTTATCTATACTTCTGTCTTACTGAATTACCGGTAATTAGAAACACGGTGATTAAACAGAGTGTTTTATTTTCGAGCTGTTATCATACTTTCGTGCTTGTTACAGAATTCCGGTAACCTGTTAAATACACGTCAGAGATAGGAGAGTTGACTTTACGAGCTAGAAATAGACGTTTGTTATTGCTCGAAAAATAAAACTGAAGATAGGGAAGTTGATTGACGAATGATACTATTCGTGTGCTTTTTGAAATTCGAAATTTTTGACCAGCAGTGAGCACAAAGAGACACGTATATATAAAGAAGAATACGCGAATGACATATGATTACAATAAAAAATAATAGAAAGGAAAGGACGTATAATTACAATAAAAAAAGATAGAAAGGAAATATCGTAGAAAAAAGAAAGAAAAGAAAAATGGAGCGAGTATGAGATTTGACACGATCACACTTTTTATTTTTGTGCATTATACGATATTATCTTTTTAATGTAAAATTATTATCTTTTGTGTAAAATTGAAACAATTTTTTTCGACACTATTCATTGATATAATTAACTTTGACAATAATATATAAGAATCAAGATACACGACAGTTTGATAACCGTTGCATAATTGCATCTTCCGATAAGAACTTGGCAATATATTACGTTAAAATGTCAAATGAAAACTACAATTTAGTTAGATTAGAACACAGTGTCATGCATAAAGACGCAGAAATTCTATTCCAGTTCGTTGCATCACACGTGCACCGGATTATTCAGTTCCGACACAAAATTATCCCACGCATCGGATGTGGTATGTATTATATCGACGGTAGTAAGGTCGTAAATAGAATCACACCTTACAGATGAATTATATTTAATATATTAAGAAAAAAATTTCATTATTACCAGTGTAAATACAATACTATCAATATGTAAATTTTAAACAAGTAACAATTTTAAAAATTAAAATTGATGACATTATCACGATATAAATTTCAAAGAAAGACAAGTATAATTTATGTTAAAAGCTATATTATCAAATGAATTTTAACCGTTCAACTAAAAACAACGGTATTATATTGCATCAATTCCAATTAAAAATTAATTAAATCCAAGTAAAAACAACATCATCACCGCGCGTAACGTTCCAAAAGTCCAAGAGTAACGAAGAAAAATCGATATCCGTATTGAACAGATTAACAGAACAGTAAATTTTAAACAAGTAACAATTTTAAAAATTAAAATTGATGACATTATCACGATATAAATTTCAAAGAAAGACAAGTATAATTTATGTTAAAAGCTATATTATCAAATAAATTTTAACCGTTCAACTAAAAACAACGGTATTATATTGCATCAATTCCAATTAAAAATTAATTAAATCGAAGTAAAAACAACATCATCATCGCGCGTAACGTTCCAAAAGTCCAAGAATAACGAAGAAAAATCGATATCCGTATTGAACAGATTAACAAAACAGAAATGACACTCTCGATATCTTCAGAATTCTTCCTCCGATCGTACCTTCAATTCCTCGGGCGTGCACATATTTCTCAATTTAGGTCACCGTTCATTCCTATTTTTCATAACGCGTCACGCATACATCACCCGCGTAACAACGAATCGACAAAAGAAGACGAAACAGATAGGGCACGTGTCGTCCCGACTTGGAACACATGCTTCGAATTTTTGATTAACCGGAAATTGGCCACGATCGCCAGCCACCGTCCACAGTTCGCGCATAATCGCGCGAACCGCTGTTTTCGAAATGTGTTTACGCGTTTGATGAACTTCTTTTATCGGTGGTCTCGCCGCGATAAAAATACTCGTGGAAACGTTGGATAGGGAGACGCGAATAATATCTCGTGCAGATAGATAGATACGAGAGAGGAGAAACAAGCGTCCCGACGCTCTGGACCAGACTGGCGTCCTCGTCTTCGAGGATCGATGCGCATACCCCGAGAACCGAGTGGGGATAGACTCTGTTGCCCCGTATTTCAACGACCTACCCTCGCACGTTTCGGCGCACTTGCGTAGGGTGAATCGTGCTCTTCTCTACGTGCTGCACTATAGGCGTGGTGGGGACGATGACACTACCCCGAACTTTCCATTCAAGGGATAGACGCTGACGTTTCGAGCCGCAAACAGTGTTTGTTTCAAGATTTTTTCTTTCTTTATAGGCGATATTTTTTTTTGTTGTAGCGATGAAGTCACATTTTTTGTTTTTTTTTTCTTTCTTTATCGAAAATATTTAATCTATTTAATTTTGTTTGAATAATTTTGCTTCAATGAATTTGGAATGATCTTTGGAAGAAGCGAATTTTGAATATGGTTCGATAATGCATACGAATGAGAAATTATATCGTATATAAATGTTTCTGAATTACTTTTCATTAACGTGAAATAGTAATGAGCAAAGCAACTCGAGGATTCTATTGTTTGAAATTGATTCACAAATATTCGAGTGAAGATATTTATAAGAATTGAAGATGTTTGAAATTATTTACTCGCTGTTTCTTTAAATTTACATTCGTTTAATATTTCAATACATCTGACTAATTTTATTACGTTTGCCTTGGGAGTTTACTTCCCATGACCACTTTTCTTATGGTAATATTCATCAAGCAGGCCACAGATGAGTCATGTTTTTCTGAATCAGTCGAAACACAATAGAATCGGTTTAAAAATTACAACGAAGACAATACGAATTTTCGGTTATCCGAGAATTACAGAAAATTACGAGCTTTCAAATCCGATGACTCGAATGTTATATATAGATTTACAGAAATTTTCCATCTTCATCTACGCCTTTTCTTGCTTTTTTTTCCCCTCTCAATTCTCAATCTCTTTCGCTCAAATCTTTCTTTTCATTTTCATGGTATGGCTCTAGATAAGGCTCTATCTCATGTTTCCCCTCCTCTTGGTTAGATAAAACTTGTATCATCGTTTATTGTTTTACCACTCAACGAAGTAGTCAAATAAATAATCAGTAAGTGAGAATGATACTTTCAATGGGTAATATTTATGAATGCAATTCTTTGAGGACGAAAGAATTTATAGGGAATGAGCTTTGGTTCAGAGCGATGAAAATGCGATCAAACATATGTGTATATGAAAGTACATAATATAGAATGTAAAATACTTTGGAATATTATTTCGAATAGATTTTATGCTCAATATACCCTCAAAATCTTTTTCTTTTCTTAAAATATCTAAAAATGAAATTTCAAGATTAGAATCCAAGGATACCTGCCATTTCCCTTTCTTCTCTCTTAATTGAAATTTTTTATGAAAAATATTTAAAAATATTTACAATGTACTCGATCCATATGTTATCGGACATATGTGCAAATTTTTGAAAATATTCACGATACCTTGATGTGTTTGACGGCCTCTTCAGGTGGAAGATTGGCGACGCTGTCCATTTGCGTGTCCACCCAGGCTTTAACCGCAGCACTCGAGTCTTTGTACTGTTGCCACAATCTGCACGCGTGCTGATACTTGGTGCAAAGGGCATCTAATTCGGCCCTGGTATCCTCCCAGGCCTGTACGGCCTCATTTACCGCCGCTTCGACCTTCTCGCGGACCTCTGCAGCGCAACCCTCCCGCAGAGGTTCGGCAGCTTCTCGCAATTCGCCAATGAGAACTTCTCGCGCACCCAAATCACCGCTGAGACCCTGCAACAGATAAAATATCTCGGTTTTTCACAACCCATACACTTACATACATCATGTATCGTACGCATTAACGTTTTTGCTCGAGCCTTCGTCTCTTTTCGTTCTCGTTTCGAATTAAATTCGAGCGTTGAATGAATTCAATTGTGAAATATCGATGAGAGATATAAAAGAATTCTTTGGTAAAAAGTTCATATTACGTTGAATATTTCGGTTCTCATGGATATTGAATATTTCTATCTTTGAAAATGATACAATTGAAAAAACAGTGCTTCAAGGAATAAAAGAGAACTGTCTTCGAATATAAAGATACGTCATCTTGTTATATTAAAATTTATTAGCGATTTATAAGATTGAAAGAAAGTAGTTTTGATGAAGGAATTATTCTGTGATTTTTTATAATTTCCGTGCATCATTCTCCCTTCTATTTCTTGAGATTCTTGGAATCTCAGCTCTGCCTTTCGAAGTCAATTCGATTCAAGAAATTTCCCCGTTAAATCAACAATACTCCCAATTTAGATCGTTCAATGTATCAACGTTGTGCATGACTTGAAAGGAAAACATTTTGTTAATGGTAGCTCGAGCTTTTTCAGTTCGTTACATCAGTATCGAACAATGTATCTATTTATTAGAGATTAATTTCCAAGGAAAAATTATCGAATCGATGAAAAGAAAGGTTATATCATATCCATGGTTTTTTCTTTTTATTGGAACCGATATACGTATCAATTAAGCGCATTTGATCGGGTTTGTTTAATTAATTTATCTTTACGCATCAAAGAACTCGCACAGAGAGGCTTCTTCTTATCTGTCTTAGCGTTCTATTAATGAAACTTTAATTGATTTTGTATAGCCGATTAACCGTTTTCTCGTTTCTTTTTACTTTCATCTTGCAGCAATTTTTTTATGATATATCTGTATATTAATACAGAAAATATTAAGATAACCGAGGATAACTTCAACTGTTCGGATAGTGATTTCATCGTATATCGGTTGCTTGATAGAACAAACATACTAACCAAAGAAAATACACTTTGCACGCGTTCATGCTTATTACTAATGATTAAAATTATCTGTGACGTACGACCCGTGATATTTTACATCGATACGAAGAGGTTCTCGCCTTTATTCCTTTCGATCACGTGGAATCGCCAAGTTGTTATATAATATCGAAAACAGGGATAATAAATAATAAATTTTGAAAAGAATAAAAGAATTGTTTCATTGTTTTGTCGAAATAAATAATTGAACGATAAATGTGTTGGCCGACAATCTTTCGTTTAATTGCGATTATTTAAGCGATTAACTTAGAAGACCTTCGGAAGATCGTTTCTTAATTCTCTTTCGTCATTCATAATTACATACGTTAGCATATTTTGTCCATTTGAATAAATATTTATGCAAAGAATACTTAAAATTAACTAACTTACCACGTAACTTTTTTATTTATTACGTAAAAAGAAATTACAGCCTTTCTTTCTGCAGATTTTGCAAATGGGTGTTGGCAATAGTTGCTAGAAAATCTCTGACATCTTGTTGCCGTGTAATCATTTTAGATTTTTAAGCTTTTCTGTTAACATTAATTCTTATAAAAATTTCAATAATTATATATTTCAAGAAATATCGTTATAAAAAATCGCTATATTAAATCATGACTTGTCATTTTCGTAACGAAAATTATAAATTTTTTCCAATGATAATTGTATTCTTACAGAAAAAAAGAAGGATTTTCTACGAGAGTGATTGTTAAATTTAGCATATTCTTTGAATAGAAATCTCTTCCTGAAGAATTTCAATTCGATTTGATATTTCAACTCGTTGTAAAGATCTAGTGATCCGGGTGCTCGTATATCTCGAAGAATGTAAGATCGACGCGTTATTCGCACCATCGTAGTATCCGGGTGTAGATCGTTGGTATTAGTCAAAGAATGCACATGCCGGTTTCCCTTAAATACGTACTATAAATAATTTTGAGTCACGAGACTAGAGAGCACGTTTCGAGGCCCGCGTCTCGAATTCGGTCAGAGCGTGGTTGGACTAATTTTGTGTCGTGTACTCGAGTTCGTTCACCTGGCTGACGGTTTTCCGGCGAAACCGTAAACGGAAATCGAATCTCTGCCAATGCGTCTCTCTCGATACTATGAAACCTCGCGTTACCTCGAGCAATTTATTTATTGATTTTGTTCAGCCATTTTGTAATTGAACAGCCTGCCAGAACTGAATTACCACATGCAACAATATCGTAGTAAGTTATAGGTTACAGAGTTTTATAAAAAATAATTATTCTGAGAAAATTCGATGCTCAATCGTAATTATTTTTTAAATAATACTTGAAATATGTGGTAAGTGTCATTGAATTTTGTCTACAACTTTTATTGTATTTTATATTTTTTATTATTGATGATGGCATTTTTTATTCAGCCTACTTCTTCATTGATATTTTCGAGCTCTTGTCTCTTTTTATTTCCATCACGCTTCACTCACTGATAGAATGCATAGACGCCATAAACTGCACGATACTTTGTAAGCCTCTAAATTTAGAAACTCTTATTTTACGTGAAAACAACGAAAGATTTATAAGTCTACAAGGAAATTAAGCGTAGATATCTTTCCCAATAAATATTTTGAATTTATCCAATTAAATTTTCTTTCATTATTAAAGAATTATAATCTCGTTCCATCAAATATAAATATGTATACGTAATAATAGAAATATGCTCTCGTATTATATTGCAGGAATTAACTGACTGAAAAACTGAAAAAAATAAAAATTGTTTTCACGCGTGTCGCGTGCTTCTTTCTCACTAAACTCCTTAATTTTCTGTATTTTATGGTTCAACGAGAAATTTAGCTAATTTAATACTAGACCGAGGTGAAGTTACTCTAAGTTTTGTTTAGTTAGGAACTGTTACGTTTCGTGCACAAATTACACTTGGAACTTGTAACAAAAGAAATTTGTTCCAATTTAATGCTCGTAACACGTTTTACTATCTTTTAAGTCGCACAATTTTGCAAATCATTACCGTTTCTTTTAAATGAAAAATGAAGTGACGATCGTAACTTCTGAAACATAATTAATTAATCGGATAATTGATATTCGTTTCGTGCCTATTTCGAGCGATCAAGTACCACGATGGTGCACTTGTCAATTTTAAGCCGATCGTCTCATTTTTTATAGATCGGAAGTTACTGAATACATCGGCCTGCTCTGTTTGGAAATGTGGGCGCGGAATCGTGATAAGTAACGGAACAGGAAGTTGCGGCTAGCCTGCAGCTTCCGCTTTAAATGCTTGTACAGTACTTAAGATAATTTCTCGAAATAGTTTTCTTTAAGTATTCTGATATCGTTAAAAATATATATGTAATTTAACAAAATTCTCCTAGATGACTTCTTTAACTATATTGGATCATAGGTCAATTATTTTTAATAGATTACAAAATATTCGACTATTTCTTTCTTTTAAATTAGATTAATAAAATTTTGAATATTAAACTTAATCTAAAACGAAGTACGTTTTAAAATTAAATAATATCATCCAAAAACTGTGGATCACCTATGACCCAACGATATCAATTGACGATATAGTTAGATAAATATTAAAAAAAAATGCAATAAAGAGAAAATATTCACGATATTTTCTTACCAAAAATAGTTTAGTCGCAGTGAACGCAGACAACGACGATTGTGATTGCGTGCGGAATAATAAAAGCAATCATAAAAATGCACGATTAAACACCGTTGCGCCATATCATCGCGTTTTAATATATAAATTCGTGAAAAATTTAGAAAACTGAAATTTAATTGGGAACAATCGTTATACGTAACGAAAAGAAAAGAAAGTAAATATTGATTTTTTTCTGTGTTTTACCACGTGGCATAGTTTACATATTATCATATCACTGCGTCATTTATCCCGTCCGTTATGTTTGTGTCATTCTTATAATTACATTATTTTAGATTAGTGAGTGTCTGCATCCTCATTTTTTTCGTCTTTATATTACATCCATTGCGTATATTATTCACATGTTTATTGCGATATCGGAAATGTTTGGATGTTCTTGTGTTATTTTGACGCATTATATTGTTTCTTCCTAATATTTGAATGTTTGTAATTGTTAATAAATATCGTGTTTACTTTAACATAACAGAATATAAAGGAAAAAAGGAAGTAAATTAAGTTAAATTTTTTTACTAAATACTTCTTCTTTTTGGTTATTTTTTTTATATTGAATTACTTTTTTTTCGTAATTGTTTATTAAATATATAAATATAACAAAATGGAAGAATTTTACGAAATTGTCGTCTCTCATGAGAAATGTAAATGAAATATTATGCGCGATAACTCGATATTTGAAGGACGATTCATTTGGCCCGACCTGTTGCCGATTATTATATTTATTCTGCGATGAAATAATCGTAGCATTTTAATTCCGCGTAATAAGAATTGACATTTTTTAAACGCGACTAATTATTTCTAGTTTCACAATTTATTTATTATATAATATTATCTATATATAAATATATATATTATCTATATATTTATTATCGATATTTTGTTTCTTCTGCCGAAACTAGAAATTATTATTTCGAGCACAGATGTTTACCATGTTTCTTTTGAAACGAGTTATTTATTTTAGTGTATTTGTATACACTACTTTCCTCGACCGTGTTTCTGTTTGTATGTACAACGAATTATGATGCGCAGAATACGACGAAGAAACAAAATTCTACCAAGTTTTACATTATTTTATTTTTATCATTCCATCGTTACGTATATCTCTTATCGGAATTAAATTAAACAAAGAAAAAAAAAAGCAATAAAGATAAAATAAACGTCTTTAAAGTAATATTCAAAATTCTTATTACACATTTTAATGTAACAGTTCCAACGTTTTGAATCCAACACGTTCCCTATTTGATAATTCAAATATTCTGCATTTAATGAATATTCAATCCTTACTTCCGATCAGCCGATTCGATGTGTCGAGCGCAAACATGCTCGACCGTCTGCAGCAATCGTCTGTCTCGATCGTTTCGTCGATTTTTCACACGGATCGAGTCACCGCAGTTCTTCATTCTTCTTCATTTCACGAATGTCAACGAAATTCTATGGTAAATACGGTTCGATATTTCCAGATTTGTCAATCCAAAGGGAGAGGAAGTGATTTAGCGTTATAAAAACGGACACGCGCGTGACACTGGTCAAATATCGTCGATCACTGAACGAATGAACAAGATCGTTGAAATCGCGCGCGAGAGATGTGTACGCAACGCCGGCACTCGTGCTACTGATTGATACGACGACCCCCCGATAACGCCGAGTGGCGACGCACATGCGCAAAACAAAACCGCGCTCTTTCCCTCGTACTCGATGGAAGTAATCGCGGAGAAAAATGCGTCTTCCGTGAGAATACGATCGATTGCCTGTGATGTTGCACGGGTGAATCCTTTTTTTAATCTCAATATATTTTTAAATTTGATATTTGTACTATATTTAAATCTGCATTGCTGTATTCGTGCAGAAGACTGATTTACGTTTTGTAAACTTTATTTTTTCTTTTTTTTTTTAAATTTTCTATATGTTTTGAATATAAAAAAATTATTCTTATATGACGAGGATATCGACAGATATGCGATACGTAAATTTTGGAATATTTACTTGATTTATCGTCTACATAGAAATATAAAAGCACTAGTTCCTCGCAACGATTGAAAGTGTCGAGGGCGCGAGAAAGCAGGCCGGTCGATACCATTAGGTTAATTATTCAAACTTGTGCAAGTTTTAACGCATTCCGAGAGACTTTCAAGGAATGTTCGAATATACGAGTGGAACGAGGCGTATATTGTAAATCTTGGACTTCGAATCGTTTCATCGGCATCGTGAATCCACTCGATTAGAGAATTCTTCCTTAATTAACCGGAATTAGTTCGCGTGACGTAAGAATCCATCGAGAACCGTTATACCATCGCGTTTCCACAATCGATATAAAAATTAAAACTTACCTCTAGCCTTTCGGTAGCTTTCAGCAGTCTGTCGTAATCGACAGATCCTTGCACGGTTAACAACTCCATCATGTAATCAGCCTCTTGAACCGATTGCTGCACCATTTCCAGCTGTTTCTCGAATCTTCTCCACAGGGCAAGTCTGTTCTTCAATAACGCCAACAATCTCGAGCATCTGGACTCCAGATCGGTATGAGCATCTTGAAGATTCGAAATGTCTCGTTCCACGCTGACCGGAGAAACCGAGACTCTCATCACGGTGGGCAGGGTGTGCAATAATTGTCTGAGACCCATAATATCCTGCCACAAGACCGCAAGCTCGTCAGCTACCGTTTGACATCGATCCACGGCAGCTGCGACCACGTCACTTCCCTGTCGTTCGCTTCCCTCGCATTGATCCAATATAGATGATTGCCGTTGATGGATTTTTCTAATACGGCTGAGGCCACGCTGAATTGCCTGAAGCCTTTCCCTAAGCAACTGCGCTGCATCCAATTCCTCGCTTATTTGACTCTCTATTCGGCGAGCCGAGGACAGCAACACACCGACCTTCTCGCTCTCCGCCACAGGAAGTAAACCCAGGCGACCTAATTCGTCTTGGATCAAACAGATCCTGTCGAACAAGACTGTCAAGCGTTCGATATAAAGATCCAACTCCTCCTCCGTCTTCAAAACACCGTGGAATCCATCGATCGTCACTCGTAACTCGTTCAATTCTCTCTCGAGTAATTTTAATTTCTCGTTGGACGATATCTCTTCGGAAGAGATGTTTCGAGTCACTTGTTCTTGGATGGTGTTGATCTGTTGAGTCACGTCGTTCCAGCGATCTTGGAGCTCACAATGGAACTGTCTTTGCAACATTTCATCCGATAAGGGAATTATTCTCAGGGCTTGCTCGAAACTGTTGTTGGCCTCCTCTCGAATGTTGTTGTGGACCTCGTATTGCGCTTTCAATTCCTAGTAAGAAAACAAAATATTTGATATAAAATAAAGATATCTTGAATTTTATAAATTAATTAAGGATTTTTTTTATCAGTCACCCAGAATTGACGTATGTGACCCCCTGAAGGATCGCGCAAATTGTTCAATTCCTTTTCCACCGATGTCATCCAATTCTCCAATCGGTTCATCAACATTTCTTGATTAACCCAACTCTCTTTGAACGACATCAATTTCCTTAACGACGATTCCACGTTATCTTGAAGTTTTACGATCACGTCTAAAGCTTCTCCGTAACGATCCTCGGGATCCTCGATGTTCACCAGCTCCTCGAGACTTCGCGCTACGTTCAAAAGCTGAATAAGTCTTGCGTGATGCGTTGCAACGTCCGTTGCCAGAGACTGGAAGAAAAGAAAAAATTTGTTAATATCTCTTCTGCCAAAATTAATATATCAAATATTTTATTATTGTAAACAATAATTGAAATTATTTCGCGTCAAAAATAAAATACGAGCTACTATTTATTTTCTGTTTTGTTGCGAAAAATGAAATAATTAACCTGATACAACGAGATATATTGATCGTAATCCGACGACGTCACTGTTTGAAGATCAGGTACTCGTTGATGAGCAACTTGTAGCCATCCTCTCTCCTCCTTCACCCCCTGTTCCAAAAGAATCCATCTGGATGCTGCAAGAGCCATTTGCTGAGCTCTAGACGCGGCCTGATCCAACAACGATATAGCCCTACTGTGCAGCTCTTCGTGAAGATCCGAGTATTTGGTTCTCGTCTCCGGATCAAGATTGCCTTCCAACGATTCCAGGATTCCTCGACAATGATTCAAATTCACGAAGAATTTTCTGTGCTTCTGCATCTCCTCCTGCAAATGTTCCAAACTCATCACCGAGATAGGACTCTCTAATAAGTTCTCCGCGATCTCGGTGATCTGTGCGAATTCTCGCAAAGTTTGCTCGTATTCTTCGGCCAAGGCGAGTAGCTGAAGAAGTCGTTCACGTTCGATGCATATCTCATGCTCGATTATCTTAGTCATCTCGTGAGCCGCGTAAGTCTCTTCCGGGATGTGTTTTCCGGGATAATCCCGCAACAATTCGTGAGATACGGTGAGCAACGATGCGGTTTTCCACATGTGACATTGATTCATATTCTCTAATTTATCGAGCTCTTCGAGCTTCCATTTCGTGGATGTCTCGAGCTCGATTACGTTGTTTAGATGTTTTCGTTGTTCCTCGATTAATCTATCGGAGAAAAAGAAAAAAGAAAAATAAGAAGTATAAACTCTTTTTATAAATTATAAAATGTAGAAGTTATAAAATGTAGATAGAAGAATCTTACCTGTACATGTTGTACACTCCGTTTACGAATTCATCCCATCTAGCAAGCTCGTTCGTAAGATATTTCTCCCCATCGTCGGTCGCGTCCTCGATCATTTTAACCTGATGCATGAGAGCATCGAGACATTCCTGCAAATTATTACGATCTTCTCTCGGATAATTCATCTCCACTAATTTCCAAACGTTATTCAGCTCTTGAATATTCTCCTCCACGTTCTCCACTTCGTCTCTCAATTCGACATAGGTCTGATCATCGTGAGAAGGACCCGTAGGACACTCTTTGCTCAAGAAGATTCTGTACTCGATCGTCTCCAACCAAGTGGAAATCGTGTCCACGATGACAACGAGAGTTTCCTCCACGGTGATCGCATCTTTCTCTTGAGCAGCGTCCCTCAGGTGAGACAGTTCTTTCCTTATGTCAGCAGCGCGCTCTTCGGCCAACTTTTCATTCGCCACTTTGTCCAGATGAGCGATATGAAGGATATTTCCAAGATGACTAGATTGTTTGGCATTTAGAAAACTTTGCATTCGATCAGAGATCGCTTTGGTCGTTTGACTGCTTTGCGTGATCTGATGTTGGGGCTCGTATTCTGCACTCTCAGCCATCAAGAAAGCCTTTGAACTCGCTCCTTTTTGCGGGACAACGTGCTGAGATAATTCCCACGTTGAAGGTTGATCTTTTTCTGGTTTCTTAGAAGATTCGCTGATAATATCCGCATAGGTTTTAATCCTGGGTCGATCGTCCTCTTGAGGAATTGATTCCACAGGAGAAAATGGTTCCTCCGTCGTGTCCATTGGTTCAGGGGAAGGCGTGTGAGTACTTATTACTTGCATCTGTTGTACTTCTGGTTCCATAGGCGAGACTATCTTTTCTTTACCCAAAGTCCATACATCTTGAATCTCTTTAACGGCTATTGGCTCCGTTGCTATCGACAGCGGTATGGCAGCTGTCTCTATTTTTTCTTCAGCTTCTTTCACACTCTCTTCCGATACAAACTCTGGAGATTCCTTCCCTACAGACTCGTCCTTTTCAAAATCTTTTTCAACATCTTCTCTAGGAGGCGACTTCTCCTTACTCACATTTTTCTTAGCAACGTCGGAATAAGACAATTTCAGAGAAACATCTTTCGATTCTACAGGCTGTCCGAATATGGATTCCAGATCCTTTTCACTCGTCGCCGAAATTTCAATAGTTTTGTGTCTCCTCTTACGTTTCTGTCTTTTCACCACGCTACTGTCCTCTACTTTTCCTGTGATACTTAGATCTTCGGTAATAGTCGTGTCTCGCGAAGTATCGGTTAATTTACTAGTAGTGTCTGTAGTCTCGTCGGGGCACAATTCTATGGTTGCCTGCAAACGAATCTCAAATTCAGCGTCCGCTGTTTCCGTCTCCTCCAACGAAGGCGCCATTGTCTCTTCGCTTTCCGACTTAGGCTCCGTTATATCAGAGATACCCTGTGAGCTCTCATCCCTTGGCTCTTCTATTTTATTTAAAGGCTCCTCAATAACAGACATCGGTTCTGTTACTTTCTCAGTTTTCGTATCCATGTACTCCTTAGTTTCTTGTACTTGTACATCAGGTGCTACTGGAATTTCTGTAAGTATCAGAGGTGCCTTTATCTCCGTCGACGCGTCAACCTCATCTATCATGGCCTCCACCAAGTTACCTTCCTCATCCTCCACTACAAATTCTTTTTCCGATTCGGCAACTTGCAGTGCTCCGTTTGTTTGTTGAGAAGACGTCACCAACAACGGTTTCTTCTCTTCGATACTCGTTTGCTCACTTTCCTCCCGTGTTTCAGGAATGATCTGCACACTTTCTTCTATCTGTTCTATTAATTCGCTTGTCTTTATTTGTACCGAACTATCCAACGTTTCTATCTTCTCCGGGGTCATGGTCTGAGATTGTTCATCTATCGATTCCTTCACCTCTTCCATGCTAGTCTGAGAAGATAACTCGCAAACCTCCACTTTCTCCGGAGCAAAAGTAACTGGACAAGTTTGAATCATGATTTCTTGAGTTGGCTCCGGTTGAATCGTCTGTGACTCAGTTTCGTGAGTTTCCGCTTGTCGTGGACTCTTCTCTGGTGTCGTTTGAGTTTCTACTACGTCGACAACGGGCTGTTCTATTAGATCTGCCTGCACATTGAAATCCAACGTAGTTATTTCCGGAGTGGTCGGTTTGCTAGTTTGTGCTTCCGTTTCTGTGGTCTTGGGTACTTCAGGAGTTACCGTTTGAACAGCTATTCCAGTTAGAATCTTTTCTTCTATTGGAGGTGGAGTGGTTTGTTGTTCAACGGCAACTACGATTTTTTCCACGGTTTGCGTTTCAATTTCCATGGATGGCGCGGTGGGCGATGTTTGTGCTTCGATGGAAGCTACTTCTGTGGCCATAGTTTGAACTTGAATTTCCTCGGTTTCGATCGGAACAACTTCTGGCTTGATATCTTCGACTGGACTCGTTTGAACAGCATATTCTTCCATTTTCTTGACAGGTGATTCCATGGTCTGAGTACTTATTTCTTCTATTTTGGGCGCCTCTTCCTCCACAGTCTGACCACTAAAATCTGAAGCTGGTAATGGCGATGTTTGCATTTCCGAATGTTGTATAATCGGTTTTTCAGGTTCTGATTCTTTCTCTTCCGGTACAGTTTGCATGCCGAAATCCGAAGCAGGCAATGGAGAAGTTTGCATCTCCGCGTGAACTTCCTTCACTTTGGGTGTTTCAGGTTTTTCCGATTCTTCTAGCGAAATTGGAGGAGAAGTTTGCACCTCTTCGTGAATCTCTTCGATTTTCAGTTTAACGTCTTCCAATAAATGGGGCGACGTTTGAATATAAATCTCTGAAACCTCCTCCTGTTTCGGGGACGTAGCAATGGAGACACTGAATTCTCGAGGAAGAGTTTGAGTATCTGCCACGATCATGGTTGGAACGATTTTTTCTTTAGCGAAGTCAATCTCTTCCCGTTTCTTTTTCTTCTTTTTCTTCTTCGTAGCTTTTGCATCCTCGCTCTCTGCCAGCGTCTCATCGTCCGTGAATTCTCCATCATCGGTGGTTGTCTTAGGGAATTCGGTTTGCTCTTCGTCCTTACAACTTCGTACCCTCTGCTTCTTCTTCTTCCTCCTCTTCGTTTTCGTCACAGTTTCGTCATCCGGTGTAGTCGTCACGATCGTTCTATCCGCCTCGTAACCATCTTCCCCTTCCGATGTTTCCTCTTTCAAATACAACTCTACTTCCCTAGATTCAAACATTTTCGCGATGTCAGGTTGTGGTGCTTCGCTCGCGTGCCTCGACGAATCGGACAACGGCACATCGATTTCCATCGAGTCTCCAATGTTGGACGCTAGAGAAACGCTCGATTTTGTTTCCGTGGACAGCATAGGTGATTCAATCCGTTTTTCGATCTTCTTGTCCAATTGTATAATTGCCTCTGCTTCAGGTTCTACCGTAGGCTCTGTCAGACATTCGTCCTCTTTCTCCGACGTGACGACATGATCAGAGATTTCTTCTTTTTCCGAGGTGATGATCGATTTGTCAGTCTCCTCTTTTTCAGACGTGACGATTTCTTTTTCCGAAGTGACGATCGATTTGTCAGTCTCCTCAGACGTGACGACAGATGTGACAATTTCTTTCTCTGAACCACCGACAGACTTATCTAAACCGATAACTTTAGCTTCAACCATTGGTGGAGATGTTTGAACGATTTTGTCGTGAATCACCGAGATGCTCTCTTTGTCTGCCGGAAGTCTGATGTCGACATCTTCCTTCACTAAGCGATAAGGAGCCGCTTCCGGTTCAGATTGACTCCTCACAGACACAATAGGTTGCATCTCTTCGCCTTCCCTCTTTACAGCAAGAGATATCTCTACTTTATGAAAGATGGGTTTGTATTCCGGTTTCAGTGCCTCGTCCATGTAATCATCGATCGAATAATCGATCTCTGGAACGAAAGAATTCTTCACTATCTGCTGCTTCACGTCAATCGGTAATGCCTCCAGTTCTACGTGCCTTTTCCTCTCGGCTGGTGTTGAGGTCGAAGGAAGTATCTCTTCGAACTGAATTGGTCGTTCTTCTGAAACGTGAACTCTCTTTTGTACCTCCGTTGAAGCTAATTTTGTCAACGATTCTGATTTCTCTTTCATCCACTTTTCTATCGAAGACTTTTCTTCTAGGACAGGTACATCTACGGTGCCTCTAATGTCATGGTGCTTTTCTACATCTACCGTGCGATCTTCTACCTCGATACGGGGTGTTTCTCTGCTTACTGGTGCATCGATAAACTTACAAGTCCCTTTAGTCACGCTCGTCGAGTCCTCTGACACGACAGATTCGATCGAAGACTTGGTTAACTCTTCCTGTACTTGTGACTCTCGTATCTTGATCTCTTGACTCGGGCTCTGCAAAGTAGCCGACACTTCAGCATCGATAAACGCCTGGCTGGTCGATTGAAGGAACTTTTTGCCATTTACCTCGACCAAAAAGTGCTCGTGCTCGTATTTATCAGTTGGTTCAATTTTCTTTTCGATTGCTTTTAATGACTTGTCGCTTTTTTCACTCTGTAATAAAGATTCTTCAAGATCTTGTAAGGATTCTTGAATGTCTGAAAATTCCAGTGGTTTTTCCAGAGCCTTCTCTGATCCAACATTTATATCAATTTTTTCCTTCTTCTTTTCTTTTGTAAGAGTGTCTTTCTTGTCAGGCAATGGCTCCTCTCTCTCTGTTACTAAGTAGGTCGTGCTTGGGTGCATATCTTTAGCAAATGCACCAAAGAATGGTCCTTGCATAGGAATATCATCGGTAACGACTTTTTCCTCTTTCGAATCTTTGTCCTCTTTATCTTCTTTCTCAGTAACATCCTCAACCACGACGCGATCTGGAGCCTTCTCTTCAATTCCTTCATCTTTACCAAGATTTCTCTGTTCCTCTTGCTTAATCACATTGATACTTATGTGTGGAATATTCTTTTCATCGATCTCCACTTCCTCGGGCTCCTCTATTATCTCCTCAGTGGCAGTTTCCTTACCATCGATGATAGTAACCTTTCTGATAATTCTTCTAGTCTTCCTAACCACTCTTCTAGTTACTTGTTGCACCACAGCGTGCACGCTAGACGTCTTTGCCCGATATTCTCCACCTTCCATTAAAATTCCCTCTTCGAATGGTTGAGGACTGATGTCTCGAATGTGGCCTTGAGTCACCGTGTGCATGTATTGCGGAGATGACTCGTATTCATCCACGTTCACGTCTTTGAAAGGTGTACCGGTGGCCACTCTTCCTCCATGGATCTGTTTCGTAACAGTTTCTATTGTACCATCCGGCTTCGTGGTAGTTATAGTGACCTGCTGATCCTTCATGGTAGCTTCTGAGAAAGCCTGCACCACGGATGGAGCGTCACCAATGGCGGTGGATGTCGAAGACAGATGTTGTTGAGTTGTTTGTCTATTAGTCATCGTGGTTCGCCTCAATTTCCTTACTATTATCCTCTTAGAACCATCTTCATCTACCACCACTTCGGTAGTCACGTCGTCAGGTTCGACCAAAACGGTCTCGAACGATTGTGGGGCAGCGTGGACGATGTTTAATTCACTGGTGGTGTTGTCAATGTTCGTGGGATCTTGATATTTCATGTCAACAACGATGTCTTCGGTTATTTGCTCGGGACGATCTTGAACGATTTCCTGAGCGGAAGTTGGCACGTTCTTCGTGGCTATCTCGATAACGTCGTGATCACCTTCCGTGGTTTTTAGAATCTTTATCGTTTCCTGGGTTTGGATGCTCTCCATGGCAGGATGCACTGTATCCACGGTTTGGGTAGTCAACGAGTGACATTCTGTCGCGATTGGAATTTGATTGGTGGACGTTTGCTTGGTGAGTTGTTGCGGTTTCTCGACGATCTCGTTGGCTAATAAACTCTGTCCTGTCTGCAAGGAAACGTCAGCTAAAGATGGCATACTACTTTCGAGGGAAGAATGAATCGAGGGTGCTTGATCGAGGGTAGCATCGTCTCGGTCTGACGTTTCATCGGCTCGCGCTTCTTCGTCGCGAACCTCCTGGAAAATTGAAGAAACGATTCTCGTTCAAGAATTCTATCTGAATGATATTCCTGATTGCTGGTTCTTCGTCTGTAGGAAAATTTTTCTTTCGAATTTTGTGCTATTAATAAAATTATTTTTAATTCATAAATGCTAATGTGAAATTTTGGGCTCTTGTAATAATAATATTTGTTTAATTTATAAGTAGTATTCGCATTAAAATATAAAGTATATTTTACATATTTACTCCGAACGTAAAATTATTATTATTTTCTCAATAATTTTTAATTGAATTTTATATTTACGACTTAAATATTCATTTTTTAATTTCTTGAAAATTAAAAATTCTATCCAAAAGTTTTTAAAATCTTATCAAAGATTTATTATAGCAGTTAAGATTTAAATATATAATTTAAAAATAATGCATGATTAAAGCTTGAATGATGAAAACAATTAAATTTTGCTATTCGCATACTTTTAGTTATTCTTTATTTTATATTTAGATAAAGAAAGTTTAGTATATTTTAGTGTCTCCAAAATGCTGATTATATAATAGAACTGAAAGCAGTGGCGTAGGTAACAGTGGATCCTTCCATTATATTGATAGCAAAATTTAATGCGCATTTGTTAATAACAGCATCACGTTAATCACTGATTTGTTACGTGAAAATTTGTATCGGTTGTTATATGATTTCATGGTCATTGACTATTTCATATCAATATATAGCTACACCTGCATTGTGTCCATAGAAACGGAGACGGAAGATTTTATTCAGAAAACATGATCATCAGGAAACGAGAACGAGAATATCCGCATACAAGAACACTCGGCGTTACACTGTCGTATTTTTAACTTGAAATGTTACGTTTGACTTTATTTTAATACGCGCTTATTTTAGTCGTCTTAAGAGTGCTATGCTTACATATAAATATTAAAAAGAATAAAAAATCAGTGATTTATTTATCGTGATAATCATAAAATTTACGATAAAAGAATTAATTCTAAAAAGACAAGCGTAAAAATATAAATAAATAATAAAAAATAAAAAAAGAATTTTACTTTAAGAATTTCTAAAAAAAAATGAATTTTGAATATCTTGTAATGGCAATGTTCCAAAAAGAAAATCGTTTCGTTATTATTTAACACATACACATATTATATGGTTACATATACATACAATACGTAGATTTTTTTTTTTGGTGATATTGGGGGGATAAATAAAATAAAATGGGGGAAATGGGGATTAATGAGAATACTTTAATTACAGCATGAAAAAATTACAGAATAATTGTATTAACATTCCATAAACAAATGCTGCAACTATACGATTACATCCATTACCTTAAGCTAGAAAGAACATAAATATGCTAGTTATAAGTAAATATAAATAAATACACCATGAAATTGTGAGAAGAGTAAAGAGATTGTGCGATGAATGTAAAATGACTATATATGTATATATATATATATATGCATAATGGAATAAAAATCATAGTAAAATGATTAATGTATCTATGTGGTTTTTGCAATTCTTTATAGTTCATATTTTATAGTTCTAAAAAAATTCAAATTATATAAATTTATTTTTTAATAAATAATTATATTTTTAGAAATGAGAATATCGATATGATTTTTAATCCATCATATTTATTGCGTGTGATGAGAAGCTCAAATGAAAAATACGCAATGACATGATAAAAAAAATAGATGAAGAAGAAATTGTATATACGTGTTCTAAAACCTTAACCTGCCATAGTTTACCCATTAAATAAATTATCGTGCAAAATGATACGTGATACAACAAACAAATAAATTACTACGTTGAAGCAGCGAAAGAAAAAAGAGAATGTTACATGCTTGATTATATTTATCACCCTATTCCCATTATTAATTATGGTACAAGATATTATAGTATAAGGCAATATATGTATATCATTCCTTCATATACATATTGTACACATATCCTTGTTATTCTTCAAAATCTTTTACATTGGCAAAAAATTGAACTATCTTCTATATTTCATTCCTCCCATCTTTAGAATCCGATTAGCAATTGACTAGAAATTTTATCAAAGTTTATCTATCTTTAAATTCAAGAATAAACGATGATACTACATTTATTTCTATAGATATAAATAAATATTATGTATACAACAAACATATTTGGTAAAATATCTTCTCTTAACTTTAATTTTCTTTTGTATTTTCCGATTTTTAGTTTCGTGACGCTACATTTGTTTCTATTAATATAAATATTTCTGTACTATAATTCTGTTTCTTTGGTGTATTCGATATTTCCCGATTTTCCATGTCGTATATATTTTATGAAACTGGGGCGCGAAATATTTGAATTCAAAATCGACGACGCTATATCTGTCTCTAGACAAATATAAACGAAATATTACACATGTAATAAGCATTTCTTTTCGACTTTAGTTTCATTTCGTTTTTTCTCTTTTTAATATTCCGTGTATTTCTCTATATTTTCTGTATTAATCATCGCGTGTGCTTCACGAGACTGTTGCGCGAAGACCAGCAGAGTTTGCGAAAGCTCCCGAGCATTGGAAAACGTTGGATACCTGCTGCCTTTGCTGCAGACGCGACATCACCTCCAACAACGCATTCTTCAGGACTTTTGCCAATGTGCTGATCTCTGGCAAAGATTCAAGCTCCGACACCCGCTGCGCGTGACTGCTCAACTCATCCTGTAAAGCCTGTGTCCACGCAGGGACACACACAGACAGACACGTTTACATACGTGATTTCACACAATTCGTGGTTTCGTTTAAAAATAAATCGTGCAAGCCGCCATTCTAAAACGGTGGATTACGCCAACAGATTCGTGTTGCAAAAATCGGTCATGCAAAAGAAAAATCATGACCGATTTTAAATTTTTATTTAAAATTTTGAAAATGAAGAGAAGATCTAGATCTTTTTTAACCAAAGATTCATTAGAATTTATATCTTTTTTTAGAAATTTTTTAGAAAGATTTTAATTTCTCTCTATATACATATAAATATAATTTCATTTATATATTACTATATATATATATATATATATATATTATATTGTAAGCGTACCTTGTTCGTAGCGATCGGTGGTTCCTGTTTCATACTAGCCACGATATCTTTCAACCAACTATCTGTTTCATCCAAGAATTTTTTGTACGCGTGAATGTCGTGGCCGCGTTGCTCTTGTTGTCCACGTGCACCCTCAAGGGTGGCGCGCCCTTGTTTCGCTTGTGTCAACAGGGTTGTAATTTTAGTCTGAATTTCTTCTAGATTGGACAGAAGCTTTTGAGCCTCTAAATCGGCTGGTATTTTATGCAATTCCTCTTCCAAGTGATGCGTCTCTTCATCATAACTTTGAAGCTCCGTTATTAAATTCTGCAAATTATTTTGATAATTCAATTCATTGAATTTTTAAATAAATCGTGTTTAAAAATAAAAATATAAGAAAATATTTAAATATCGTTTATGGCGTGTAATCTTACCGTGAGTGCAGAGAGCATAGTGTCTATGTTATCTCGTGGTAAGTAAGTTCCTTTTAAGTTCGAAAGACTCAATTGTAAAACCATTAGGCGTTCCTGTATGATGTCCTGTAACATAGGAACGAATTAATAAACGGTAAAACATTTTTCTCTTCGTAATGGGGAAGAGAATATGAATCGTGCAATTCAGAGCTTTAATATCAATCTGTTAATTAATGAATTAATGGAATTCGTAAAATGGGATAGGCAAAAAACACAAATATATCAAGATGCTATAGTTTTTTAGTTTCTTTTTCTATTATTTTTTTTTTAATTAAGTAAATTCGAGCATTTATAAAATATATTTATCCATGCAAATTTGGAATTATAAAAAATTAAAATTGGAAATGTACAAGGTTTATGGTACTAGTAAATCTGAGATTTTATAATTCAAAATGAATCACAATAATAGAGTAACTTTTTATAGTCTTTTTTTTCAAATATCCTTGAATATAATATAATAAAAAAAAACAATATTATTTTAAATCTTTTTGAATCATAAAATCTTGAGCATTTTATTTGTACCACAAATTATAGTTTATCCTGTGCAACTCTACAGAGTACTTCAAAAGATGTGTCTATTTTAGTACTACATAGTATCGATCTTTTAAAGTGAAAGAACATTAAAATGTTCCCTCTTATGTGTAGATTGTAAGAGAGAAAGCTGTAAAAAAAGAAAAAAAAATATATTTAAAAGATATAGCATGTTAGAATAAAATCTTAAAAGAGATATTGATTATCGAATACATAACGTAGTGTTGTTGCAAACTGCTTCCTTGAATAAGAATAAAATTTGTTCAATATGAAAAGAATCATTCTCATTTTTCAATAATTTTTCAAGACCAATTAATCGCGAAACTTTTTTTAAAATTCTCATTGAACCGCAACGCAAGCCGAAAATCAAGTAACGTTACGCTCGTGCATTAATAAAAAAAAAAAATCAGCATGCAAATCAAGGAAGGAAGAATCGTAATTAGAGAGAAGCAATAGCAATGTAGCAGCGCTAATATTGTAATTAACTATCAACAGCGGCTAGTAACGTAAAAAATGTATAGAATAGAAAAAAGTAATACGTTCGATTGTATAATACAGAGGTCGAGATAAGTGAAAAATGATCGATTAGAGAAAAAAAAGAGAGAGAGAGAAGAAAAACGTTAAAAAATTGTTTTAAAAAGTAGAATAAAACAACAATGAACGAGGGCATGAGAAAACAGTATATAACACTGTGTACCAAGCACACGCGCGCACACTCACACACGCGACCTCGCGAGCGTGTACGTACACATACACGCGAGCCCGCACAACACAACAATAACAACAATAACAACAACAAAAAAGACAGTGAACTCTTTGAAGCTCGATTGGGTAAAGATCGAGCGCAGCTTGTTTCGTGATCGCACCTTGATCCCTCGTATCCTCTTTTCAGCCTCATCCTCAGCTACCCCCATCTCTCTCTCCGTCTCCACGATTGGAGTGTGCCGCTGCATCGATCCTCTTTCAATACCTAAATTTTCCTTAGGATCTGGACCATGGTCAGGGATATTTGGTATTGGGAATAATTCGCACGATGGATCGGAACAGGTGGATTCTAGTCGTTCAACCGCAGTAAAAAACTCGTGATCTAATTTAGAGGGTTGTTCACCGAGAGGGGACACTTCGACAGTGGACAATGATTGTAATTTGATCTCCTCAGAATTTTCTGATGTCGTAGGAACAGATTCGAGCGACAATTCGTCGAATTTGGAAATAGACTGGTCATCCTCGAGGTGGACGGAGGATAATTCAGAAACTACTTCGTCTGAGGGAAGGGTTAGATCTAACGTTGGATTCTCGATCTTTTCCTGGACCAACTCCGTGGTCTGATCCGTTCTTTGCTCGTTCTCGCTCGACAAGTAAGTACTGTAATCGCTCCAGCTACCTATACCACCTGGAAGATCGGCTATCAAACGCTCGGTATGAGGTCCACCCAAGAAAAAAGAATTCATGGGACCACCATTTCCACCGCGATTATTCAAATTACCATCATTCTGATCCCCATTAAAATCGTCTGGATCGTTAGAATCGCGTTTAATATCGCTCGAAGTATTTTCTTTTGGATAATTAGCCAAGTTTTCGAATAGATAGCGTTCAGCCTCGTGATAAGGATGTTTGTCCGGCCAGAAACCGCTATCAAGGGAGAGGAACTTGGACCTACTGAGTTCTGACAGGGTCTTTAAGATTAGAGGAGTCTGGACAGGTTTCTTTTTCTCGGGACTTAGAACTAGAATTTCATCGGCTATGTAAAATTGTACTTTTGGTTTTGCTGGTTCGATTACGATATCGACCGTCTCTATTTCTGGTTCACTCGATATACATTTCTCGAATTCTTCCTCGGTTTCTAATTGGGATTCGATCGAGTCTATTATTATGGGTGATTCGATCTCATCTAATAGCTTTTCAATCGGTATAAATTGTTCTGGGACTTTATCGATTTCTTGGATTATATTTTCTTTCACAATTTCTGGATATATCTCTTCGATTGTTTCTATTTTTTTAATTGTCTCTTTTTCAATCTCGTCAGTTTCTTTTTTCAATATACCATTTATCGTTACTTCAGTTGATTCAATGATTTCTGTTGGTTTTTCCACTTCAAGTGGAATGATTGTATCTTCTATAACTTCAGAAGTCTTGTCTACTGTTATTTCTTCGGTAGTTAATGATTTTATGTCATGAATTTCTTTATCATCATTATTAGATTTATCTTCATATCCTTTGTCTTTTGTTGTTTTAGATTTTTCTTCTTTCGTAACTTTCTTTTTTATAGGAGAAGTCGATGGTGTTTCTTCAATTTTCTGTAGATTAAATTCAATTTCTTCTTGAGTTTTCGAAAGTATCTTTTCTTCTTCAAAAACAATTTCCTGCTCTGTTGTGTTCTTAATTTCTTTTTCATCTTTTTTAATTTCATCAATTGTTAATATATCATTAACTTCTATTTTCTGTTCAGGTATCGTTACGTTCAATGTCTTTTCTTCAATTTGAAGGATTTCCTTTGAAGTATCTGGAGTTGGAGTAGAAGAACCTGTGTTTAATATTTCAATATTTTTTTCAATCTTTGATGATAGTAGATCTTCATCCACAGATTTTATTTCCGTTTCTGCTTCTTCGTGCTTACTTTTTTTTGCTTGTTTATTCTTGCGTTTAGATTTTTTAGATGACGAATCTTCCTGTTTTTTGTCTTCATCTATCACTGGTTTAATTATTTCTCCTTTTTCTTCAATGTCTTTTATTTTATTTATAATTTCTTCTTTTTCTTCAATTGGTTTCGACAGCTCTATTATTTCCTTAATAGGTTGTATTTCCTCTTTGGATATAGATAAAGATTCTGGAACAAGTTTCATTTCATCAGAAATTTCATTTTCTTTTAGTTTTGGCAACTCTGTTTTCTCTTTAATAGAATGTATTTCTTCAGATATTGGTATAGAGATAATTTCTGGTTTGATTTCATCAGAAAATATTTCTTTTTCTTCAGTTGGTTTTGGCAATTCTTCTATCTCCTTAATTGGTTTTATTTCCTCTTTGGATATTGATATAGGCAAAGTTTCGGGAACAAGCCTTATTTCATCAGAAATTATTTCTTGTTCTTCAATTGACTTTGATAATTCTATTTTCTCTTTAATTACTTTTATTTCTTCTTTAGGTATTGGTATAGGCATAGTTTCTGGTACAAGCTTTATCTCATCAGAAATCACTTCAGAAAAAATTAATTTTTCAATTTCTTTAGATATTTCATTAGTGTCTTTTTTCTCCTTGGTTTCATTAGTTAAAATAATTTCTGTAGATATTTCTTCTGCCTTTAATTCATCTAACGTTTTGGATGTCATATTTATTTCTTCTTTCTGCTCTTGCGAAATCGCTTCTGATTTTTCGTTTTTCAATTTTTCTTGGCTAGTTGCTCTTGTAGCTGATTTTTCTTTTTTCTTTTGTTTCCGTTTTTCTTTTTTCGAAACTTTAGATTTATCTTCTGTTTCTATTGCTTGTTCAATTTTTGTTTCCTCTTTCTCTTCTATTGTTTCTGTTTTACTATCTGAAATTTCTTTAGCGATTGTTTGTGGTAATTCTGTTGATTCTTTTACAGAATTTTCCTTTTCTTTCAGCTTTTCAGATGTTATCGCAATTGTTTCTATTTCATTCTCTACAGTAACATCCTGTTTAATGTGATCAGTATCGTCTCTTTCCTGCTTAATTACTTCTTCTTCTTTTATTATTTGACTCGATATTTTTTCTTTAGCATCAAATTCAAATAATTTCTTTTCGTCAATTGATATTTTAGTGATTTGTTCTGATACAGTTTCTACTTTCGTTTCCTTAGATTTTCCTTTACGCTTTTTTGGAGATTTTTCAAATTTTATTTCCTGAACAATTTCAGGCTTACTTTCAATTTCACACTTTATAGATGTTTGTATTTCTTTTTGAACTTCCTTGTCTTCTTCAATTTCTAATTCTTTTTCTGATATTTTTTCTTTGATCTCTGGTTTAACTATTTTATTCTTTTCAATTGATGTTTCAGTAATTTGTTCTAGTGCAATTTCTGCTGCAATTTCTTTAATTTCTTTAATTTCTTTAATTTTAGAGACTTCCTCTTCCTTAGATTTTTCCTTATTTTTTTCTGAAAGTTCTGATCTTTCAGATTTTGTTTCTTGAACAATCTCAGACTTATATTCATCTTCAGATTTCATAATTGTTTTTAGTTCTTCCTCAATTTCTTTAATTTCTTTAATTTCCTCAATGTCTGATTCCTTTTTTAATATTTCTTTGATTTCAGGTTTAGATACTTCCTTTTCTTTAATTGCTGTTTCTGTAATAATTGCTTTTTTCTTTTCCTTTGATTTTCCTTTACGTTTTCCAGAAGAAGCTGGTTTTTCATATATTGTTTCTTGAACAAACTCAGTAATTGCTTTTATATCTTGAATATCTTTTGCTTCTGATTGTTCTTTCAATATTTCTTTTTGTATTTCAGATTCTAATACTTTATTTTCTTCAATAACTGTTTCAGTGATTTGTTTTGGTGCTATTTCTGCTTTTCTTTCTTTGGATTTCTTTTTACGTTTTTCTGATTGCATTAGTTTGTCAGATTTTGTTTCTTGAAGAAGTTCATTTTCAGTTTCAAATATCGTATTTTCGTTTGATTTTTCTTGAATTTCTTCAGATTCAATTTCAAATATTATATTTTCTTTTGCTTCTTCTTGATCTTTAATTTCTGATTCTTTCATAATTTCTTCTTTTAATTTTAGTTCTAACTTTAGTTCTGTTGTCTGAGCATTATCTATTTGTTTATCTTGTTCCTTATCTTTAAATTCGTGTTTCGGTTGATCCTTATCTTTAAATTCGTGTTTCGGTTGTTCCTTATCAGATTTTCCTTTTTTCGATTTTTTATTCTTCTTACCACCGGATTGTTCTTTTGTTTCTACTTTCGATTTTTCTGCAATCTTATTTTGTGTATTTACTTCCATTATTTTATCTGCCTCTGGAACTTCAAACTCAATAGTCTGCAATTCTTCTTTTTCTTTCTTTATTTCTATCTTTTCTTCAAGCTTTTTCTCAACTTTTTCAACAACAATTTCTTCTTTATTTTTTTCTTTTTCAGCTTCTTTTATTTTCGATTTGCCTTTACCTTTCTTTTTTGATTGGATGGTTTTTTCTATATCTTGCTCAATTGATTCTTCTATCGTTTCTTCCTCTATTTTCTTTTCCTCGATTTCATTCGTCTTTGTCTTACTTTTCTCTTTTTCTTGTTCCTCTTTCGTTATACTTTGATTACGATCCGCACTGTTTGACTTTGCCTTACGTTTATCTTTCTTAGATTTTTCTTCTTTTCCTTTTTTTGCCTCCTTTTTCTTTTGCTCTTCCATTTTCTCTGCATTTTCCTCTTTCTGTTCTACTGCTAAAATTTCTTCAGGAATTATAGGTTTATCACTCGACTGCTTTGCATCATCTCGTCTGGCACTTCTGGATCGTGATCTGGATCGTCTAGATCGCAATTCTTTTCGATTTAAAAATTCTATGAAACCTTGTTCGTCTACTTGAACTACTTCTTCAATGGGTACAGGTTCTGGAGCTTGTTCTACATGGATTTGTACTTGAGGATACGAATTTTGCTCGATAGTTTGCTCTTTTTTCACTGTAGGTAATGAAATTTTTGGTGGTTCAACATATTTTCCAACTATAGTAGCCCACGAATCTTTCGTTTTCTGCGGAGATTCAATATCCTGAATAGAAGTTTTAAAATCAATTTCTTCTTCTAATGCTTCTTTCTCGATTTCTTCTACCCATGAAGTTGATTCCATTTTAAAGACACCTTTTTCAATAACTAATTCATCAAACTTTTTATCCATTATTACCTCTTCGTCAGATTTAATCGTTTCTTCTTTGACATTTTCAATTTCTGTGATTATTAGTGCTTCTTCCTGTGCAATTTCTTTTTTCTCAATGTTTTGATTAATAGGAGTCGGTTTAGTAATTATTATATCTTCTTGATTAAATTGTGGAGAAGTCCTTTTGTTGGAAGCAGCCACTTGAGCATAAGATTTGTTCGAGTCTTTTGTAATCAATTCTTGTGATTCTTCAATAATTATCTCTTTTTCTCCTTCATTTTCAGTATTGATAGAAGAGGCTTTTATCTCAGTAACATTCTTCTCTTGTTTTACATCTTTTTTCTTTTGGTGTTTCACCCATTTTTGATGTGCTGGTGGACTCTGCGGTTCTTCAGGTATAATTTCTTCCACTTTTTCTATTTTTTCTAATTTTGGAGTTTCAGGTATTGATTCTTCAGATGTTACTTTCGAAATATCTGTAGAATTATTAGTTGTTTCCATATTTCCTTTCATGCTAACAATTGATGCCCATGATTTGGTACACACCGATGGCTGAATTTCTTCTTGTGATACTTCTTTTATTTCTATTTGACTCTCTTCCTTTTTAAACTCTTCTGGAGAAATTTCACTCACAATTTCTTGAGACATTGATGTTGGGATGTCGTTTGTTTTCTTAGATTTTCCTTCACGTCTCTTCTTTGAATCTGGAGAACTATTTTCCTGTTTATCTTGTTTCTTTGGTTCTTTATCTGGGGTAGCTTTAATATCAGCTTTCTCCTTGAATTGTTTCTGTTTTCCAGATTTTGTTTTTGTTTCTTCTTTTTTAGATTTCTCTATAGGTTTAGTTTTCTCTTCTTTTGTTGAAGATTGAATTTCATCTAAATCTATTATCTCTATTGTTTTACCATTGACTAATTTTTCGGTTTCTGTTATTTCAGTTATAATATCAATGTCTTTTTCTAAGGAACACGATTTCAGTTCTTCTGTGATAATTTTTTCTTCTTTCGATGCTTCTTTAACTTCTTCTTTTTTCTTAGATTCTTTAGAAGTCTTCTTCTTTTCAGAAATAGACTTCTCAACAACTTTCTTGTCTATATTTTCTTGTTCAGTTACAATTGGATTCTCTAGAACTGGAATTTCTTCTTTCTTTTCGTTTTGTTTCCTCTGTTTCTTTTTGCTTTTTTCTGATTTCGTTTCTTTTCCTACTTTTTCTACTTTTGGAGATATTATCACAGGTTTTCCTTCTTCTTCCATTTTTGATTGTGATGTGGTTAATAGTTCTTCCATAGTAATATTTTTTTCCATTTTCTTCTCTTCTTTTTGATCAATAATTTCATCTGTTGAAATTTCCTTTATCGCAGTAATAAGTTCTTCCATCGTTCTTGTTAATTCTGAAGTTTCGATATCTTTTTCAATATCAATATCTTTTTTCTCAATTATTTCAGATTCTTTGGGTAATAATGAAATCTCCTCAATTTCTTTTTTCTTAATTTCTGCAGTAAATTGTTCCATAATCTGTGATAATTCTGCTGTTTCAGTAGTATCTTTCTCCTCAAGTATTTCAAGTTCTTTGATCGATAGTGGAGCCTCTTTAATTTCCTCTTTTTTAATCTCTGTAAGTTGTTCTATAATTTGTGTCATTTCTGTTTCAACAGTATCTTTTTTCTCAATTTCATGTTCTTTAATTGATGAAATCTCCTTTTTCTTATTCTTCGATTTATCACCTTTTGATTGCTTTTCTTTCTTTGATTTTTCCGTTTTTGATTTTTTCTCGGATACTTGCTCTTTTTTCTCAGCTTCAGATTCTTTCTTTCTTTCTTCTACAATTGTTATAATTTTATTTTGCTCTTCTTCTTTCTTTATCATATTAAGTTCTTTAGTCACGTCTTCAATAAGAGCTGCTGTTTGATCCAAAATTCTATCTGTAGATTTAATTTCTGTAGTAACTTCTTCGATAACTTTCATAGTATCTTTCTCAATATTAATCTTTTTATCTTCTTCTAATTTTACTGCTGGCTTTTCTTCTTCATAAATTTCGATAATTTCCTTTTTAATTTCAATATCTATTGATTTAGACTCCTCTTCAGGAGAGAGTATGACTTCTTCATTTTTGAGTTCTAATTCTTCTAATTTTATTGGTGATTTTACTTCAACATCTGTCAGTTTAGATTCTTCTACAGAAGTGGATATGATCTCTTCTAATTCTTCTAATTTTATTGGTGATTTTACTTCAATATCTGTCAATTTATCTGTCAATTCTTCTACAGATGTAGACATGACCTCTTCTAATTCTTTTAATTCTATTGGTAATTTTTCTTCTTCATAAATTTGAATAATTTCCTTGTTAATTTCAGCATTTGTTGATTCAGATTCTTCTACAGGAATAAATGTGATCTCTTTTTCTTGAATCAGCTTAGATTTCACCCATTCAGATTCTAATTTATAAAACGTACTAATAGGATATTTAAGGGTTTCTCCAATAAGTGCATACTTTCGATATTCTGCTTCAGATTCCTCTGTATCTTCTGTTTTCTTTTCTATTTCTTTAGATTTTTCCTCAATTGATTCCTGAAGTACATGCTTTCTGTATTCTGTTTCAGATTCCTTTGTATCTTCCGTTTTCTTTTCTGTTTCTTTAGATTTTTCCTTAATTATTTCCTGAGATGCATGTTTTGCGTATTCAGTCTCAGATTGTTCTGCACTTTCCATTTTCTTTTCTTCTTCTTTAGGTTTTTTCATGATTGATTCCTGAACAATTCTTTCAATACTATCTGATCTTGGTAACACAGGAGCAGGTACATTTTCTTCTAATATTTTTACTATCTTGAAATGCCTATAGAAATCAATTTCTGCCTTAATATAAGGACGATAATTGAACCAATAAGGTTTGACTAAATCTGTGAAATAATATGGGTTTATATCTTTTATTTTTGACTTAGAATCTTTAATTTCGACAGGAACTTCTTTTTCTATTTTCTTAGAATCTTTAATCTTAACAGGAACTTCTATTGATTTCTCAGATTCTATGATCTTTTCTTCAAGAATTGTTTTATCTTCAACGCTTTCCATTTTAGATTTAGAATCTTCATCTACAATTGTTTCTTGTTTCTCCATTACCTTTTCTCCAACTTTAATTTCTTCTTGGGGTTTAGAATAATCAATTTTAACAGGAACTTCTTTGAATGATTTTTCAGATTCTACAACCTTTTCTTCAAACAGAGCTGTTTTATCTTTAACTTCTTTCGTTATGGATTTAATTTCAATAGGAATTTCTATTTTTTCTTCAAGATCATCTTTTTCTTCAATTATAATTGTTTCATTATTTATTTTTTCAATTATGAATTTAGAATCTTTAATATTAATAGGAACTTCTTTAATTTTTTCTTCATCCTGAGTTGGCTTATTTTCAATTTCTTCCGATTTAGAATTAATATCTTCAAGCTTAACAGAAATATCTTCTCGTTTTTCAGTATCTATTAGCTTTTCTTCAAGTAGATCTGTATTTTCAATGCCTTTCATTTTAGACTTAGAATCTTCAATTTCAATTCTTTCTTGTTTTTCAGAATCTACTTTATCTTCAATTTTAATTTCTTCTGTTTGAAGTTTAGCATCATTAACTTTAATAGGAACTTCTATTGGCTTCTCAAATTCTGCAATTTTTTCTTCAGGCAGAGTTATTTTATTTTCAACTTCTTTCGTTATAGATTTAATTTCAACAGGAACTTCTACTCCTTTTTCAGAATCTACTACCTTTTCTTCTATAGTTGTTTTACTAACTTCTTCAGTTTTAACAGGAACTTCAATTGGTTTTTCTAAATCTCCAATCTTTTCTTCATTCAAAGTTGTTTTATTTTCAATTTCTTCCAACTTAAATTTACTATCTTCAAGTTTAACAGAAACAGCTTCTTGTTTTTCGATATCTACAATTTTTTGTTCAACTACCATAGCTTTTCTTTCAGCTTCTAACAATTCTTCCACAGCATTCTTCACATCTTCTTCCTTTCCAACAGTGAAAAGAAGCTCTTCCATAGTTTTATTCGTTTCTCGCTTCTCTTCCACACTTTTATCCTCATTCTCTACCACTAACTCACTCGAATCTTTGAATCTCTCACTTTCAGTTTCTCCAAGAATATTTACTTCCTTTTTAATCATTATTTCACCCTTTTCAGTCTTACCCTCGATTTCGCTCAATGTATCTTGCGAAATCTTCGTATCAACACCCTGTCCCTCCTTTAAATCATCGACCTCTCGTTCTTCCTTCGCGTTTTCTACAGACAAAGGAGTCCCAGAATGATCTTTCCTCCTATCCTGAACGCTACCGAACAAAATCGGTTGATCGTCTTCGATGAGATTGATATAATTCGCGTAATCGAAATTCGACTCGTCCACTAACGTATCTAAAAACTCTTTCGAGGGGATACCAACAGCTGATTCATCCGATACCCTAGCATATCTGGTTGTTAGGCTAGCCTCTACTGTTTCAGGACGTAGGGTGATTAATTCAGTGGGTTTGGAGCCTACGATCTTAGGTAAGGGAATGCTTTCTAAGATCTCTACGGATTTCACGGATTTCACGTTCGGAGGCTTCACTTCGACAGATCCCGGTATGCTGGTCGTGGTCGTCACCGTGGTTACCGTTTTTTCGATGATTAATGCTTTGCCCGATGACGTCGAAGATGATTCTTCGACTGGCGAACCAGTATCTGTGACGTTTGAAATCTCTTCTGTCAATGAAAGAGATGGAATTTCTTCTGTACTTGATTTTTCAATCAGGTCTTGCGAAAGAGATTTTGACTCATTAGATTCAATAATTTGATCTTTTTCAGGCTCAATTATTGGACTTATTTCAGGTTGCAATGTCGTTATTTCTTTCTCTTCAAAAATAGATTTTTCGGGAGCAACATCAGGTATTTCGATGGATTCTTCGATTGGTTTTGCGTCACTGAGAGGTTTTTCTGTAATTGTCTTTTGTTTTGCTTGTGGAGATTCAATATTATCTTTGTCTTTATTCTCTTGTTTCTTTTTCTTCTTTTTATCGGATTTTGGTGTACTTGGTTGACTCTTTGGTGTACTTGGTTTAGGCTCTTGAACTATAGAAAGTGGAGCTATTTTTTCGATAGGATGTTTCTCCTTTGATTTACTTGACTTTTTACTCTTCGATGGTGTACTTGGCATTTCACTCTTTTGCTCTGGTTGTTGGTCTTCTGTTTTTGAAATTTCAGGAGGAAGTGTTTCCTTTTTCTCTTTCGTATCACTGACTTCAATTTTTTCAGTTTCTTTTGCTATTTCTACAGTTTTTATAAATGTTTCCATGCTTCCTTCAACAATAATCTTTTCAGGTATTTTTTCAATAGCAGACTGTATCTCAATTTTGTCTGTTAGGATTATATCTTTTTCTTTCTTTTCTTCAACCTGAACTGCACTAATTTCCTCTTTAACTTCGATAACAACTTCTTCTTTTGTTTCTTTTATAGATTTTTCTTTCGTATTATCGATTTTATCGCTCATTTCTTCTAATTTTATCGTTTCCTCTTGCATTTCTTTTTTATCTGTCTTTTCTTTTTGTTCTACAGATTTTAAACTTTCTTCTTTCTTTCCTCTTTTTGGTGATTTAGATTTCTTATGTTTTTTCATCTCTGATAGTTCTGTATTTGATACAACTGATTCAAGTTTCAAATGTTCTTTTTTCGATTCTTCTATAATAATTTTTTCATCAATTTTTTCTTCAATAACTTGTTTGTCAGCGACTATCGTCTCTTCTTTTTTGATAATCTCAGTTGCAGGTTTCTGATTAATATCTGCTTCCTTTTTAGATTTCTTTCCACCTTTCGTTTTTGTCTGTTTCTCTGCTTCACCTGCCTTTTTCGTTTCTTTCTTTGGTGTAGAAATTTCCTTCGAATCTTTATTATCAACTTCTTTTTCTTCAATTTTTTTATCAGATTCTATCGCACTAATCAATGGATTTATTACAGCTTTCTGTTCTTCTTTCTCTTTTGCTACTTCTGGTTTTATATCTTTCTTTTTGCGATCTTTACTTTCAGCTTTCTTTTCTTTCTCTTTTCCAGTTACCTTTTTCTCTTTTTCATCTTTTGGTGGTTTCACATCAACCTCTACTTTAATCTCTTCCTTTTCTTCCAATTTAATATCTATCATCTCTGATTTTTCTACAGATTTTTTCTGTTTCGATTGATCTGTTTTCTTTTCTTCTTTTTGTTGGTTCTGTTTCTTAGGTGTCTGGTCTTTTGAGACCTCATTCTCGGTTCCTTGTTTCTGTTTTTTATTCTTTTTCGATTTATCCTGTTCTTTAGGTTTCGCAGATTCCTTCTCTTTCGATTCAATTTTTGTTTCAGATATTTTTTCTGATTTCATAAGTTTTACAGATTTCGTATCCTCTTGTTTCTGTGATTGATCTAAATTTCCAATATTTTCAACTAGTTTAATGTCTTTTTCTTTTTGAATTTCTGCTTTATCTTCAATAAATATCGCTTTTTTCATTTCAGATTCATTTTCAATTTTCGTAGATTTCACACTATCTTTATTAGATTTATCTTTTACCGTACCAGTCTGTTCTTTACCTTTTTGCTTTTTCTTCGATAGATTAGCAGAGTCTTTCTGCGCTTTCTCTTCCTTCGTCTCAACTTTCCTCAATTCGCTACCTGAATCAATTTTAATTTCAGATCTTTTTTCCGACTCGCTCTTTCGACTTTCAACTTTCTCCTTAAAAATCTTAGCTTCATCCTTTGCATTTCTTTTCTCAATATTTTTCTCTTCTTTACTTTCTTTCGTATCATTCTTCGATTTCATTTGTTCTTTCGCGTTAGTCTGATTCATTGCAATTTCTGATTCGTCTCTAACCTTCTCCATCTTCGATTTATTTTGTTTCTTTTTCTCACCAGGCTTCACGCCTTTCTTTTCATTATCTTCTTTAGATTTTTCTGTTTGAACAGTTTGAATCGTATCCTTAATCTTAGTCTGTTCCCTCGATTTATCCCTCTTTTTCTGTTTATCCATATCCTCAATTTCTTTCAGAGCCTTGTCTATCTCATCGTCCATCGACTTCTCCGGTTTCTTCTTCTTTCCCTTTCGTTTCTTTTCCTGAGATCTGCTCCTCTGTTGAACATCATGCTTCTCCTCCTGAACCTCTTGCTTTTCATCTTGTTTTTGTACTTCCATCTTTTTCGTCTTTTCGACATCTACTCTCTTTTCCGGTCGAACATCTTCCACTTTTTCCTTTTTAATCTCAACCTCGTTACTCTTCACATTTATTTTAGAAGTATCTTCCACAACAATTTCATCTTTTGTTTCGAATACCTGTTTCTGTTGCTCCACATTAATCTTAATTTTCTCCTTTTGAAGTTTCTCTTTCGAGTATTCGGGCCCTCTTCTAGCTCTCTTTTCCGGTATCTTCGTCTTCGGCGCCTCCTGATGAGTCTTCCTCGTCTCTCTTTTCTTCGTAACGTCCCAATTGCTTTCCTGTTTACTTACCGACGATTCTCGAGTTTGACTCGCCTCCTGAGGAGGACTCGTCTCGTGTACGGAGGACGTTGTCGAATTCACAGGTGAATACGAACGCTCTTTCACCTGTTTCGAGGCTAATGTCGTCGATGGAACGCTCGTTGGTGGAGAATAACTACTGACGGCCGATGACGGTTTAGGAGCGAGACCCTGTGATAAGATCTGAGCGTAGGAGAATGTTTTGCTCTCGGTGATTATTTTTGTCTTCACCGGTGTGCTTTCCGATGGTGTTGCGGGGGAAACAGGTTGCACAGGTTGTTCCACTGGTTGCTCTACTAATTGTTCCACTGATTGTTGCATCGATTGCTGCACAGGCTGTTGTTCCACAGGCTGTTGTACAGGCTGTTCTTGTTCCACAGATTTCTCTTCAACGATCTGTATTGGTTGGACAATAGGTTGTACGACAGGTTGAATATCCACAGCTTGAGGAATCTGACAAGATAAACATTTCTCTTCCACATTTTGCATAATAATTGGAGCGCTCTTTGGATTACTTTTGTATTTAGATTGATGCGGTTGTCTCTGTTTCTGCAACAGATTCTGCTGATAAATCTCTGGCTCAGGGATGTAACTAGGTTGTGCCACGTACTGTTCAGACGGGAATGCTATCTGACTCTCGGTGTAATGAGGAAGAGTCATCTGCTGAGGGGATGCAGCCGGCATGTAGACGTAAGAACTTACTGGATAAGCTACCTGAGATCCAATGAATCCAACCAATTCTGGAATCGCTGGTCGAAGAGGTGGTTGAATATAGTTGTACACTTCTTGTACTTGTTGCGGTGCTCCCGCAATATTCTTGTAATTCTTCTCATTCAATAAAACGTACTCCTCCATGCTCTCATCAGCCCAACTGGTTTGAGCCTCTGCCGATTCCTCGGGTTTCACGGAAGAAGATACGATTTCAGCCACGTCTTCATCCATTACCTCAACAGACTGGTAACTCTCTACTGCTTCTATCTCTTCGTTTGCCTCTTCCTCAACAGCTTCCTGAACTTCCGTCTGTTCCTCCACTTCGAGTCTCGGCACATTGAACTCCAACTTCTCATTCTGAACCGTTTCCACAGACAACTCTTCGACCACAGTCTCGCTGACTTCTCTACCAATCATATTAACGTCCTTGCCAGCCTCCACCGAAGGACTGCGAGAACTTTGTCTATTTCCACGAAGGATATCCGCGTAGGACGTAGATCCAGGCACCCAAATGGGACTAGCCGATCTTCCTCTCCTCTCAACCTTAGGCGCCAACGTATTCTTAAGTACCAACGATTCCTTTTTCTGTTCCATCGATGTACAAATCTCCATCTCGTTTTCATTCTCCGCGGACGAATTTCTCTCCCTAGATTCCCTCACAGCCTCATCGCTGTCATTTCTAACCGAACCAGCCCTCCTCGACTGACTCCTCGTCCTAGAATCCATCGAATCCACCTTGGAAACGTGTCTTCTGCTTTCGATTCTCATCTCGGATTCCTTCTGTTCGCTCTGCTCCTCGATTCTCGCCCGTTCCTCGTTGCCTCTGCTTTCTATTCTCGCGGTGCTAGGCGGAGTTTCATCGCGAACCGGTTCAACGACGGGTTTCTGGATATCCACGGATCTTGAGAATTGAGCAGTCGGTCTAAGCACTTGAATCGAGAGAGGTGTAGGGGCAGCCTCGTTGTTTCTAAAGGGGCTAGAGCCCCTGGAATTGGGGCTCGTGCGACCAGCGGCGATGTCCGCGTACGAGACCTGATTGACGAACCTTGTCTCGTTGCTTTGTACATAGTACGGGTCCACGGTGTATATTTCATCCAGCAATGTCTTGACGCGTTGCCTCCAATCGTCCATCCTTTGCTGCAGGCTCTGCTTTATCCGCCACGGAGGAACCAGCCAAGGCACAACAATGGAATTATACATATGTCAATTTTTTTCTGCGAGTTTTTCTTTTTCTTTTGTGATGTCTTATCTTATATTTTGTTTATGGCGGGGTGAGAATAATAAAAAGATTGTTAACTCGGGCGGAAGTAATGACGGAGGGATCGGGGGCTGGTTGTTATCAGATAATGTGGTCAGGGGTGTTAAAACGGATTGTTATGGAATTTTAAAGATATCTTTTCTTTTTCTTCGGGTAATTTTAGTATATGCACGTATGCTAGATTAACGTTATGATCAGCGATGGTTTGGCTCGCGAAGAAATACACGATATTTTTATTTTTTTTTTTTTTTTTTGCAACAAAGAGGGCTTTTTATTCTCTCTTTTTTGAAATAATAACATATTTTCGATCGTTTTTCTTTTTCTATTCTTTTTCGTTTTTCTTTTATAAGAATGCAAGTCTGCTCTCTATGCCTGGACGAACAATAACGTTTAGGAAAAAGTTTTGCTCGATATAATATAATATAGACGATATACATATATATATGTATATATATATATATATTGTACATATATTTTTATAATATATATATATATATAATATAAAGTTCGCTAAAAAAGATCCTGAGGTATTAAAAATCGGTATCCACTCCTCGAACGAGGACGAACGACGATGTTTCACAGCTGACAGATTCTCTGAAAGAAAATCTTCCGCCATTTTTTTCTTCGACGTTCCCTTCGCTCGAGATGGAACTCGCGGAACTGCACCGGGTAAGAAAAGAAACGAACGCGAGGATACGACGCTAATGATTGCCACAATGTGACAAGACAAGTATCGCGAAGCTCTCGACGATCTGGATCGCCTATCTAGACTGGTCATGGATCCAATGGCTCTGGATCAGGCCTGCCACGTTGCGCGAGGATCTTCGACCTCTCTGTACGCGCCTGGATTTTGCTCTGCAACGACTTGATCTTCTCACGACAAATCTATCACGATGGAACGAAGGAACAACAACACGCCGAGCGATCGAGCGAGATGGAACGAGATTCGTGGACGAAATTTCGATCGAGAGAGACAGAGATCCGAGAAACCAAAGCGAAGAATGAAAAATAAGGAGAGAAATAAGGAAACGATTAAACGATGATCGAAAAGAAACAGAAAAGGTAAAGGTGAAACGTGTGTGGAATGGATTTATATATATATATATATTTTTTTTTTAAAGGAGAGGCGGGAAAGGATACAGCAAAGAAAATATCGTAAATCAAATAGCCGATGCGATGGATTAAAAAAGTTAATACAAAGAAAAAAAAGAAAAAGGTAAGATACAATATGAAGTTAAATGAGAAAGAAAAAAAAATATTCAAAGAATATGAGAGAGATTATTGAGAAATCATTAATACGACTAATTTTTTTGGAGCGTTGACTTGTGCTCGCTGCGTTCTCACAAGTCTCGACACACGTCTTGGAGGTCACTTGATTTTCTTGCGTGTCTTCCGTTTCCGTATTCGTTCTCGATCGAACGAGCAAAGGTATATCTCATTGCGAACAACAACAATACGAAAATTCAACCGAGCTATTTTCTGTGAAGACAGAAACTCGATCGGAAAAGCCTAAAGTGAATTAAGTGTTTGGTACAATTAGGTGTTTGCATATCGTACGATGCGACTTTTACATATCTCTGTGCGACTACTATTACGATTATTCGTTGTCTCTTCGTTTTAACTCTGTATAAATAAATAAATAAATAAATAATTGTATAGAGTGCCATAAAAGTGCAATTCCAATATACGGAATCGCATTGTCCTTGTAAACACGTAGATAGACAAATGTGAAATACGACGAAAAGAAAAGAAGAGAAAATAAAAAAAAGATAGAAACACGTGACGTTACACAAAGAAAAACAAGCAAAATCAAGTAAACTCCATCACGAAAAAAACATATATGTGTATGTGTGTAAATGTGTATCGTTAAGATTTTTGTGACGTATATAAGGATATTATATGAGAAATAAAGAGACAGAGACGCAGAGACGTGCGTGAACAGTGAACGTATGACCGATTGATCTCTCGGTTGTGAAGAGAACAGGTGTGATAAGTTTTAGTCAAGAGCATGATACCAACCAATACCGCGTAACATGATGTACCACCACGATGATCAGCATGCTTGCGCGATCACGATCGTTCGATCGTTTTCACGAAAGAACGATCGATTTCGATATTAACTTTGCAACGAGCGTAAAATAATTCTTTTTTTCTTTTTTTATACGTGAATTCGAAATTCTTTTGGAATTTTGGAAACAGCTTTGTACAATGTAAATTGTTATATAATTCCTTTGGAATGTAGATGGAAAGAGAGGAGAGTGAAGAGATGTTGGAAAGTTAATAAAAGAAAGATGTTAAGCCGTTAAGCGTTGGTGAGTAATTATGAAAAGCTTTGGTCAAGGTGAGGAAAAATAATTATAAAGATACATATGCATGAAATGAAAATTAAAATAAGGAATTGAGAAGGAATCTAGATTATGATTTCAACGGAAACACCTTGATTTAAATAAATAATAATAACAATAATAAAAAGATACGTCGACCTCTGTCTCCCATTAGAAATTATCCTAGAAATGGATCATCAAAATGTTTCCAGATTCTGATTGATATGTTTTATAAATTTTTATTGACTACTTTTAAATCTCTTAAATTTTAAAAGATACGCGAGAAATATCTTTTAAAAGGGATAGTCAATAAAAATTTCGTTTCATCCTGAATTTATTATAAGGATTAATGCGGCTCGATCGACGGTTAATTGTTAGTCACTTGAGAGATTACGGAGAGCAGGCATGGTGTCTCGAGAGCAGATGCCAGAGAGAAATTCGACTTTATTGTTCGGAAAACTACCCCCGACCACGAACGTGTACAAATTTAAGAAGAAAGAAAAAAAAAACNAAAAAAAAAAAAAAAAAATAAAAAATAAAAAAGAAGAAACATGTAAGGGAGAATCGCGTTTTATAATCCTGGTGGTGGCCTTCAGTTGGTATCGAGCAAATGCAAAAAATCAACTTGCTGCTTTAGCGCACTTGTGCAGGTGATAAAAAGATGGGATCAAGGCAAACCTACCTGTTGCTCCTGCAACGCCTTCTCCTTGTCGGTGGACAGGTATGTCGGACTCAGCACTGTCCTCAATTGTTGCTCTACCTGCATAATCTGTTGCCTCAATTGTTGTATCTCCTAGAACGACAAACAGATGTCAGCCGCATTCTTTTCGAAATCGTAAAAAATTACTGATCTTATTTCTTCGAGTAAAACAAATTGTACGTAATTATTTTCTCGAAAAAAGTATTATTTTTTTCGATGGTGAATAGGCGAAGCAAGATGATAGATTGCTCAGATAAATTTATATTGCACGTGCAATTTTTCTATAAGTGCAACGTATGAACGCACTTGGATTATAAAAGATGTAATTCTTTTGAATACATTTTTGCATTTTTAAAGCAAAACATAGTATTCTTTTTTTCACAGTTGTAATTTTTTCACAACTGTAATTTTTATACAAGTGTAACTTGCATTTTTTCTTTTTCATTACAAGTGATCACTTGCGAAGTGAAAGTGTTGCTTAGATGTTTTTCACTTCGTTTCATCGACTTATTCACCATTTTAATATCTTAGATCAGTAATCACGTTTCAAAAGAACGCAGCTCCAGTCAGGAGCGAACCCTGACCTGTTGATATTGATCGATCTGAGCTAAACAACCCTCCAACGCTGTGGTCTGTTCCTTCACGTTGGCGTGAAGATTGTCTAACTCGGCCAGTAGCTCGTCAACCGTTTCGCCGATTCGGCTATCGCCACCGATCCCCGACCGGAAGTGAACCTGAAGCTTCTCCATCGATATACCGATTTTCGTTTTCTGTATCGCGATATCGCTCAGCATTTTCTCCCGTATGCTGTGCTGATCCCGTAACGGTTTCTTTTTGTTCTGCGGCGATTCGAGACTCTGTTTCGCTTTCTCGATCCACGTTTTCACTTCTTTCATCTTTCGCTCGCATTGCTCCCATTCCTCGCTAGTTTCTTGCAGCAGCGCGTTCTGAAACGAGTAATTCGAACCAATGTTCATCTTACGCACGTTTTTCCCTTCCCTATATAGAGTTTGTAAAAACAAGAGAGAGAGAAACCAACCCTCTCCAACAGTTGACCCTCGACTTGAACCTTAGCTTCTTCAGCTTCGAGCAGTTTCTCGGGCAAGTCGCCCACGCTGCAAACCTGACCGATACTCTCGAGCTCCTTACCCATGTCACTGAGATTCTTGTTGATCTGTTTGCAGCTTTTCACGGCTGTCTGCAAAGCGGCGCGGAACATATTCAAGGATTAATAAAATTCGCGATAATAGGGAGGAGAATACGAATCGAATTTCTCTATTTTTCGAACGAAACGCAGAGGAATATGAGTTTTTCCGAGCAATAGAAGATCGATAAATCACGAAACCAATTCTCCAAAAAACCCACATTCTTCCGTCTCCCATAAGAATTCTAGAGAAGCACAACTCGTCGGTCCATTTCCTCCTCACGTACCGAATATTCGTGCAGCCTCTGCCTAGCCTGCACGAGGGTGCTGAGCTTCAACGGCTCAACCAAGAATTGTCTCTTCTCCTCGGTCCACGTCCTCACTGCCTCGTATAACGACAAGAATCTCTGCCAAGCGTCAATGGTATCCGCCACCACTTGTTTCCTCTCGTCCAACCAATTCTTCACTTGGTTCAATTGTTCGGTCACGTTGTGAACGGTGCTGTCGATCAATTGTTTCTCCGTGTCGTCCCTCGTGTTCTCCGCAATTGTACGGCCATTTCTCGTTAATCGTTCGAGCTTGTCGCTGATCGTGCCCAACTCCTCTTGCACCTGCCTCAATTGATCCTTGAGAGGTACAGGCTCGATCGATCTGTCCTGAACCTTCAACTCGGCCTGCCTGATCCACGCTTGAACCTCGTCCAGATCGGTCAGATAATCCGATCTGACGGTTCTCGCGCGCTTCTGCTCCCTCTGTTTCTCTTCCATGGCCTGCGCTGTCGCCTCGGCGCAAAGTTCGAGGGCGGTCAGGTGTTGGGCAAGATCGCTGGGGACCAGCTGCTGGCTAGCTTGGTACCGCGCCTTAGTGCTTCCTGAGAACTTTTTCCCGCTCTCGAGGAGCTGCTCGACAGCCCAACGCAGCTCGTCAAGCTCCTCCTCGGTCGCGTCCTGATCCGGCCCGAATATGTACAAATGAGAGACGCGTTCGCGCGCCTCGTTCAGATGCTTCCTCAGCTGATCGATCTCACGCTCGGTGCCTTCGAACGCCTCCAAGTCCTCGTCCGCCTTCTTGGATTTCGTCTGCAGGGTGTCGATGAGCCTGCAAACCGATTTCCTCTGATTCGCTATCTCTCGCGCGTGAAAATATTTTTCTGTCGATCTCCGATTTCTTCGAAGTCGAGAGCCTATAAGGTCGCACCGCGATTATGAAATGATAATTGGGACGAAGTTGTGCTAAACTCGGAGAGATCAAAGTTTAGAACAAGGAAACACTCCTGTTCTGTTTACCTTTTATTAAAACTTCTAAAATCGTATCTCACGAACGATGTCAAATTATATTTATCATACTTTAAATTAAACTCGAGAAGAGACTGGATAGATGTTCGATGTTGAACAATTTTAAAAACTCTGGCTGGTCAAAGAAGCTTGGAACAGCAACAACTTACGCGCGGTCTCGAATTGACGGACACGTTTACGGCACGACCGGAAGTTTTACGTGTTCACAGAACCGACAGGATACCAACGTGACCGTCGGCGAGCCCGTGGTCGCTACCTTACTAACGGAAAAACGATTTGCCCGTTAGCGGCGTGGTTGTGCACGGAGGCCAGGCGTAAAAATAGAATTTAGCATATTTCCTTTGGCCTACGGGTCTCCAATAATGCGTGCCAACGTGGCGACCATCGCGGCGCCCCGTTGGATTTGTAGGGCATAGGTTGACGAAGGAGCACGAGGTGAAAGAAGAAAAAGCCGAGGATACGGCGGATCGATCGAACACGAGCAATTGTACGTGGTACGGAGGTAAGACGAAATTAGAATCGGAAATGCGTGTCGCTGGTTCAGCTGTAGCTAGCTGGCTTCATTCCAGCCAGAGCGGAGGACGCTTTGGCTAAAAGTAGACGAACTATATGTGCGCGGTTGTGTTGAGGAGCCGGTTGGTTACTTGTCCGAATTGGAATTGTTCTTTTGTTAATGAACAATGTTTCTTTTTCTTTCGAGTAATTCGTATTCGCCAATTTTCGCTGTCTGTTCTCATTATTTTAGGATAATCGGGGTGGATGATGAAGAAATGTTTTGGGAATTTGAAGTCGGTCAGAATTTGGAATTATTTTTTTTTTTTTTTTTATTAATATTTTTCTTTTCAGTGATATTGATATGCCAATCTTTGTATTTTAATCGTAATTGAGGGGTGGATGACGAAAATACGAAGATTTGTAAGAAGTCTGTTGATTAGTTGTCGGAATTGGGATTATTCTTTCGTCGATGAATATTTTTTATCCATTTTCTATATCTATATCTTTGTTTCTTATAATAATAGTTGGATTCATAACTATTACAGTCTTTTTAAATAATTGGCTGACTTGCATATTGTCGAAGATACATCGACATAAATATATCATATATCAAATAAATTCGAAGAATTGATGCTTTTAATCTAATATTCAGGAATTCGTAAATGAATTATGATAACATTGAATCTCATTACGTTAAAATGTATTCAAGTGTGTGTCGATGCCAAGTATTTTCACAAAAGATGACAACATCGTCGTAGTGTATCATGAGGAATGTCGCAATCAGTCATCGCTCTGTTAGGATTCGTCTTTGAACACGAACCATCGTGTTTTCAAGGTGTTTTATATCGAACAACATGACGTCGATATTAAACTCGCGATTTTGATTATTCATAAACCATCTATTGATCATCTACAAAATATTTCGATCAAATTTAACAATAGATGAACGAAAAAAAAAAATAGAAAAAATACTGAAAATCATCTTAATTATTATATTATATATATATATATATATTATATAATATATTATTATATATTAATCCTTATGATAACTATCCAGAAATTGAAATTTTTTTAAAACGATGAATTTGCTAATACTGTTTCATGTTTAATGTTGAATGATAAATAATTTTTTGTTCAACGTCATTTGTAAATAAAAATTGAAAAGAATCTAACGTGTATCGTCCATTGGAAGTGGAATTTCGATATATGTGGAAGGCTGACGATGTCAATGTCAAGTTTCGTACCGCGTTTCTTTTCGCGATGACATCATCGCAGCTAATAATGAACGAAGTTTAACACAAGGTGCAATCACCACTCGACGGTTGTGGTATTTTCGAGACGAAACGAGAAATTTGCGAAACACGTTACGCTCTATATCGCGCTGACTAACACGAAATTAAATAAAGAAGAGATCGCTCGATTAGTCACGATTTTCACGAAATTCTTCTATTCACTTTCGATATATTCTCGAAAACATGGGAACGCAATCTATTGAAATTAATTTAATCAGATACGTTCGATTAATTCGTCTAAACATTCTTATAATCCGTTTAAATTCGTTTGATCGATTCAATCTTTCGAGTTACACTTCCTTCGAATTCCAATCAGTATCGAATTTCGATTTTGAAATATTTTTAACGCGATTGTCATTGCCCCCGAGATATCGCGATCGACAACGAATTCCGGAAGCGTATCCACGTGATGTAATCCTTATGCGGGGATGTGACTCGAGCCAACGTGCTTCGGCAACATCACAGAGTAACATCGTATTCGTCGAGATTATTTTCGTAACACCAATAGAATGATCCACTTTTTAGATATCTATCCACCAAGTACACTCAAGATATACCAGTAATAACCTACTATGCGTTCCACTATTCTATTAAAATATTCCATCACTTCGAGCAAAACTTCCTTTTCTTTATCCATCTAAATTTATCTACTCTTTTGAAACGGAATAAAACAACAACCTCGATGTTCGAAGAAACGCTCGATGAAAAAAAAAGGAAAGATTTATCAATATAATATAAGATTCAACGTTAATAAATCGTACCAATCGAGTAATAAAATCGTCGATCGTGATCGAATCGATTCCTCGACAAAATCTCGTTCTTCCCTGCCTGGTTCGAGGGTGATCGTTCTTCTTTTGATCGCGTGAGATATATGAAAAATTCGCCGTGAATATATTATCGGATAACAGTATGGCGCGGCACGATCAAGCTAAACAGCAGCGTTCGCGGTTCGAAACGTTATTAGAAGGGCGTAATAGCGTTAGCTTTGAATTTTCGTCTTGGCGAGGCGCCGCGACGCATGCGGCTTAGCATGAAACGCTCGCCAAGACGGATAGGAACGAAAATCGACGACAGCCGAAAAGCGGCGTACGCCGGTTCCTAAGAATAATGTAGCTTATCCGCTTCTTTTTCCTCTTCCTCTTCGTCTTCATTTTCGTCTTCGTCCTCGTGTTCGTGTTCGTCCTAATTTTCGTCTTCGTCGTGGTCTTTGTCTTTCTCTTCATCATTGGAAAAGAAGAACACACTCCCCCGAGTCGAGTGTGACCGAGTCGAGTTCATTGGCTCGAAGATTTTTGTCATCGTGTTTGTTTCTAACTCTCTTTTGGCAGCCGGCGATTCGACGATATTACAATGTGAATCGAGGGATTGCGTGCGATGTTGCAATACGTTGTATAATAAAGATTTCCATCCATTTTCGCGTACCATGTATTTGAATTTTTCGAAGCAAGTATCAGAGATCGAGCGAATTAATATAATCGTTGGAATTCGTGTGAAAATTAGAATCATTATTGTGTACTGAAATTGGATATAAACTTTGTTGCTGTTTTTCGCTTCATTCGGGTCAGAGCGATTTTTGAGATTCGTGACACGGTTGAATAATGCTTCAGAATCTATCAAACCAGGGTTTATTGTATCCGTATTGTAGACCGTGAGAGTTAAGTTGTAAAATTTATGTTCCCGTTCGAGCACAACTTCGCCATTGAGATGAATCAAATGGATGAATAATTACATAAAACGAATAAAATACGAAATAACGCGAAGCGAATGATGAGATTACGAAGAAATGATCAATCCTATCTACGATAAATATAATAAATAAATCGATAACAAAATTATTTCTAAAATCTAGACGTGAATCATTACTGCAAAAACTCGATTTCTAGCTTCGAGAACGTAAGTAAACAACAACGAAGATAATCAAACCGCGTATCTGTCACATTTACGTTCGTGATAGAGATTTCACTTCTATTTCAAAAGTCGCCATATAAAATTCAACAATCCATCGATTTTCCAGAGAGAGAGAGAGAGAGAGAGAGAGAGAGAGAGAGAGAGAGAGAGAGAGAGAGAAGAAAAACCAAAAAAAGAAAAAAAAAAGAAGAAGAAATTGAACAGTCACTACTATTCTCACACGACAACACCCGGATTCAAGAATATTTCTTTGCTACACTGCAACGAGGCTAACGAGAGACACGTGCTGCACCGAAACACGTTTCCGCCTCGGTATCGATTGCTGATAGAGAGAGGCCACAAGGGGTGACACGGTCATAATATTTAAGCCAATAACCGTGTACAATCCCGCTAACCCAATAAACCTTATAACACTCGTGAAATTTTTCATCGTTACGTACTGTCAATCGACATTCCGTGCCCGTTGACCATCAGGTGCCGGCACTGCGTCCACGCACTTTCCGGCCCGGCGTTTCCACGACTCTTGCAACCGCTCGGCAACCGCTTCAACGTGCTCGATAACGACTCGTTCGCGATGTTAATCCTCGATATCTAGAGAAATCAATAAAAGAGGAAAAGAAATTCGCGAAAAGCAACCTCACTACCGCAATATCACTTCGAAACGAAGCACTGCACGATTCAATTATATTTATAACTCACTGAAACCCACACTCTTGACCTATGTATGTTCACTCCAATCACTTATTCCACGAATTTGACCCGATCTCGTTCGCAACGTCGTTATTTAATTACCCGAGCACGGATCTCGAATTTAATTCGACGTTATAAACGTCGTGAATCGAGCTTTCTCAAGAAAAAAAAGAAAAAAAAAAAAAAAAGAAAAAAAAAAAGAAAAAGAAAAATCACGATTTATTTTCACCAAGCAAATCGCTGTAACACCGCTGTTACACCGTCAATGTCACGTTAACGACTCGGCGACTCGATGTAGCCAGCCAACGACGATTGTTTAATAAGCTGAAAACGACACGCGAATCCAGCATCGGCAACTTAGCGACGTGAAACTCCCGTCATACTTTTATTTCGTGTGTGCGTCGCCGCGTACGAATGATGACTGGCCGTGCAAACCCAACTCCGCGGATATTACGCCATGAAATTGCGAAGCGGGCCAACGTGCGGCGGTCGCTTCACTTTTCCTTCCTCAAATCTATATTTAGTGGTGAATTCGATCGACCAACCAAGGAGGGGTGATAAGTTCGGGGTTGGTGGCAACCCCTTTTTCCCGAAACGAGACCCTGCTATCTTCCCCCGCTGTGGCGTGCAACCGTGTTTTTCCTCCACGTTCGAGAAACAGTGTAATAGAGTCGCTCACGTGAGGATCACACGAATCGATGGAAATGCGGAGAGGATTACCTAATGTCGATTAATGACCCGAACGTCGCCTGTGCGCGGAATTACGGGATACGCGTTGCGCAATCCGTCGCAACGTGTTTACAAACAAAGTTATTGTTCGTAAAGTGGAAATAGAATTCGGGTCGTTCATAGCGAGATACGAAGAAATTTTTCGAAATTATCCTTGTTTTCCTTCCCTTTCCGTTTTATTATTTCCCCCCACCCCTTTTCGACGAGTTTTGATTTGACGCTCCAACGAATGGACGCGTGGGTGTGGTGCGGTGGCCTTGGCATTCTTCGAGCTATCGTTTTCTCCTCCTTTGGTTTCGTTTTATCAAATTTTGAAATTTCGATATTGGGTTAAGAGTACTTACGTATAATAATAAAACAGATAGAATGAATGGGTTTTTTGTACGAAAGATAATAATACTAGGAACGTAGGTTAAAAATGATTAAAAATCTTATAAAGTTTTTGGTTGAGAATTATTGTGCAAAGAAGGCAGTGAACGATGAACAAGTTAATGTTCCTTAAATTCGAAATTTATATAAAATATTTTCTTTTTGAAAATTTAACGAGCATCATGATAAATAAAGTTTCAAAGAAGAGAACTCAGTTGAAACGAGAAAAAATTCTATTCATATCGTAGAATTCAATGGAATCTGAATCGAAAAAGGAAGACTGTTGATTGAAATAATAATTGTAGATTATATTCTCGATCCTATTATCGTAATTAAATAATGCAGCGAAGTCCCTCTCTCTCTCTCTCTTTCTCTCTCTTTTCTTTTTCTTCTTTGGTTAAAATATAAGTTTATGATATTATAATCTTCGTTTCTTGATATTAATTTTATGACGCAACGTGTATTCTGATATACGATGCACAATTATTTACAAGGTCTAATTACGTCATGGATTAATTTGGGTATGATGGAACACAGTGGAACACGTAATGCATGCTAAATCGATACACCTCGTAATCCATAAAGAATCTATCGCTATCGAGAAACCTTACTCGTGTCCTTTCCTTTTCTTCCATGTCTATTTCTATTTCTTTACTATTTCTCCTTTTCTACTCGTCGTTTACTCGACGAACGTATGACGAAATTCGAAATCAACGTCTCTTCGAAATCAAGTGTTCATCTCGACGAGGGGAAGAGAACGTAAACGTGCGTAAGATGAACGAACCGATCGACGAGTGAATTCGAAATTTACGGATTATTACAAATTAAAATAATTAAACGATATGGCGGCTGTAGATAAGTAAATTATCCTGTAAAGTAAGAATTGTGACAAGAAGAAGATATTTATATAATAAATTGAATTATCGATATTTTCGATGCGAAGATAATCTGAAACAAAAAGTATGAGAGGATGGGGGAAGCGGATATTACCTTCCCAAGGGGATGGTAATATGCATAAGCAAGACACGCACATATATACACACGCATGCACATGCGTTGAAATCGCACTCAAACGCACTGCGTGATCCCTTCGTCGATGATTCCGCAATTTAGCGGAACGATGGATAATTCTGTTTTCAATCAAAAAAAAAAAAAAAAAAAAAAAAAANAGAGAAATTATCTCGCGTTAATTTGATAATGAAAAAAGAAATGGCGATAAAAAAAAGATGGAGCAATTTATCGAGTAAATTTGGAATGATATTTTAACAAGTCACGAAGGCTTTTAACGAAATTAAAAAAAAAAAAAAATTATCCAACAAATTGTCCAGTAATCGATAAAAGTTATATCTTTGTAAAATTATATCGTGAAATATTTCCTAAAAAAGAAACAAAAGATTACGGATAAATAACGTTTCTGTAAAAAGCTGTAAAAAAGTTAACACGAAACGACGATTTAATACTAATCGATATTTGTGCATTATTTACAGGAAATTACCTCGACTTCGAAAGAAACCCGTTCAAGAGATAGACGACACTGATGCAGTGTCTTTGGCAGTGCGACATTACAATAAAATGCATTTTCACTCACGATTCGACGGAATTCTGCAATTTATTCAGCTTTTCCTCGAGAGCATGAGCTGGAGCCTCTGTGAAGGCAGCCAGATATGCTAGAACAGGTCCTGATAAAGCTTTCACTTCCGCTGCCATCGGTTTCAATTTCTCCGCTTCCGTTACCAACTCCTATACAAGTAAAAATTAAAATTAATAAAATAACACGTATTGTAAATTACAATTAAATAAAATATTTTACATGATAAGATACAATTTTTTTATTTATTTATTCTTAACTTTTATTCCACGAGTCACTTATCAAATTTAAATCAAACTCATCGTAACACACTCCTCTCCTTTACTTATTCCTTTCTCAACTAGATTAGACAAATATTACTCATGATACTTACATGTAGAGATTTGATGGTGTCGTGCAAATGTTGCTTAGAACGAACCACAGTGTCCAAAAGTTTGCTCTTCTCCTCGATAGCATTCACTTTAGTCTCGATAAGCGACCATTGTGCCTCCAGATCTTCCCAGTGCTTCGACAATGCCTCGAGGGCATCCCTTCGCCCTTCCAACCCGGAAACCAACTCTTTCCATTCCGCACTGATCTCAGAAATCTGCGCCTCTATCGTTTTCTTGTTATTAACGTCGGCCAATCGAAGCACTTCTTGACTGCGTTCGATCAATAGATCCAATTCGAATTGTTGATTCTGTATCGAGAAAAAGAAAGAGAGAAAACGCAAAATTTATCTTTCACCGTTTAATTATTATTACGTTGAACTGAGTTACGAGAACACGATGCGGATAGACTTGTGTAATTTCCACGGCAAACAGACGTCACGATTATCGACTAACCTGTATGTCATTGAGCGCGTGCGTGATCTTCTGGATGTTAAATTGCAGTCCAGCCAGAGTCGTGACAGGCTCGTCGGTGAATCTGCTCCTCGCTATCACAGCTCGGACTCGTTCCAAGGTTTGCGTGTAATCCTTCCACGTTTCAGCGCCTTGTTCCAACCTGGCACGTTGAGATTTCGCCGTGTTCAACGTGTTTTTCAATAATTGGGTGTGCTGCTGTTGTTCCGCGCTTAACTCCTCCTGCTCGGACGTGTTCAACGAAGGCCAAATTTTGTCACCGGCTTGCTGAATTTGCTGAGACACCAATTCGCGAATGGACGGCTCGCTGCTGAAGTAGATCTGTAAAATACGATCCGTTCGTGTTAACAATAAAGAGAGTTCTTTATTTTGAAAAGTAGTTAAACTGTAATATTGGATAATATCGTTGAGCTATTTCAAATTAACTTTATTCTTTTATGAATTGATTTTATTATGAATTTGTATTTTTAATCGCAAGATGGATCATCTTAATTTAACTGGTGAATCCATCGCTTATTTATTATCAATAGACTGTCGTAATCAGATCAGATGATGTATTTGCAAAACGAGATACTCAAACGATTATAGTTTTAGATTTCTGTCAAAAGTATTTATTTTTAAACAATTAACGTATCAGATCGTATCCTAATCTATGAATTACTCTAAATTATCATAAATTATCGATATACAAACCTTGTGCTCCTCGAGATCGCTCAGGATGTTCTCGAAATCGAGTCCATCCTTGTCACTTTCCAATCGAATCTCTGCCTCTCGAACCCAACTTCGAAGTTTCTCGGTAAGAGCAGCATACTCTTGTCTCAGCTTCATGTTGCTCTCCAAATAATTTCCACGTTCCTCCATTTCTCTGGGCAAAGAGGTCAACAGAGAGACAGCCTCGCTCAGCATTTCCTTCAACGAACCAGGCATTCCTTCTTCGTGGGGAACAGAATTCTTCAAATTTCTGATTCTATCGAGATGTTCGTTGACTGCATCGCAGAGCTCGTTATGTTTTTGCAATTCTGCTTCCACACTGATTGGATCTCTTTCCAGAAGAGGTCTAGATTTCACTTCTTTCTCTTTGTCCTCCAACCAATCGAGAATCTCAGCCAATTCGTTCGCCAATCTCTTGTGTTCCGCTGCTGCCAATTCGTGCTGCTCCCTTTGAGTTTCCACAGCTCTTCTTAGTCCTTGTAATTGTTGTTTCAGAGATTGCAGTTGTTCCGTTATATTGTTTCTATCCACAGTTGAGCCTTCTGCTGCGATTTGTTGACCCTTGTCCGTTGCACTGGCGAGGGTAGCTTCGCATTCTTGAATCTTCAGAATTGCATCGTCGTACCTGAAAAATTGAAAATAGAAGTATTTAGAAAGTGATCTGTAATTTTAAAATTTTTCAAATTTGTAATTTTCGAAACTAAAAAAATAGATTAAATAGAACCGAAATCCATGCGATTCAATCTCTGTAATTTTTCATACGTAATTATCTATAAATTTCTATTACGAATGATACATATATGCATATACATATTATTTGTCGTAATTATGTATATCGTAATATATTTTGCATATATTTTCATATTTTTATATTATTTTATATTATTTTAAATCACTTTTATAATTTGTATAATTTATACATCTTTTAAAATATATATAAAAATATATATCTTTGTATTTTTCACTTTCCTTTCTTTTTTTTAAATAAATATTTCTAAATATCATGAAATTTTCGCTTTTTTGTTTTATTTTTATTTTTACTTTTATTAAAATATTATAAAAAAAGCTTATAAATTATACGAAAGCGATAAATAGACGATTTTAGTACCCGTGGCGCCATCTCGCGGATGGACGCTGGAAGCTCCGACTTGCTACCCGGGTTACAGAATAGGCGAGGAGGTATTCGTGACGTCACAAATAAAAAAGGAAAGCAACATTGCGCGAAAAGGATAGAGAATGAATGCGCGCTCACCGCTTGCGCATGCGCAGTAACATTTTCTAACATATCCAGAATACTACGTGGAAAATTAATCAATTACTAATTTTTTACGCAAAATTTCTGTACTTTTAAGATCTAATATCAAAGCTAGAACCTCAAGCAACTTTCTCATATAAATTTTAGTAGAATTCTCTTTTTAATTAATTATTTATTAATGATTAATGCGTCATGTACGGGCTGACGCAACCGACATTCAATGCATTTTTCGCTAATTTCACATTATTACAAGATTTATTTATAAATATGAATATATAGGTCAGAAACGTTGTTTCTTCCTCTACATTCACATATAATTTTTATTCATAATTTTGTTCTGGTTTGAAGGAATAAATCGATTGTTTGTTACTCGGTCACGAATTCGACCTAACTTCGCGCATGCGTAGTAACACATTTCAATATATCGAACACACTACATCGAAAATTAATTAATTCCTGGTTTTTTACTGAAAATTTCTATACTTTTAGGCTTGAATCTCAAAGATAGAACCTCAAGCAAGTTTCTCGTATTAATTTTAGTAAGAAATTCCTTTTAATTAATTAATTATTAATGATAATCGTAGAGGATGTCTCAATCGCAAATTCTCGATCTATATCCGAGTAGCAAACAATCGATTTATTCGTTCAAACGAGAACAAAATTATGAATAAAAATTATATGTGAATGTAGAGGAAGAAACAACGTTTCTGACGTATATATTCATATTTATAAATAAATCTTATAATAATGTGAAATTAGCGAAAAATGCATTGAATGTCGGTTGCGTCAGCTCGTACATGACGCATTAATCATTAATAAATAATTAATTAAGAAGAGAATCCCACTAAAATTTATATGAGAAAGTTGCTTGAGATTCTAGCTTTGATATTCGATCTTAAAAGTACAGAAATTTTGCCTAAAAAACTAGTAATTGATTAATTTTCTACGTAGTATTCTCGATATGTTAGAAAATGTTACTGCGCATGCGCAAGCGGTGAGCGCGCATTTATTCTCTATCCTTTTCGCGCAATGTTGCTTTCCTTTTCTTATTTGTGACGTCACGAATACCTCCTCGCCTATTCTGTAACCCGGGTAACAAGTCGGAGCTTCCAGCGTCCATCCGCGAGATGGCGCCACCGGTATTAAAAATTGAATTTTCTTCCTTTTTCTAATATATATATAACACGTATCGTATGTTTTACATATAATATTAAATTCTATGTATATTTTTATATTTTTATATATCATTTATATATTTATTTCGTAAATATTCCCGTTTTATCATGTATATATTCTACATATATTTTACATTTATAAGCTTTTATATCAGATGTGAATTTTATTTTTTATATTTTACATTTTATATATTTTTATATTCTATTATAAATATTTTTTTATATATAAGAAGAAAAAAATAAACATAAAGAAAATAAATACATCAAATTTTGTAATTAGATTTTAAAAAATGTTAAAAATAAATGAAGAATGGTGAATAAAATTTTCCTTTTCCACGAATAAAAATTTTTTTTACTAAACAATGCAACAGTGCACACGTATATTAAGAATACGAAATTTTATAATACTTGTATGTAATATTACATACGTTTGTATTTTAATATATACTCTCTTAATTAAAATTCTCCAAAATATATTTTTTAATTATATCTTTCATATTTCTTTAGATTAGAATTAAATATTTAATCTAACTTTATAAATTAAGAAGATAAGATAAAATATAAATACCTTTTGATCTTTTCCTCCGTCGTTTGGCCAGAATTCTCGATATCTCGAACGATCTCCGTATATTTAGCTATGAAAGTAGTTATCTCTGTGATCAAAGCGATGAATTGTTGACGTAACAAAAGTAACTGGCGAAGTTTCGCAATTTGGGACTCTATAGCTTTCATGAGATCATCCTGCTGAGTTAATACCCCATGAAGATCGGCCACGTTGATCGACTGTAAGTCGGACAATTTCGCCTTGTTCGCCTTCAAATCGTTCAATATTCTCTCGTATGCATCCAGCATAGCCTCGACGTCTTCTACGCGTGAACCAATGGGTTTGTTAAGCTCGTGAAGTTCTTTCTGAACGTCTGTCATGTATTGAATGGCTTCAGCTACTCGTGCCAATGATTCTTCGGCTTCGTCGATGCTCTTTTGAAGGGCGAGGGCTCTTTCATTTATTATTCCAGCAACTCTACCGTGAGCTTCCTTCATGTTTTGCAATTGTTCGTTTAATTCGAGCTTATCGGCATCGGTCACGGTTGGAAGAATCGATTTTCCTTGTTGCATTAATTTCTCGATATCGTCTGCGTACTCCTTCGCCTCTTTCTTCAAACGATCGTACTGGAGCAACAAATGGAAGATGGTTGAAACAAATATTCGTAAAAATATTAATGGATATTAATGAAAAAAATATATTAAATAATTGATATATAATTTAGATATATCCTACCTTAGCCAGTTGCTCTCTTAGAATGTCAATACTGGAAGTTCTCAGATCCGAAGATGTAGCAACTTCAGCTTCATTGATCCATCTCTGGCACTTGTCTATTTCACTCTCGAAAGCCTTTCGCCCTTGAAGAAGATCCGCCAACGCAGCTTGTTTCTCTTGTGCCTCGCTTTTCAGCTCCTCGTAGTCTTTGTTCAATTCATCCAAGATCTTATTCAATCTGGCACGATCCTCTTCGCTGCACTCCTTCAGCAAATTGTTTCCTTGTTTCAAAATGTCGTTCAGGTCTTTCTCGCTGAACGAATCGATATCAGTTTCCAATTCACCGTGTTGCACGATATCTTGCTCGACCTTCGACGCCTTTAGAGGGAGATAACCACTCAATTTCTTCAAATTGTTGCTCTTCGATTTGATCCAGCTTCGTGCTCGTTCGAGATCAGCCTCGAACTTACGACGGGCATCAGCCGCAGCCGTGGCACTCGAGATTCCCTCTGTCAAAATCGTGCAAAGTTGGGATTGTTCACCACGTAGAGCTTTCGTTTCATTTTCCAATTGTTGCTGCTCGTTCGACTCTAATTCGTTCTGCATGTTTCCTACTCGTTTCTCCAACGTATCGATCACCATTTGTTTTCCCTCTGCTTCCTTCAACATCGCCTGTAATTCAATAATGTACATATCGTAGGTATATTTCTAAAAAATAAATAAATCTCCCCTTCTGTCTCTCTATTTTAATCTAATACTTTGAATCTTTATATTCTTTTCTTATTCTTCTCTATTGTTCCTACTTCCTTTATTATTAAATTAATAAAATTTTCATGAATTAAAAGAAAAAAAAAGAACAAATGGAAAAAATACAAATTGGAAACAAAGAAAGTGAAAGATAATTTGCATTTGAATTTTATTTGTGGATAATTTAATTACCTTCAAAGCAAGAAGCCTTTCTTCTGCCTGCTTGCTGTCAAATCCAACAGGCTCGGACATCTGAGCTTGCTTCTTCTTTTGCTGAATCCAATCTCTATTCTCTTCGATCTCCTGCCTCGTAGCTTCAATACCTTGGGCAGTCATGTCCAACACTTGCGCCTTCCTCTGCAGTTTCTTCCCTATATCAGCGTATCGTCTCTCCACCGATTTAATTTGCTCTTCTATTTGCTGGGAATCCAGATTGCTCACCGAATCCATCACCTGATCGCTCAAAGTCTTCACCTCGTTCAATTTTCCGGGCCCTTGGGACTCAAACTCGGTCGTGATCTCTTTCACGCTAGCTATCTTCTGTCCAATCGTCTGCCCGTTCCCTTTCTCGATAACGTCCACCTTTTTGGACAACGTGTCCAACCACGATTGCATGTTCTGCACCTGTGTCCTATACTTCTGAATCAGATCCTGCGCCGCTTGTTTCCCAGCGATGGCATCCGTCAACTCTGCCTCCAATTTGTTCAATCCCTCCTCGATATCCTGATCGTCCTCGTGAAGAGACAGCTCTGTCAATGCGTGAGTTCGACGTTCTCCGACGTTTCCAAGCAGATCGTTCATAGCTTGCAATTCGGCAAGAGCTGCTTCGGATCTCAATTTCGCTGGACGGGACTTCCATTCGGCGCACAGAGCCCTTTGCTGGTTTATCCACGCACGGAGAACGTTCTTCTGTCGGGTTTGCTCTTCCAACTCGTTTAGAGCCTTGGTTACGTTCATCAAGTGTCCCTGCGCCTATTGAAATTTACGATATTGTTCAATATTTCATGCATCTCGTACTTAAATTAAATTAAACATGGATTGTTGGAAAATTAAAAATCATATTTTAAGAATATTAGAGTATATTAATATCGATGATAAATATATCAAATTAAATACCTGATCGATCAATTCCTCCAATTTGTTTCTCACTTCGACTTCCCTAGCCGGAATCTGCACAGGCGGCGCATCCAGAGGACTTCCGGGTCTGGAGACACATGCCACCGCAGCCTCGCAAGCCTCCACAGCCAGAGCAAGCCTTGTCTTCTCCCCTTGCAATTTATTGTGCAACGTGCGAGCATTTTCGAATCTCTGTTTCGCTGCGTCGAGAGTATCCAACGGCGCTTCCATTTCTTGAGCGATTTCCGGTTCGTAGGCGTCCAAATTCTTCATAATACTCTCCAGAGTGTTCTCGTACTCCTGGAATTTGACCAACGATTCCGCCAATCGTTTCTTTATTTGCAATGCCGTGTTCAACAAGGAGTTGTAGCTCTCTTGAACATTTTGCAATTGCGTTTCGATGATCGTTTTAATTTCGGGATTGACAGCGACGTATCGAGTGATCTGTCCATTCCCTTTCAACTTTAAATCGTTCAAGACACTCGTGTAATTCTCGATTTCCGCGAGCAAGTTTTCATGCTGCTGAATTTGCGACACCGTTTGTTCCTTGTTCGTGATGTAGAGAGAATTGTGAGCCATTAATTGGAAAGATATTTGCAACAGCCACTTCTCCGTCTCTTGCAAGGCTGCGTGATACGCGTTGTATTCTTGCATCTCGTTCTCGATCAACCTCTTCCTCTCGTCGACGTTTTCGCTCAAATTCTCCCATCGTTTCAACAGTTCCTTCGTTCGTTCCAGAGGCGTGTTTTTCTTCGCCAATTTCGACAATTCGCTAGCTTCGTCCGTTAAATGATCCAACTCGGTCTTCTTGCCGCGTACTTCCTCCTGGATGTGCTTATAACGTTCAAGCATGGTCTTCATATCGCCGAATTCTCCTTTCGTGTCTGGAAGATCTTGCATACTATTCTCCGTTTCTTCCAACCATCGTTTCAATTTTCCATGAGCTTCTGAATGATCGTCCCAGCGATGCAACAGGGATTTAAGTTGAGCTTGAACGGTGTTCAAATCGATGCTGAGCTGTTCCCAGCTGGAAAGAAGTCCCGCCATGTCTGATCTCAGTTGATCCTGTTGCTCTGGTACAGCTGTGTCTATGGCTTTCGTGAAGGCAGTTTGCAATGTTGACAATAAATGTTGACCCTCGGTAATTCTTGTTGCTACGATCTATGACAGAAAAGGAAATCAAATGATTTCTTTAAAAAAGTTATAATTAATCCTAATCTTTTAAGAATTCTCTCGCGATTTCTGAAAGCCTAGAACGCATTTCCAGGTAAAAATGTAAGCCTGAATCGCAGACCCATTCATAATTTCTGCGTTAAACAAATCTTTATCTTAAATACTTTGAATCCTTAATAATCAATCAAATAAAACAAAAAGTGACTTTAATTTAACACAGTTTCTTTCATGTTTTAAATTGGTTTTGATGAAAAATTTTTAGCTTCTTTTTATATATTTTTTAATTGAATGTACTAACACACTTTACTTGAATAAAAACTCATAATCTATTAATTGCATACCTTGATAGTTTCCAATTTATCCTTAGCCCATTCAGCATCTCCAACGCCCATACAATCTTGTACCGAGCCTCGAGCAATGCGCAACCAATCTTCCATTTCCTTCTTCGCCTTCAGGAACTCGGTATGATCGGACAGATTCTTCTCCACCCGAGAAACAAGACCTTGCATATCGGTCAACAGAGACGTGTAAGCAGATTGCAATTGCACAGTCTTGTCACGAGCCCAGCTGCAAGCGCTCAGCTCCAGCAAGGCCTCGCATTTGTCGTTCAGATCTTCCAAAACTGGTTTCTGTTGGATAGCTTCCTCCACGAGACTTTTGCATCGGACCAAGTCCTCCGGAGTTTTGTTCTCTTTCGATTGTTCGTCGTTCACCTTCTTCTGGAAATGATCTATCCATCTCTTCATACTGTCTAAAGCAGTTGTAAATTGAGACCAACTGGCGATACAATTGGACAAAGTCTTCTGGGACTCGTGACACTGAGATTGTAGAGATTTCCAATTTGCTTGCAGTTGTTTCATATCCTGTTTGATGGTTTCCTGACCTTCTGGACCTGTACTAGCGATTACACCATCGCTGAGTTGGATAACCTTCGAGATCAAACTCTCTCCTTTGGAAAGGGAAGCTATGATCTGGTTCACTTTGTTCTCTCGTTCGATGATTCGCTCCTTCTCCCCATGAGTGTCGCAGTTTTGTTGAAGTTCCAGCTTTGTATGACGAACCCAGTCCGCTGCTTCGTTGTGAGCTTGTTGGAACTTTTCGTGATCGTTCACTTGCTCTTCCAAATTCTAAAAATATGGAAATATAAATATTTAAAAACCGATGATAACCATTTTTATTTCACTTCTTTCTTTAATCCTGGTATCGCGTATTTATATAAAGGATACGTACCTTAATCTTTTCAGCGATCAATTTGGTCAATTCATCGTACTTGGCAATAGTGGATTGATAAGGACCAATAGGTATACTGGAATCTTCAGCCAAACGAGCTTTCAATCGATCTACAGTTTCACCATGACCTTGAATATCTCTCTGAACTGTTTTATACTTCTCCAATACCGCTCGTTTTTCGCTCAGATCGTTCTTGTACATTTCACCTGGTTGAATTTTACCCTCGATCTCTTCGATCCAATCTGTAGTCAATCGATGAATTTTGTTCAATTCCTCCAATGCGCTTGCTCTAGCTGAAAGCTTCTGTCTTATGTCTTCCACGTTCACCAATAATCTCTCAAACTCCGTCTTCAGATTCTCTGTATCCTCTTGAATCTTTGCGGCGCCATTCTGTTCCGTGTTCATGATCACTTTTTCTTTCAGTTCGAGAGCATAACGCAACTTGTTCTGGCCTTGTTCCAGTGTTTGTCTGATGGCTTTGCAAGTGTGCAATTTATTGTTCACTTCGGTTAAGGTGCTTGGAAGTTCCTTACACTCGCTCAATTTGTCACGTGTTCGTTCTATCCAATCTTGACATTCTTGATACAACGTATTATGTTGTTGATGTTCCTGAATATGAGAAAAGTAAAACGTATATTTTATATCATGAAATAAAATGTGAAATTCGAGTCTCAATCTATAAACAAAGTGATAAAATATGGAAAATAAAATGTACCTGATAATGTAACTCGAGACGTCTCATTATTTCTTTGGCCAAAGATAGAAGAGCATTATACTTGGTCGTCAATTGAGTAATAGCGTTAGAAATTCTAGTATCCGCACAAGTTTCCAGTAACATCTGAGCCTTCATATTCAATCGATCTAATTCCTTCTGCCAGTCGAACAAAGTTTGTAAATGGATCTGGAACTGTTCGAGAACATTCTTCTTCTCTTCCAAACTATCCTGAAGTTTATTGAACGATTGCACCAACTGTTCCGTCTGCGTGAGCCATTCGGTAGCTTCCGAGAATTGATCTTCGTACTCCGTCCATTTCACTATTCCTACCTCCAACAAACTCTTGGTGTTGTTCAGGGAGTCTCTGTAAAAAAATATAAATCATCAGTATATATTAAAGTATTCCTTCATTCCTTAACTTGTATCTTCATCGTTAATTACAATACTTACACATAACTATCGTACTCTTCTTGCAACAACGCCACTTCCTCTTCAATAATCTCTTTGTCCTCCTCATCCGCGATCTGGCATGCCGCGTTTCCTTGCTCCAAGGCGTGTTGCAATTTCTTCTGACCCTCTGGCAGCTCACTTTGCAGTACCTTCAATTGAGTGATCTTGTTCGCCAACGATTCCTTATCTCCAGTAGGCTCGGAACATTTACCAAGCCTCTCCTTGGCAGCTCTTATCCACTGTATAAATTCATTTCCACTGTCTATAAACGCTTGATGTTGCTCTACAGTCTCCTTCTGTTTGGCATACAATTCCTGAGCTTGTTTACTCAATGTTTCATATTTGATTGAAATTTCCGTGGCTGGTGTGGCCTGTCGAAGATCCTCGGCCTTCGTTGTAACCGATTGAATCATCGGTTCGAACGCCACTATATCTTGAACGATGCTGTTCGTTTGCCTGAGATTCGCCTTCCTTTCTCCGATAGCCAAGGAACTCAATCCAGCCAGACCCTTTCTAGCCTTAGATACCTTCTGTTCGCAGACTTGTTGCAATTTAGCTTCTCTATCGTTGATCCATTGCTGCAACTGCAGATAAGACGAGCTGTAATCAGCCCATTGAAGAAGACTCGTTTCCAAACGCACTTTCGTCGTCGAGATCTTCTTCACCAATCTCTCCCAATCATTTTGGATCTCTTTCAATTGAGCATTGATCTCTTCTCGCCCGTCCGACCGAGTGTTTCTCATCACTTTCTCGCCACAATTCACCGTCAGATGGACCAAGTTCTGACCCTCTTCCCGTTTCCTCAACAACTCTTGGATATTGTCCAATCTGTTCTGCAATTCTTCTCTGCTGCTAGTCGACGCTGCTTCTGTCCCCTTTCGAATAATCTGTTTCGCGTTCTCGATCCAGGCACGTGTCTTTTCCAAATTAGCTTCGTATTCTTTGTGCTGAGCTAGATTGGTTTCGACTTTGTTGAGGACATCTTTGGCAAGATTCACTTGAACCTGATAACGCGAGTTTAAGTGTCGAAGCTGGTTATTTATGTAGGTGTCCAAGTGAGACGAAAGTAGACTGGACGCTGTCTTGTTGAATTTGTCGATTTGTTCCTGTCCTTTCAGCAAATTCTCCAATATCTCTTTCACTTCTTGCACCTGTTTTTCCTTCTCAGCTACATTTGGTAATAGAGAATTCTTTTGAGCCTTTATGAGAATATCAAATTGCTGCAACCAATCGCTTAATCTTTCGTACTCGTCCTTGTAATCGCGCCATTGGCTCACCGTTTGTTCTAATTGATCCTTTTGTTGCTTGATTTCTGTGAAATAAATGAGAGAGAAAAAAATATATTATATATTATTTAACAAATTAAAAAAAAAAAAAAAAACACTGAAATCACTTACCTCTGAAAAGTTCCTCGAAACTCTGAGTCAAAGCTTTCACCTCGTTCTTTATAATTTCCTGACCTTGAGGACTCGTGCTCGCGCATACAACCTTCCCAGTATGCTGAAGATGTTCCACCAACAATTCTCCTTGAGCTTTCTTGTTCAACAAACTCTCCAGTGGAGCCACAGCATTTTCGATAGCCAATTTATCGCTTAAAGGTCTTTGCTTCATAGATGGAATCTTCTCGCGAGCTCGACTCAACCAATTAATAATATCATCGTGCGCCTCCTTGTATAATCTATGATCCTTGTACTGTTCTTCACGTTCGGTCAGCAAAGACTTGATTTTTTCAAACAACGTATCGAATCTGTTCAAAATGCTCTGTGCCTGTGATGCAGCTAACCCTTGAGGTCCACTGGCGATCATCTCAGCGACCTTGATCTTCAGACTATCGACTTCAATGTTCTCACATCGAACTTTCTCTTCTAAAGCCTTGATACGTTCCAGTTGACATCTCTTCTCAGACATAGTAGTTTGGAAAGGCATGAACTCGTTCAAAGCAGACTGCATGTAGTCCACCGTCTTGTTCATCGATTGTATCTGTTCTAAAAGGCCAGCCCATTTATTGATGGAGTCATCCAAATTAGTTTTGGTCTCCAACATCTTCGAGGCCAGAGCACTCCATTGCTCTTGCAGCTTTCCAACAGCATCGTTGATAGCTTTGTGTCCAGTTGGAGCCGTGTTTGCCAAGACTGCTTGAGCTAATTCCACAATACCTTGTACCTTGGCGAATCCATCTTCCTTGTACAATAATAAGTCTTGCACTATCTCCATCTTGTTCTCCAAATCTTTTTGAGAGGATGCACCTAAGTCAGAGCAATAGGCCAATTTCTTCCTAATGTCGTCTAACCATCTAGTACATTCTGCCACTTGATTATCGAATTCCTGATGAGTGGTCACATATTGATGCCAACGACTGTTCAAGTCTTTCACTTTGTTCGATATTTGTTGATACTTGATGCTCAATTCCGACATATGAGTGGTACGAGACGTGATATTCTTATGAAGCTGTTGAGCCTTCTCGGTAACAGCGTCTATCTCCAATTCTTTCGCACGCACCTGTCCCTGAAGAGTTCTCAAAAGTTCCAACTGATCTTTCTTCTCCTGCAAGGTAGCCTTCAAGTCCACCGCATGAAGCTTGGTGTCAGTTTCTCTCATCCAAGCCAAACAACGTTCCTTCGATGTTTCGAACTCGTTCCATTGTTGAAGCTTATTCTCCAGTGTTTCTATAGTAGACTTCACCGCAGTGACCAGACTTTCCCACTCTTGCTGCGAGGAATCGATCTGAGATCGAATATTTATCTGTCCAGACTCCAACGTGCCTGGAATCACTTTCTCGCCTAGTGTTCTTATCTGTTGCACTCTTGGTTTATCCTCTGGTAAACCCTGCAATAAGTTCCTCAATCTGTCCAGATTAGTATGAAGAGACACACGTTCGAGTTCCGTGTCACCCCAAAGAATAACCGCATTGTGAGTCGCATCTATCCACTCGTGGGTATCCAGAACAGCCTTGCTGTACTGTTGATGATCACTAACGATGCCTTCGTATCTTTCGACGAAAGCAGCCGCACGTTTCAACACGGTTGCGTGTCTCTCGCTCAATTTCTTCAGCGTCAGATGCACCTTGTCCGTGGAATCCGGCAAATTGTCAGCCTTGTCTCGAAGATCGAGTAGATCTTGTTGATGGGATTGGATATCGTGCAAAAAGGAACGATAAATTTGTAATTGGGCTCGTTTCTCGTCCAACGTGGTTTTCAACTCGATTTCTGGTTTCAATTGAGTCTCAACAGTTCTTAGCCACTTGTCGAACGATTCGTTGGACTCGTCGAAACCGGACCAACGAGATATCTTCGATTGCAACTCTCGTTCAGTGGAGGCAATGCTGTCGTAGAGCTCTTCGAAAGCTCGTTGGAGATCTAATAATTGTTGGCGAACGATTTCTCTGCCTTCCATGCCTGTGGTAGGATACAAACGTTCTCCAGCTTCGACGGTATTATTGATCAAAAGAGTTGCCGAAGATTGTCGGGTTAGAAGATCTTTTAGGGTTGCCACGTTCGAAGTTAATTCTTGGCGAGTACCGCTGAAGTCATCCTTGATTGATTGATAAGTAGTTCGTGTGTTTGCCAGCCATTCGGAACATTGTTTGTAACGTTCAAGATAGGCTGCGTGATCCGCCACTGCTTGTTCACATTTTTTAACTAATTCCTATGGTTCAAACGAGTTTTCACATATTAACTTTCATATACGATGAAAGATATAATTGTGAGAAGAAAAATGTTCGAAATAATTGTATGAACTAAATGATTATACGAGATGTAAAAGATGAAGAAACAAAAATGACATTTTTGATATTTACTTTAGCAGTTGCTTGAATAGATTGGAACCGAGAGGTGATTTGTTGAACACTAGCAGAAAATCTTGTTTCACCGCTAATCTGCATCAGCTCGGAAGATTCGTCGCTCATCTTATCGAATTCTGCCTCGTTTTGCCGTAGATTCACGATCAACATCTAGAAATAGAAATATTATTAAAATTTCATAATATTTGATACAGAAAACATTATTTGTTTATACTTTGTTTTTATTTTCATAATACTAATCAAATTAATCAAATTGTCGTATGATTAGGTAATTTTCTGTCGTTCTGAAAATACCTTGAATTCATAGTAATAGAGTTAACAATAGGACACGCATGTATTTGTCGGTATTCGTGTGTGTAGTTAATGCGAATTCAATCAATCAGTCATGGATTTTTTCACTTGCCATGACAACGCGATATACGAGTTTGGAAACATGATTCTTCGATTAAGCGTGCTCGAAACAACACGTTTACATGCATCGAAGAAAAAACACAAGATAAAAAAAAGAATTATGCAAAATCAGTATATGTTAAAAAAAAAACAATAACACGTCGGAAAAAAGGTAAGTATCATAGTATGAAGATGTAAGTGTATCGAGTTGATGAAACTTACCGATATATTTGTATAAAATAGTTTTTGATACATCATCGAATTTAAATCACACTAAATATTTCAATTCGTTTTGAAATATAGAGAGAAGAAAAGGAAAGAGAGAAAAAGATCAAAAAACATTTATAAGTATAAAGATGAAAATGATAGAATAAAGATAAAAGAAGAAAAAAAATAAAGAGAAAAAAAGAGATAGACCAATTTACAAAAGCGTTCACAACCCTGTTCGAATATATTTTTTCCATGTTTCTCTTACTTGGTCCAGGTGGTCTCCTAGGGCCACCAGTTCCGTCACTTCCGTGTCCCACGACAAGGCGGTTTTTTGTAGTGCCTAAGAAAGTTTTCCAAGATACAATATCTGAACTATCGTTATATCATTTCATCTCTTTCGTATCTTTTCCTCTTCTTGATTAAAAATGAAAGAAAAAAAACTTCGCTTCGCGTGAAATGCGATTATTTAAAAAAATGTGTTCATAGTGTGACTTTAAAAAAAATTAATTTTTTAACGAAACGTGTAATAATTCGCTTTTGAAACATATATTGTAAAACACATGATGTTAATATAATCTTTAAATATTCTATATATTACCTGATACTTTTCAAGTTGCTCTTGCTTCTCATCGAGAGTGTTCTTCAGAGAATAATTCTTCAAAGACGATTCTGCATCCGTCAACCAAGCTAATAAACGTTCTAAAGAGTTCTCGTATTCGCTCCATTGTTGAATTCTCTCTTCGATGCATCGAATAATATCGTTTACAGCTGTGGCGAACTTTTTGTGCTCGAATCTGTTATATATAAATTAACTTAATTAGAAAAATTTTCTTTATTTCATTTTAATTCGAATATAATTCAAGATAAATCTTACCTTAACGTAGCCAAGTCTCTTTCCATAGATTCTAATGATCTGGGTGATAAATTATGAGCACTCTGAGATACGTGTTCACTGAGAATGTCTAATTTCAATTCTCCTTCCCTCTGGCCATCTTGAAGCTCCATGATCTTAGTCAATTGAATTTGCAAAGCAGTTTTGTTGCCAGTATAGTCGCTGTAGTTAGCTAATTGTTCCCATTGTTGCTTCTGGTAATCTTGATAAGATTTTTGTAGATCGTAGAATTGCTGGAAAGTATCTAGAAGAGTTTCCAAATTGGATATATTTTTCTGTGACATTTCGACCAAATCCTCGTATCTTTCAGAAACCGAAGCAGCTTTTTGTTGAGCGTCTGATGGTGCTTGAGATGTGTACGATAATGCATTTGCTTTTTCTGAAACGCCTTCAATGATACGTTTATAAGCTAAAATTTCTTGATGCATTCCCTATAAAAGAAAAGAATATTTCGTTATTTAAAATATTGAAAATATTTTTAATATTATTTCTTTAAGAATTTTTCATTATCAGAATCATAGTTACCTTGCTTTTCAGTAATTTGGATTTAATTTCTTGAAGAGAAGACCAAGTGATCGTCGAGTCCTGTTTCACCGATCTTTCCATAGTATCCAACCAGGCCAAAATTTGCTGCAGAGTCTCTTGATAATTGGTCCATTGCAAAGATTGAGCATCTTGTTTCTTCTGTTGCTCGGCTATACCTTCCACAAGTTTATCCCATCGTTCTCGAGCTTGTCTCAACTCATGGCGAATAATTTCTCTTCCTTGAGCCGACGTATCAGCAAGAATCCTTTCTCCAAACGATATCAAACTTCCCAATCTGTGTTCACCTTGTTCCTTTTCAGCCAACAATATCTGCAGACGAGATACTTTCTCTTCCAGATTTCCACCTGTCTCGTCTTTCTTCAAACTGGCTAAACTCTGTTCTAATTGAGTCAGCCAAGCATCTACGACCTTTAATTTCTCTTCATACGTTCTATGATCGTCCACAACACTCTGACATCTAGTCACTACTTCTTTACTAAGCACGTGCAATAACTGATATCTGAAATTTTTGATCGAAAAAATTAAATTTAAAATGAATTTTAAAATTTAAAATTTCTCAATGATTTTATTAAATGTCTGAATAATGAGCAAATTTACCTATTGCTTATTTGGGAGATCAAAGGCTTGATACGCTCAACCCCACTTGCATGAAGCAAACTATGAGACTTATCAATGAACTCGTCTATCTTCGATTCTTCCTTTAATATGGCATCACGTTTCTCTTTCAATGCTTGCAAACGAGCTTCCTTGTCTTGCAAAGTAGGCTGCAACTGTTGGTCTCTGAATGCAGCTTCCATCGTTGAGAACCATTTTGTGTGCGTTTCCAATTTATCTTCGAAGTCTTGCCATTTCTGCAGGGCTGTTTTTTGCTTATCTTCCACTGATTCTATACAGAAAAAAAGAAAATTAAGAAGAATGTATTAAATATTAAAAAAAAAATAATTTGATGATTTTTTTTACCTATTTCACTTAGATATTGACGAAGATTGCCTTCCAAAATAGTGATCTCCTTATTAATAGCATCCCATCCTTTCGGTGCGGTTCTCTTAATAACCGTGTCGCTAAGTTCCTTTAATTTTCCAAGCTGCTCAGCACCCTGCATCTGATCATCCTTCAATATGGCCAAAGTGGCAAGTCTTCTGCAAATATCCGTTCTTTCTCCAGTCATATCGTTGCACTCAGCAAGCTTATCCTTCTCGCCGTTCAACCAATCAGAAAAGCTTTTCACTTGCAAATTAAATCTATGATGCTTCTCTACGCAATCATCCAAGTTTTCTAACAAATCCTTCGATTTTGCCACAATGTTGTGGAACAATTGCTTGATAGATGGTAGAAAGACGTTCAAAGAAGTATCCTTGGTTTGATCTACCAACTGTTGCGCCTTGTCGCAAACAGACTCTACCAAAGATTGATGAGACATGATTTCTTGATGCATAATTTTGTGATTCTGCAACTGTGCTCGTTTCTCCTCCAAAGTACATTTCAATTCTGTGTGTTGATGCATCGCGCGTTCCACGTCTCGAAGCCAAGCTGTCAATTGCTCGTGAGATAAAGAGAATTCGGCGAATTGCATCAGACATTGGTCTAATTTTTGCATAGTGTTCTGTAGATCTTCGGTGAATCCATCCCACAAGGTTCTCAAATTTCTCAATTGTTGTCTGATGATTTCTCTACCGTCAGGCGACGTATGAACGTATAATTTCTCTCCAAGATCTATAACAGATTCGAATCTAGCGTTCTCCTTCGTTCTAGTATCGCCCAAGTCTCGAATGAGCTTCTGTCTGCTCTGCAATACGGATAGATCGCCCACGATCTCACTGTGTTTCTTCAATTCCGATTTAATATCCGTGATCCATTGCAATAATTGGTTATATTTCACGTTGAAAGTATTGTGCTCTTTCACAAATTGTTCGTATCGCATTACAGCTTCCTTTATTTGATTTTTAATAGCCTGATATTTAGTGGTTTGTCTCGAGACTCTTGTGACTAAGTCTGCCTCAGCTTCGATGCTCTGGCTCTTCTCAATGGCGGCATTAAATTCAGCTCCTTTCGCGATGATACTTTCTTCCAAGGACTTCAACTTCTGCAAATGAGCTCTCTTTGCTTCTTCCGTACTCTTCAAACTTTGATCCTTCAACTGGGTCTCCATCTGCTTGATCCAAGCCTCCAAACCTTCTACGATCTTCTCAAATTCGGACCATTGATTGAACATATGTTTCAACTTGTCTCTAGCTGCCACGCATCGCTTCAAGAAATCTTCCCACATTTTCTTTTGTTGCTCAAAATTGGACAACAAAGCTGGATGACCTGGCATAGAAGTTTGTTCCAAGACAATATTCAATTGCTGGTTACAATCAGCCAAGATTCGGTCCCCTTCCGCTTTCTGTTGCAAAAGATTCTCGATGGTGGTGATTTTACTCTGCGCTGTTTCTCGTTCCACTGAAAAATCCTCGACTATCGGCGTTCCTTCGTTGATCACCGTGTTGATCCAATCTCGAGTCTTCTCAAACGTTTGAAGATAAGCCTCGTGATTCGAAACGTGTTTCTCCGCTATATTAATTCGCCCTTCGACCTCGTTGGACAGTTTCTCATAAGCCTCGATCACGTTGCCTAACATTTCGCTCGCATCATCGTCTGGTGCTGTACTTAATCTATCTTGAAGTTGTTGAAGAATATTCTTGTGAACAGTAACGTCCTGTGCCACAGCTCTATACAAATGAAGAGCTAGCTTCTTTTCTTGTAACGTTGGCAGTAAATCTTGCTTTTCTCCTAATTTATTTTGAGCATCTGCTAGCCACTGTTTCACTTGAGAGAATTTGTCTTCGAAGGAAGATCTGTGCATCATATCGCTCTCTATTTTTTTATAAATCACGTTAGAACGATCCGCCATTGCATCCACACGATTACGGAAGTTTCTTAATTCCGTCCTTATCATTTCTCTCTGATCTGGTGTAATTCTAGCAAACAAAGCTTCGCCAGCTTCCGCTGTCTTGTTCAATATAGCTTGTCCAACTTCTCGTTCCTCGGCAAATGCTTTTAACTCTTTCAAACGTGATTGGTAGAAAGTTATAGGTTTTGGACCAGTGATTTCATCGTAGGCTTTCAATGTTTTCTCCGCATTCTCGATCCAAGCTTCGAGTTTCTTCTTGTTAGCCACATATTGATCTCTGTTCTCCTTCAATTCTCGAAGTCTGTCCAAATGTTGAGCCAAAAACTTTAACACGTAATCGTAACGCGTGTTCAAGTGACTGATGTATTGATTTACTCTTGATTCGGAGCTAACCCTGGTGATATCTTCGGCCAAAACAGTCAAATCTTTCAGTTCGCTTTGATATTCCATCACACTTTTCTGCATTTCGGTCATCTCTGCGATTTTCTGCTCGATATCATCCAAATTGAGCAACGCGGAAGCCTCTGCTCTGATTTTATTCTCATTCTCCTTCAGCCAGGACAACACATTCTCGGAAGTAAGTTCGTAACGTTGCCACAGAGCGATATTTCGTTCGAGATCGTTCTTGATTTTATTGTAGCTGCTCTTCAATGATTCCAAGTCGACTTCAACTTTGTCACGATCTGACTTCAAGGCGGCCATAGTTTCGGCACTTTCTACGGATGCTAGAAGCTTTAAGGAGTTGTCAGTGTCCTCTTTTCTAGCTATGCAATCGGCGATTCCAATTTCTACGTCCATCAACGAAGCCATTTTTACCTCCAAGTTGTAACGATCACTGCTCTGCTCAGGCTCACACCAAGCTACTTTCTCTTTGAGCGTCACAACCATACGTTGAAGAGCTCCGAATTTTTCGTGATATAATTTAGTCAAGAATGCTACCAGTGTTGCTATCACTTTGTTAGCATGATTGGCCACGCCGTCTCTTCGAAGCTGAAGCGCTTGCAATTCCTTTGGCAAACTCGATCTGGAGATACTAGGATACTCTGTAGAAATTTTCGTCAATGTTTCTTCAACTTTGGACAAAGTATAGTCACATTGCTCTAATTCTGTTTTCAGCTCCTGACATTTGTTGATACGACCAAGAATCTTGGTGTTCTCACCAGTCAAATCGTCACACTTGATTATATCTTCTCTGATTTTCGAGATCAAATCACCACATCGCTTCATTTCCTGTCTAATTGTCCTTTCTCTCTCGTTCAAAGTAGATGTTAAAGATTCTAATTTTTCTGCTGAAGTTTTAACCACATTGAATTGGTCGTCTAATAACTGATGCAAGGAATTCAGAGTAGGAATGTCAGAATTGTTGTTCAATTTTACAAGTTGTTCTATTTTCGTCACGATATTTTGATACACTTGCTGATAACCAGGCAACTCCTCTCTGTATCTTATCAATCTTACTTGGCAATTCTCAGCATCCATTAAACGTTCAAACGCAGTAGTCAACGCTTCGTTTGTATTAGTGAGCCATTTGATGAGTTCAGACTTCGATTCTTCTATCTGTTTCCAAATGATCACCTGAGTCTCATAGGCTTGCAATTTCTCACTGATATCGTTGTAAGTATCTTGGTATCGTTGTCGAACTTCTGTCAAATCATTTTCGATTAATTCAGAATTGAATCTAGGCATGAGGGATGCTTCTTTCGTCAATTGTTGTGCCTTCGAATCCATTTTATCCAAGAAATGTCTGCCTTTCTTCAGCGCATCCAAAGCTTTCTTATGCTTTTCTAAAGTAATATTCGCTTGAGTGATATCATAAGATATTCCTTTCACCGATTGACACAAATTAATTGCATCTTTGATAGATTTCTCCACTTTTTGTCTGGCTTCTTCGTAATCCTTCCAGTCTGTATTCATATCAGCATATTTTTTTCTCTGTTCTCGAAGAAGTTCATTCACCTTCTCCCAATTAGCATCGACAGAGGATAGAACTACTTGAATATTGGTCGTCGATCTTTGATCCTCTTTCATCAAGGAACTACCTTCAAAGTGGAGGATCTCTTTCTCCTGTTCCCTCTTCTGATGTTCTTCGATTAATTGATCGATCTTTTCTACAGCAGGAGCTAATTGTTTGCATGAGTCAACGTTGTAAACCGTCTCTTGAAGAGCAGTTTGCGTATTCAATATCTTCTCAGTGATCGTTTGCTGCAATGTTCTGAAATTGTTCCATCTGGCACCAAGATTTTCCAGTCTATCGCGTTTCGCTGATATCTCATTTTGCAGAGACAATGCCTTGTTCTCCAAGTCGATCAACAAACCTGACGCGGAAAGAGGTTTTCCCTGTTTGTCCCTAATTTGTATTCCAATAGCACTGTCAGGCAAAACATGTTGTTTCCACGTTTCAATCTTGTCATAAATAGTCCGTAATTCGGACGAAAATCTCTCCAAATCAGCAATGGTAGGCTTTCTAGCTTCAGCTTCGTACTTACAATGGCTCAATTGAGCGTTGGCATCGTTCAACCAACTCAATAGCTCTATCCACTTCTCCAATCCTTTCTTTTTCTGTTGCAAATCATCTCCCAGAGCCTTGTACTTTTTCTCCAGATTGGTATAAGTATCAACCAAGGCAACTGTCGCCTGCATAGATCCTTTGGGACATATATCCTTCACCTCTTGACAGATAGCTTCCAAGCTTGGCTGCTTTTCAGAATGTTCTTGGATATATGCGTGCACGGCTTGAAGATTCGTATCAACCGTATCGACAGTGGCATCGCTGATCTCAGCGATATTGGATCTCAATCGCGACATCCAGTTCTCGAAATCGGTGATTTTCATTTGAAATTCTTGGCGAGCTAACAACGAGTCGGACACACGGTTGATCTGCAATCTGACCGTGTCGGCCAGCTTGCTGACTCTGGCTTTAATGTCCGAGACTCGAGCCTTCAAATTAGTTGCTCCTTCCAAAGATAATCCGTGGCTGATGTGATCAGAAACCTGGGTCAGCGATATCAATTGCGCCTGATGATCAGATATAGTCTTGTTGAAATCCTTCAATCGTGCCAATTCCTTTTCCAGCACTGATATTTCGGGTGTCTCGGCGTTTGGTTCCACGAGCACCGTTCTCTCGGATCTTTCCAACCACTCGTTGAATTCTTTTATCTCAGATTCGAAGCTGTTCCACGAAGTAACCAACTTGTCCAATTTCGTAGTCGTTTGAACTGCTATGTCGTGCACAGCGTTCCAACGAGTATGAACGGCATCCACTTCGTCGGAAGCTGATGTCTTTCCTGTTATTCGTTGACTAATCAAAGATAGATCTTGAATCTGAGGAAAATGTTGTTGGCATCGTATTTCAAATGCTCTGGCTGTTTCCAACATGTGAGCTGCCTGAGCTAGAGTGGTTGGTTTGCTGCCTATAGTAGCTGCTTTTGATTCTGCTTCTTCGATCCAAGGTTTTAGCTCTTGAATACCTTTCTCGTATTCCTTCCAGGTTTGTAAATTTTGTTCAGCTGTTTGACGTTGAGCTACGATGCTCTTTTGAAGGGTTTCGATACTTCTTTCGAGTGTTATGATATCACTGCGCAACTGCTTGGCTGGAAGACTATCAACACCACCTGAAAACGCGAGAAAATTATTTATAATTTTGAAAATAAATAGAAAATTTACAGAAACGTCAGACTATCATACCTTTTACGAGTTTCTGAGATTCTTCTTCGAGGAATTTCAATGTTCTGGTTCTTTCTATAATTTCCTTCTGTAAACTCTCAGTTCTATAGACCATCTCTTCAGGAGTTGTTGCTAAATTCTCAGTATCTGCAATTGATTGCGGAGCACTCTGTTGAGTCCACAATTGCAATTCATTCAATTTTGTTTGGAATTTATTCCATCTGGTACTGTGCTCCTGTAGATAAACCACTTTCTCTTGGACAGTTTTCAGAGTGGTCTCCATTCTCTTTTCGGTATGAATGATCTCTTTCTTCAACACTTCTTTCTTTTCCGGTGCTGCGACTTCTGTCAAATGGCTATACGTCTCTTGCAACTTTTTCAGCAACTCCTCGGCAGATTTTCTCAAAGTGGAACTGAAATCTTGTTTGCTCTGCAGATCGGATGATACTTGTGAAGCATCGTAATAAGTAGTCGATTCGATTTTTCTTAATTCTTCTTCAGCTTGTTCGATCAATTTCAAAATCTCCTCTTTCTGCTGCAGATAAGTGTTCCACAACTTTTGCGAACTCTTCAGAGACTTCAAAGTCTCTACGCTTTGTCCATACGTGTCATTCCAGCTGGATTCTAATTGCTGTACCTCCAAGGACACAAATGGAGGAGCGTGTTGATCTTTTAAAAGATCCTTACCACGTTGTAGCATGCTCACGATATTTGATCTCTGTTGTTCTAGCTGACTAAGACGGCTCTCTTGATGAGTGACTGCGGTCTTCAAGGTTTCTGGACTTTCTGCTACTACATCTATCTTAGATTGATCTTTGACTTTGTGCAAAAGAGTGCACACTTCACGAACTTCCTTTCTATAAGTGTAACTCTTTGAATAAATATCAGTTTTCGTCATAGTAATCTCTATTGTTGGTATCAGATTCTTGTAACGAGTGATCAGCTGTTCTAAACGATTTTGCTCTGAAAGAGCTTCATGATCAGAACGATTGGAAGTCAGGCTGTCGAGAGTTTGGACCAACCATTTCATTTCTTCGCGCTTGCTGTCTGCTTCTCTGCATATTTTCTACAGAACAGTAAAGAGAAAGTTGTAATACAATATATACTTTTTCTTTTTTATGAATTATTGTAAGATGATCCTCATTATCGAATTTCTATCGTGAAATGTGCGTGATTATATTTACCGTTAAAACTTGAACCTATCCAGTGTGAGCGATGCAAGGAAAGAACGTAAAAGAAATATTTAAATGCGCATGATGAAGAAATAAATGTTTTAAATCAATAATGATTCGTAATAATGACTTATTTGAAAATTCGAGATATTCTTTAAAAATGTGAATGAAAATATTTCTTACCTGGAATATCGTTTTCTCTGTCTCGAATTCCTCTAAAGTGTTCACCTCGTGCAATATGGTTCTCAAATTACTGTCCACATGGTCCATCCATCGTACCATTTCATCGAATCTGAGATGATAATTCGTATGAACAAAAATTGATAAAGAAACAAAAAAGTTTGGTAAATTCTATCTTTATAATACTCACTTCTTCTTATAAGCAGCCCATTGCTCAGGCACTTGCTTCAGTTGTTCCCTCAAACGTTCCACTCTCTGAGCAGAATCCTCCCACAGATTTTCAGCGTGTTGTGCGGCTTCAGCCAAGCTGGTATCGTTAGGTTTCAACTGACTATATGCATCACTGATCTTCTTCAGAGTCTGCAGGCACTTCTCCACCTCGAGTACAGTGCCACGATTTACGAAAAATTCCTTGTTTCTTTGCAGTATGCTCTCCACATTATCGTTCTTCATTAGAGCCTGCTGCTCTGAATTCACTTCTACTTCAATTTCTTTCAGATATTGTAAGAACGTAGCTTCATCCAAACGGAACTCAAGTCTCATCAAATGAAGAGGAGCGAAGGTTAATACCTCCTTCCAACGTTTCTGAAGCGATTCTACAGCTTCTGAAATAGGAGCTTGCTGCTCGACAGGCAAAATACTTTTCAAATCCTGTCCAGCGTTTACGAAATCTTGAATCCATTTCTCGTTAACATTGCTGAAGAAATTCTTATGGTATTCTATGGATCGTCTATTATCGGTATGTTTATCATTCATCATGGTTTCTGCGACTGATAGCCATTCGCAGACTTGTCTCTCGCACTCTTTGAATTTGGTCCAGCATCTGACAGCTTCCTGAAGTCGTTGCTCCAAGGCTTGAGCCGCTTGGGAAACTCTGTTGAATCGTTCGTTCAATTCTCTCAATGTTCTTCCACCTTCTGCGGTGGCTACGTCAGCGTGACTGTCCACAGACTTTACTATGCTGGTGAATACTTTGTTCTTAGATTCTAGCATAGATTTGTAATACAAAGTTCTCGAAAAGAAAGCTTTGTGACGATCTAACTGTGCCAGAATATGTTCCCTACCACGTGACAGATCGATATTGGTCAACATTCTCTCTGCTTCGTCTAACCAGGCAGCTATTTCCTTTTGACCAGCTTCTAGAGATTCTTGCTGGACCAAAAGTTGATGATACAAATGCAATTGCATCGGTATCAAAGCTCGTACTTTGACCAGAGCTTCTTTCTCTTTCTTCAAAGTGTTCATCATCTTATCCACTTCGTCACGAGACAAATCTTGAATAAGCGTTTGAAACTTCTTGCTGATACTCTTGAACAGATCTTCGATCCCTTCTACCTCGTTGTGGAAGATTTGCAACTTCTCACCATAAGCTTTAATTTTTTCAGTTGTGGTTAGATCAGTGGCTGACAAAGCTGTTTCGACGTTTCTCAGCCACTTTTGCAATGTCTCCACTCCTGCTCTATAATCTTTTCTATTTCTTATAACGTCTCCAGCGTGCATATATTGCTTCGCTTCTTGGAATAGAGATTCCCATCTGGACGTGAGATTCGAATAACGTTGTTTCAGTTGCAAGGCGACTGATTCGTCAGATGTGGCGATTAAAAATGTCACTGTGTCGGATAGTTGTTGGTGTTTATCCTTCCATACGCTTATGTCTTGGAAGAATTCCATTTTATCTTCTTCGGGAAGGTGCAAGGCAGGTTCAGCGCGATTCAACCAGGTTACGAATTCGTCGGAGATGACGTTCCATCGACGCCAATAGGCTACTACTTCCTCGAGCATGCTTTGCACGCAACGAAGATCCATGGATACGCTCTTCCATTTGTCGCTGGTCTCTCTCATAAAACGGTCGATATTTGCGCTTTCTTCTTGGTCTAATGAATAAAAGATTTTTATATACTAAAAATTTATAGTGTACTTCATATTCCTTCATTTTATTGAATTTTTTTACACTCTTTTTTTTATTAATAAAATTGATAGAAAATTATTCATTAAGTATTAAAATTAAGTATTAAAAATTGATAGAAAAATATTCATTAAGTATTAGCAATCTTAAATAATAAATTTTTTGTAGTAAATACAACTTTTTTCATATTAATGAAATTGATAAATCGTTACACTAAGCAATCCCTAACAACCTAAATCATATAAAATAACTATCACTTACCAACATTGCCTTCGCGTTTATAATCCTCGACGATTTGTTGCATGTCCAAATACGCTTTCTGGAATTCCTGGAAAATTCTATTTCGAGACACGAAGTTTCTATATTGCTCCAACATCTGATGTACACTCTCTTCCGTGCCATATTTCACGCTCCATCCCTTCAACTTCGTCTCGACTAAGAACAAGAAAGCAATAAGGCAACATTTGTGCTCCAGAAACTTGAGTCGGATTCTACGTTTGGCGGCACGATCCGGCAAGCTGTCCAATCGAGCCGCCATCTCGTTCAATTGTTGAGGATGCACTTTCAATGCAGCCTCGGAACCCCTCGCCGCTTGAAATCGCTCCGTCATGGACGGAAGATCGAGGAAGAACTTCTTGTGTTCTTCGAGCTTATTCGATATTATGTTGGCTGTTTCTTCTGTCATTTCTTCTGGGATGTTGTTGTCGGATAATAGAAGATCTTCTGCACGACACAACCATCTGCCTACAACGCTTAATTCGCCTGGTAAGTAGGAATCTAAGACCCAAAGCCAGCGTAACATCTAGAAAGAGAATCTTCTTATGTATGAATTCTATTTAGCGATTAAATATTGATAAATTAATTGAAAATAATAATGTTTCAAGAATTATTTTTAATAAAATACATTACTATATAAACTATATATATATATATATATATATATATATATATATATGTATGTACATTCTGAATATATCGATAAAATGAAAATTTAAATCCACTCTATACTTTATGATAATTATTATGATCAGTTTCTTATTATTCGCATATGTATGAATATTATTTACATTTCAATTCGAGAATTACTAATTGACAGCATATATGAAAGCATATATGAAAATGTTAAGTTATTAGTTCTAACTTACAAGCATTTCCAAGGTCTTCCATAGATTCTGCACGTGTCTCCAAGAATCTCGAGTGATGCTGATCATGCTAGGAGTCTCGACAAGACGTTGCAGCTTATTATACACAATTCTCTGCTGCTCGACTTCCGCTTTTACCGCGGCGTATTCCTTCGAAAACGAATTTCGAACAAAAGAAACGTTAAAAACAAGCGTTCTACCATATTAAAATAATTCTAATATTTTTAAAACATACATCATAACCCAACGGGGAACTGCCCATCTGTTCCAAGTATTTGAGTCGTTCGTAAAGCCAAGCGAGCAGACCATCGTACTCTTGTTGCACAGCCGCGAACGAATCGGAAGCTGCGGATCCTGGTTCCGGATATTTGTGCAAAAATTGGGCAACGTAGGTCATTATCGATTTCTCGTCCGGCTGAGGAACGTCGACATCCTCGGGATCGAGGAGTTTGGCGATACCCAATTCGGATTCGGCCACGTGGAACGCGGTCGCTAGACGTGTTCTGTTCGTTGCTTCTCTCATGGCGGCGATGTTCACCAAATTCGCTTTGATCGCGTCGATGATAGCCAGGAAGGCGTTGCCATCGCGCCAGCTTTCACCGAAGTCTCGTACTTTTATGTCCCTGTGAAGATTTGATCCGTTTTGTAAATGAAATTTGTAATTAAACATAAATATTTTAATATTGATTCTTGTTTCAATGCTTGTGAATGTCTTTGGAATAAATTAGAAATAAATTTGGAATAAATTATATCTATTACAGTCTTACTCTAGAATTACAATAACAGTAGTAAGTATTTTGTGTTATATTTTAATGAAGCATTTTTAATATACTACATTTGATTATAAAATCAATTTTTTATAATCATATGAAAGTACTAAACGAGATGAAATCTAATATATTTATTTAATTACTTAATTAATTAAAATGTAAATATATAGTACAATAAATATAATGCAAATATTTTTTAAATTTCTATGTATCAATAATTTAATTAAAAAACATGCGCCAATCTAAAATTAAAAATCTACATTAAATCTTTGTAACAAGATATGCAAAGATTTTTGAAAAGGAGTGTACTTTCGCGTGGTCGATATTATTTTTACATGGTTGATGCGAAAATACATTAAACGTAAATATTATAGTTATAAATATAAGCTACATTATATAAATATAATAACGTGTATAGAACACTAACTTTGGCAGAGCATTGGTGACCCACTGAAGCAGAGTCTTTCTCGCTCCCTGCTTCCATTTCTCGCTACTGATGCGTTTTCTCTCGCTGGTCGCCGACCCCTGAGTACTCAGACTCTCCAAGCTGCTCTGACTACCCCACGTTTGTCCAAGATATTCCAATGCTCTGGTATTCTCCTCGATCTAGAAAAATACCGGATCAGTGGACCGCGGAATATGATATTCAAACAACAATAGGGCGTATAGGGGGGGGGGGGGGAGGTAAGGTTGAAAACAAAAAAGACTCACAAAAGGAAGGATTAGCGTGCGTACTAGGGTGATGCGTAAGATCATGTAGGTGCGTGCTAATTTAACACTTTCCTTTGTACACACATATATTTTCTCTACTGCTTTATTGTTTTTATTAACATCGTAGATGATAATCTCTTTTCTTTTACTCGTTTCTTTTTTTTTTCTTTTTTTAAATAGCTACTCACCTTTTTTCGATCCTTGGATCGTAGCTTGTTTTTATGGAATAAATACGGTTAGCAGAATGCAATGTAACTTTCTTTCTTCTTTCGCTCTTAACGAGGATTAATTTCTTTTTTAACGGGAAGGAAAATTATTAAGATATAAAAAAAAAAGAAGAAAAAAGACTGTATTTGTATATAGAATGTTTGTGAATTCTTGCAAAGAATTTTATGAGGAAATTGAACAACTTTGTTATACGAGCAAATTAATCCCCGCTGCAAACGATCGTCGCAATGCTGCCGCACGGATATTATAACGCGTTTATGTAATTTGATGTGGCACGAGCGTCTTACTTAAGCAACTACCGCATTCTAATTGTACAATTGTGCTTTTTTTGTAGCTTCGATTTGTATTCGACTGTACGAACGAAAGAGAGTCTACCTGGAAGTATAAGATGATAGTCCATATCAAGCCTAACACTACGGGCGGTCGTCCATCTACTAAATCGGACGAATTTATGTTCACTAGCTTGATCTGTAATAAACAATCATGAATAATAATTACTAATGTATTCTATATTTTGAATTTTCGAAATTTTAAACTTAAATTTTTGAAATCGTGAATGTAAACTCCGAAAATGAATTTTTGAATTTAAGATTTAAGAAAAAATTATTAAAATTTAATGTGAATGAATTTTTCTAATTCTAGTGATTCTAAATTTTTATTTTGAGAGGAATCGTTACTCACTTTTTTGCTTTGTAAGAATTGAAGCGCAGTGTTCGCGTTGCTAAGAAAATGAGGTCTTTTCAAGTTACGACCCCTTTCCACCGGCTGCGAACAAAGAAATGCGTTTCATACGTATCTATTCTATTGATCGATAGTTACGATACAGAAGCTGTTATGCCAAACTTACCAACTTCTCACCGGACAGAACTTCAAGCAATGCGAGTAGGCGGGTGCCATCCTTGAGATCCTCGATTAAATCATCCACTCGAAGCGGTGGACTTCTCTAAAAATTGTTCCAATTATTCATATTACGTTCTTCATATCTTATTCTCAAAGAAAAATCTTTGAGATTATAAAATATAAAATATAAAAAGAACAATGAATAATCGTAAAATTATTTACTATTATTAAAAAATTTTATCAGAATTATAGAGGTCTAAGCGAATTAATCAATGATGAAATTTTTAAAATAAATATCACGTTTCAAGATTTTTTAAATCTTTTTTAAATTTCATGAGAAATTTAGCAAGATTTAATGTTTTTGAACGCAATGTCGTGCAGCTTGTAGAGCACGTTTCGAGGAAACAGGTCCGGGATTTCTAATTCAAGTTTCCAAGTATCCGGAAGTGCGGAAGTAGGGGAGAGGTATCGAGACTCGCGAGCCAGGCACGAGTTATTCCACCGAACTTTTGATATTCGTGATGAGAAGTAATTTCAATGTTGCCTTATTATATAGAAGAGACGATAAAAAAGGAAGAAGGGAAAAAAGCTTGCGTAACATTTTCTGTATGAGAGATATTTAAAGATGGATTGATCACGAAAGAAAAATGGTGGAAAGATTCAAAGGTCGTTTACCCTGTTACCTGGTTTCAAAATACGTATATATTTCCACGAGTTTCACTCGAAGTTTTCTTCTAATTTTTCTTACCTTGGAAAGATAAGAATTGATCCAGTTGACGAAGGTCTTCTTTTGAACGCGTTCTTGTTCGTCTGAAAAGAAAACGAGAAAAATTTTGATAATTTTATTGTAAAATATATATAATCTGTTATTAAGATTTGATATTTTAACGATCTGAATTTATGATATTTTAAAATTCGTATAGTGTATAATAATTTTAGTGTGTACCAAATAATTAATATATAATTTGGTATGTAATAATTTTACATCTCATCCCTTGTATCGATTTGAAAAGACACTAAAGCTCGTACATCGGAAATTTTGTTTTTAATATTTCTGATATTTCAGTTGTTCAATTTTGATAAAAGAATATCAAAATTTAGCGATTCATTTTTTTTATATTGATTTTTTACCAATAGAAATGTGGATTCTTTTTCAATATTTAATACAAATTTGAGTATTAATATATGTGTATATAGAAATAGAACGAATATAGAAACGAATGCATGTTTTCCTATATTTTTTATCTTTCAGAAATACCATCTACAATTGTCACCATTAATCTTTGAAACGTGCCTATTTTCAAGATCGTATTCTTCGTTTCTTTTATGAAGTTTAACCTCTCAAAGTCTTCCGAGATAAAGTTTCATGCGATTACACGAAAGAATTATATTGAATCTAATTACATGAAAAAATTCAATATTCAATAAAAAAATCTTTTAACTTTAGAATTAAGAATCTATAATTGAGATTTTCTATTTTATTAATATCAAAAATACTTTAACAATTAAAAATCAAAAATATTCATTATTTTATTAATTCTATATCATATCTATATAATCTCGAAAAATATCGTGATCGTTATTAAATTTGCAATTCAAAATCAATCTCTCTCAATACTATGTCGTTAAATAATCGATCATCCTATCGAATACAAGAATAATTATGACACAATATTTAACGACATTGATAACGAAGATCGCGAGAAAACGTTCGCGATAATATTCGCCACAATTTAAGTAAGTAGTTCATTCTTTATATCATTACGTCATCGACAATTGCGTTGTCTCGTTATCATTGCTTTGTGTGAACTTTAAATCCAATTAGATATTGTACATTCTACGATTTTATAAAAAATCTGGAATTTCAATATTAATTGATCACTTATTAATTGATATTTCAATAATGATAATCACTCAAGGAGAAAAATTCATGATAATCTCGAATTTCGATCGTGTATCTGACACGCATTAATCGAATCTTTCGTTAAAGATATTCGTGGAGAAAAAATTCGCGATTCGAGGTGTGAAACGAACGCATCGGAACGCGTGAAACCAGTTTCCCACGTAAGTAAATTTAGCCAAGCGTGTATACACGCGTGAAATATGCTGCTTTTATTGGCAGTAAACGTTCACGTTCTTACGTGGCCCTTTTAAAATATTCTTTCGAATATCACCTGAATCATACGATACGATATACTTTCATTCATTTCTCGTTGAAAGAACCCATACATTCGTTCTATTTATCGCCAAATGTTTACATGCGCTCCTTTTTCTTTTAGTAAGCACGCGAATGCAGGATGAAGACTCGATGAAAGCATATCAGCTGGCCGTATAGAAACATGAATGTGTATGGAAATGTATATTTTATGAATTAAATAACTTTCTATTTCGAAAATTATTTTCGTCTTGATTTAATTTTTTAAAAATCAAAAGTAATTAGCGATAATTTATTAATTGAAGATTGTAATTTTATTTTCTTTTATTTATTCGTTAATATTAATAATCTTCAAGAGTCATGTAATGAAATAAAATTAGCATATTGTGCGAATTTTTAATATATTAAAGTCAGAATAGATAATATTATATCGTTATCAAATGCTTCAAAACAACAAATTATAGTGAAAAATTATATTTAACCACTATCACTTTTCTCATAAGCAAATAAAATTCCAATTACGGAAGATTAATAAATTTTATTAACAACTGCAATATCCATCGTGCAAGACAGAAAAATAGGAACAAAGTATTATTTTCAATTATCATTAACACACCTAAATTAAAATGGATGTCGAAAGCACGTAAAACTTCTCGCAAGTGGCTCGAAACGAGCGAAACTCGCGAATTCCCAGAGTTTCTAATTTTATGCACCCTTCTTCTTCCGCACGAAAAACTATCCACCGAGCGGATAATTAGCGAAGTTAGCGCGAAAAACGACGCAATCTTCGTCGTGGATCGTATAATAAATCAAGTTTTAATGGATGCATAGCTTGCATTTTGGCAATGATTTAGACGAAGGGCCGTAACTACCGATAAACGAGCAAGAGAAAAAATCGCTAGGAACCGAGGTCAATTAAAAGGTACACACGTTGCATGTGTACATGTGAAAAGCTCGTGTGTATGTATTCGATGCTGTTAGCAAGCATACGTGATCAGCATGCACATCATGCTCTGTCACTTGAAGCGTCAAAAGTATAGTGCTCTTAGCTCCAGACTGTACAGCTACGTTTTGCATGGACAGAGCTAGTTATTATGAGCTTTTGTCCCCCTTTCACGTGGTCGTGATACAGTCTGAAAAAAAATTTTTAAATGTTTCAGATCGTATATACATATATTTTCCTCGTGTATATTGTAATAAAGACATAGCATTACAATGCCCTAAGATTCTCATGTAATAAATTGTTAATATAATATTTTAAGAAATATACTACTATTCATTTAATGGATACACTTTCATATGAAAAATTTATAATCAAAATATAAGATTTAGAACGTTTATGTATCTTAATGAATTTAAAAAAAAATGTTGATAATTTCTAAAATTTATTATCTTTCTTGATAACACTTGTAAAAAAAGGATTGAAATAGTATATTAAATACAATTCTTATATTTTGCTTCATTGAGTGGGAAAAGCAACCCTGAACGAAAAATTCTTCGATCGAGGTTATAGTAATGTAGATCACAATGGATTCTCATAGGAAAGTATTGTTTGCTAATAGATGATTCTTGTATCTTAACACGATATGAGTCAGCTGTTCTAAATAGTGCTGAGAGCATTCGCATATAATTCGACTCGAATATTTCACGTGTACTCTGTATCCCTATTATTATCCAACCATGATGTTATTCTCATTGATGACACGAGAAAGATCTAAAACAGATTGATCTTTCGAGTTTCAAATCGTTATCATACCGAGCTCATGACAAAAACCAAACTCGAGGTCTACAAATTTCAACTCGATCGGTTTATTAATTCATGCTGCTCAAACACTGTGCATAGTACGATCGATGCACACTTAATGTATTGTGAAATTATACGTTTCTTGCGAAGGATAATTTAATTGTAATAGGAAGGATAATTTAACTGTTGGCCGAAATGGTTAGACGATCAGTGGCGAGGGCAAAAAACTCGAAGAAGAAGCGAACCGAATCAGGTGAAAAGAAATGGAAAAAGAGAAGGAAAATAAATGGTACGATAGAGTGCGAACAGGGAATTATGTTATTAGTTGTAAATAACGCGGCTTTGACGTTTTATTAGCGGCTTAATGGAACGATAATGGAAATCATGGACATGGACGTGCGATAAATTTTAAAGAAATACGATTTGAACACTGATACGGTTTAAACATAATGTTTCTTGAAGAAATAAAAAGAAGATTGCGTCGTAAAATGATGGCGTTTTAGAACGACAAAAGACGATTAATCTCCTCGTATTTTTCGGATCGCCATACGCGTAACTTGTACTCTATCATTGGTTGCATCGTTGGTAAAATGCAGTCATGTTGAAATGAAAAATATTATTAGATACATTGTGTCTGCTCAAACAGAACGTGAGATACTGTAAGTTATAAGAGGAAGATTATGCATATTTTTTATTTTCAAATTATTTAGAAAAAAAACCTTTGATTATAATTTTTCAACTTATTTAATGATACAAACATGATATTTTAAAGATTTCCAGAGAAATTATTAAATTAAATTATTAAAATCATTAAAATAAGTGATTAGTATTTCACTTTTTAGAAATTAAATGATTATTATCGAATTAGAAACGTATAATGATCGTTTGAAAATTCGTTGTGAAATTTATGATTAACTCTTGATAAGAATAAGATAAAATGAAATTTAAAATAAAATTCTATTTTATAATTAAAAATATATAATTACGCAATTACGCGACAGCTTTAATCTTTATAAAGAAATACTTATTATAAACTTATTAAAATAATTTTCGTTTATTTCAAACAATACAATCATTCTCTAAATGACTTCAAGTCTTAAAATATAAGATTTGTAACACTTTAAAATACAAGATCAACTATAAATCTTGTCAAGTTTCTACTTCTATAATCTCTAAATTCAATCATTTCCAATTGTACATAACAAATAAATTCCGACCTATCTTAACGCCTTACTTAAACTCTTTAAACGAAACGTTACAATCTGCTCATTAAACTGTTATTTCACGATTGTGGTTTGACGTTAGATAACACGTATCAGACGTGCTATTAAGTCGTTTTACCAAACGCAATTAAACAAAAATAATGCACGTGATGATCACATTACTGAAACATGCATGGTATTACTTATGAAATCTTGATGAACTAAATTTCATAAGAAAAATAATACAAAGCGTTTTAAATTAGATTCTATTAAAATTATAAATTTGAGAAGTTTATTTGATTTTTTTTTATTAAATCTTACCAAATCATATTTCTTTCAGACTAAAAATTTCTATTAAAATTCTCATCAATAATTTTTCCATGTCAAAATTATTTTGCCTTTTGATTTGTGCATATGAATTCATCATGTTTTCTTTCTTCCATCGTCGAAATCGTAGATCAGACATTTAAAATTATCTCGCATTTCTCCCCTCTCTTTTTTTTTCTCAGAAAGAGGCACATGTACAACATGATCGCGCATATAAATTCGTATTTTTAGCGCTTTCGTTCGGCCTGAACGGTGCAGAGATATAGAAAAAGCACAAGGTAGAAGAGGAAGGGGCGAGCAGTAAAATGGGACAAATTCTCGTGGATGAGCTCATGTGCTTGATATTGTCCGTGTCTCTTGTAAGATAGAAAAGAAAGGAAAA